TTCCAAGATCCAATCATATAAGGTTTTAAATAATTCAGGATATTGTTGTGAACTGAATTTTTCATCTTTTTGTAGGTCAGGTAATTCTTCTTTAAATGATGTAACAACATCACCAAAAAATTCATGTTGAAGCATTAATTTAACTAAATAATTATAACTTTTTGAATCAAGTTTCTTTATGAAGAATTTAATTTTTTGATATAATTGGAAAATATCCTTTATATTTTCTTGGGGATCTTGTGCTATAATTTGAAACATTTGATTTAATACACGAGGGTTTGATTCCCATTCAATCCCATCATTAATTGATTTTAAGAATGTTTTTTTTAAATACCCTGGGTCTTGGATGTTTATACCTCTGTTTAAAAGATGAGTATATGTTTCAATTGAAATTTCAAAATCATCCATATGGTTATTGAAAAATTCATTGATTTGTTGATAAGATTTATTAAAAATTTCTTGATTGGGGGAATAAGATAATGATTTTATGATTGAATTAAAAGTATTCATATTAATCAAATCTGGTTGGCTTAATAATTTTTGTTTTAATTCATTGGATAATTTTGAATTAATGAAAACATCTAATTTCAATGATATTAATAAATCCTCATGAAATTTTGATATGATTTTTTCACAAATTAAATTCTGATCAATTATTGAAATTTCATTAGTTTTAATTAATGAATCAATGAATAAATGAATATTATCTTGATTTAATTCCTTATTATCAATGATTTTGGTTAATATCATTGATTCTTCTTTGGAGAAGAACTCATCATTTTGTTGAATAATTTTTAATAATTCCCAATTTGATGAATTATTATCATTAATTTGTAATTGAATATAATTTTTAATAAATTTTAAATTTTGTGTATCAATTGAATAAATAATATTTCTCTTGGAAAGATAATACTGAATTGATTTTAAAATTAATGCATGTAATTTATCAAGATCTAAGCTTTGATTTTCAAATTTTTTTAATAATGAAATTGATAATATTGGTGAAATGTTATAATTAATTAATACATTAGTTATAATATCTAATGCTTGTTGAGATAAGTTATGATGTTCATTAATAAATGCATCAATAACCTTAAGAGTTTGATCTTCATAACCTAATTTATTTAAATAATTTAAAAAATCATGGAAAATTGTTAACAAGAAGTCATAATCCTTATTTATTGATGCAGATTGAGATAATTGTAAGTATAATCTTGGTATAAATCTAGCAGTTTGGAAATTCTCCAAGTCAATATTATCAATAACTAATTTGAAAATTTTGTAAGAATCTTGGATTGATAATGGAGGTAATTTTGGATCATAAATTAAATGATTATCTTTGAATTGACCTTGTTCTAATTTTCTTAATATTTCATTGAGCAAGATGAATGATTGTTGATTTGGTTGATTATTTACTAAATTTATAGCTAATTGATTTAATTCTTGTTTTGTCAATTTATTTCTTAAATCTTGTTTTGCTTGTATAATAGCATCTTTTTGTTCAATTGAAGAGTATTCAATTATGGGTGTTTTCTTAAAAGGGTTCCATGACATTAATCTTATGAATTGTAATGGTATAGATCTATGAGATCTTTGTACTTTTAGTATATTCATTGTTGTTTAGCCCTAATAGTCCTAATAGTCCATTGTTGTTTATTGTTCATTGTTGTTTACTTTCCCCATAAATTAATTTTCACTGGGGAATAAAAAAGTCGAGAAAACTAAACTCCATACAAATGAAACTAGGAAGAAACAATGATTTAATGAAATTATACAATAACTATTAAAGTAATCAATATATAATGTTCACAATGTTTGTTATAGAAATTAATAGCTATCTAATGGTACTAATATTATTATACCATCTATTAATTAAATATTTTATGTATAGTGATATTCATTTACCAAATAGAAGAAGAATATCTACTGTCTAATTAATTATACTGATCAATAGTGAGAGTTTTATATACTACTAGTTGTATATTTTATATACTAGCTAATTACTAGCACATGCTATAGTATAATGAAATTCATATCGACATTAATGCATGCTCAATTGATTGCCTGTATATCAATTGAGGGTTTCTAACAATCAAATATCAAAAGAATAAATTTATAACATTTATTTAATGAACGTTAATATTAATTATGGTTTAAAATCAAATAATCAAATTCAAACAATATGTATATGCAATCCAACTATTAGACACCTTATTAAAAAGTATTATAATCACTTTAATAATCTCATGGATCCATTTGTATCAAAACTTACCATTTATTATAAACCTAAACAGGTTATGAACAGTAATAGTTATAAAATACTGAATCTCTGATGATGCAAAGAGGATCAGAAAGCAAAACAGATTTCAACTGCATTGGTCAAGTCATTACAACATCATAATATAATTCATTGATTGATTCATATTATAAATTGTTAATTAAGTAAATAATTTGAATTCAATTATAATGGATTTTGTTTTTCTTTTATATGAAAATTTGATTTCACAGCTTAGTAATCACCATACAATTAAATTATTGATATAGATTTCTGGATTGATATATTCAAATTGATTGGATTAGTACAGCTTTATACTACAGCTATATATATCAAAAAGAATAACATTTATTATGGTATATTGGATCAACTATGGTTTAAAATTGAATAGCCAATAATCAAATAAACATTAAAGCATTAGGTGTCCAATGACACTTTATTAAAAAGTATGTGATTATAATCACTTTTAAATAATAATCTCATGGCCTCTATTTGTACCTAAACTTACCAATTAAATATTGTACTAAAACAAATACAACAGGTTATGAGTAATTCTAGCTATAACAATTCATTTTTCAATAGAACAAAAACTAAGTGTAAGATGACTATGCGATGTAGACCCAACAAGGCTATTACCTCTCAAATTAAGCATGAAAAACCTTTATAATTGCTGATATTGAATATAATATGGTTGATAAAATTGTGAAAAGTTAAAACTTTTTATTTTTCTTTTATACGTGAAATTGATCAAAAGAAACAAAAAAAATCAGATGATGATTTTGTAATTGCTGAGTAATCACAATAAGTATATATAACGAGTTTTAGTTCAATTAATGATAAGTAATGAAGTTATAGTATTTCAATATAACATATATAACTTAATATGTACCGACTCAACTAGTACTAGACGTTAAAGGTGATTGTGGCTACAATTCTAGCTGTTATAATACGTCAAAAGAGTAACATTTATTATATGAACATTGGATCAATTATAGTTTAAAATCAAATAACCAATGCATCAATGAATAAATCTAGCTATTAAGTGTCCAATTTGAGTACAGCGTCATTAAAATTATGCAGTGTAATCACTTTTATGATATTTAATAACAGCTTTATATAAATCTCATGAACAATATAATAATTTGTTGATCAATATTATATTAATGTAATCAACTAGATCATCAGGAGACGTTTTTATAACTTGATATCATATGACATGATTATTAAACACGCTTATATGATAGGTTTATGCAATTAGAAAGAATCATTAACGTATTGTTGAGTTAAAATTAATATATTATTAAGTACATTGAAATATGCAATATGGATCTATTTTTCTTTTCCTTTTATATAATTTTTGATTTTTGAAAATTATGAAAAAAGGAAAAACGCAGCTATTATAAAAAATCAGGAGATTATTTATTGCTTAGTAATCATAATACTTATTAAGTATATTTAATTCTCATATACCAATCCAATCATATGTCATATTTTCATTGGTTATAGATCTAATGTATTAATACAGATCTATGTCTTAAACTGAAGATGATAGTACATGTTTGATAAATTTCAAGGTGTATTTGGTTATGATAATATATGGTGAAAAGTATAGGTGGTTTTACTGCACATGTGTATATATTTATGGGAAGAATTAGTAGCAGTTTCTTCATTATTAGATTACAATTCTTATTTATGTATTTGTATTAATTAAGTAATTAGTTTATAGATCTCATTAAATTCTTGCTACAACTAGCTAGTCATCATTTCAAAATTAGTTATAACATTTATTTTTAATGAAATTTGGATCAATTATGGTTTAAAACTGAATAACCAATTTCAGATAAACATTAGTACTAGGTGTCCAATATATGACACTTAATATTAAAAAGTATAATCAATTCAGTAATTACTTTTCAATTTGCATAATCTCATGGACATATTTGTTTATAAACTTACCATCATCACATCAATATTATTTATCTCAAACTCGACTGTGCTCTACCTCAGGGCCAATTAATTGAAAATGAAGAAAAACAAATGTTTAAATGACGAGCATCTTAAAATAATAAGTGCTGCATATTAGAATGAGAAATATCAAAGTAGCACATCAAATCAATAAAAGGTTACAAGCTAAACAACTATAACCCATTCAAAAATTATCCTAATTGTGATGATTTCTCATAAATTGTTGAAAAGTGAAACCAATCAATTGTTCTTTTATTTGAAAAAAACATAAGTGATTATGTCAGTGCTTAGTAATCATAATACTTTATATACACAATTTATATCTAATAAGCAATTATGTACTTAAATTATACTACGATTACTATCTTATTACATTGTTTGGATTAAGAACTACTGAAAAAATATAATATGAATATTTTTGTTTTATCCATTGAGAAACAGCTTGACTAAAATGGGTATGGATCAATATAATATTAAATGGTGATGTTTAAGTGAATTATAAGTCATACAACAGATATTTAATGATACATTACTAACTTAATATGAATTTAATAAATTAATATCTATCTAATGGTATAATTTATAATAACACATTGGTATTTTAAATATTTCATTATAATTTAGTGATTTCCCACCAGTGGAAAATTTGGAATGGTACCACACAGAATTCAAAGATATCATATTATATTTACAATTGAATATTTGTACTTACAATTTGAATATATTATATATTTATATGTTGTATATCACTATTTACAATCTATTTCTCTTCTTTAACTTTTTCTTCATGTTTTTTACTCATTTCATATTCATCATGTTCTTTTAAAAATTTTTGTAATCTTCTAATAGCCCAATTTTGTCCAATAAATTTAACTTCTGGTGCACTTTCACCTTCACTTTTGGTAAAATCATGCCAAAATTTATGATCTTTAAATCTTGAATCTTCAGGTGGGAACATCCCCGTGGAATTACGAATTTCTAAAACTGCTTTTCTTAATTCTGATGATATCTTAGATCTTAGAGCTTGTGCAGCTTTACCAAATTTTAATTCATCATTTAAATCACCTTCACCTGAATTTAAATGTTTTTGAACCAAGTCTAACCATTCTTTTCTAAAATTTTCAATAATTTTATCATCAATTGGATTCCCTATAGTAATATTAATCTCTGTACCAAAATTTGCAGGTAAAAATCTTTCTAAAAGTCCACCACCTGCAGCAGATTCAGGTGCAATTTTTTCAAATCCTGTACTGAAAATAGGTATAATTATAGGTTGTCTTGTTGATTCCAAAATAATTCTTGTTATCCCCCATTTAAAATATCTCATTGAATTTTGGAAAGGTTGTTGTAATTGTAATACAAATCCTTCAGGGAAAACATGGATCCATGAAGGTTTTGATCTTATTATTGGTGATATATATTCTTTAGAGATTTGGGCTAATGGTGTAATCTTATTTAATTCTTGTTTTGCAGGGTTTACCCATTTAGTATTAGTTTCTTCAGTACCATCATAAACTAAATTTAATGAATCATCAGGTGACATGATTCTAATTGCTGCATCTAATGAACTTTGGAAAGGACCAACTCCAAATCTTTCAGTTGGTAAAATTTTTCCCAATGAAAAAAAATATGTCAAAAATTTATTTTGGAAACAAACATTATGTGCACCCAACCCCCATCTAATATGATCAATATCACGATAAAATCTCCATGGTAAACAACCCCAAAGGAAAGGATCATCAACAACAGACATATGATTCATTATTGTCATAATACCTCTATTTTCTTTTTGAGATTTTTCTAATGCTTGGTCTAATATTTCTAAACCTGTAATTTTTGGTTTATATGAAGTATATAATACTAGTTTTGACCAACCAACAGCTAATAAACATGTTGCATGACTTGAAAAATTCCAAAAAGGGTTCCTTCTATCGAATTGATTTAGCACTTCATCACCTCTCTCTAAAACGCCGGGGAGTGACATTGATAAAAGAATAATTCCTATGAGATCTGAGTTTTATCAATCAAAAGTTTATGAGTATTAATTAATTTTGACATAAAAACGTTTTTTTTTGTTGCCTTCGAAGAAAAATGAAAATTCGCGAATTTTTTAATTTGTTGGTGATTTTTTGACCGATGAAAAATTGACAGAATTTTGAGATTTTGAATGAGTATAAAAGAAAGAAAAGATTATATTATTGATTAAGAAGGTTATTAATTAGGTTATTGGTTATTGGTGTTGATAATGGAACGCTATACACAATGGAGAGATAAATCTACAGGGATTTCACCTTTTTTACCGATTTTACAATCAAATGTTTTGGGTTATAATGAATCTTCAATTGGTAAAATTATTAAAAATTTTAAAATTGATTTAGTGGGGAGTTTTATATTGGTTTTGATTAAAGTTGTGGTTATATTACCATTGTTGTTGTTATCTCTGGTTATTGGTGGTATTATAGGTCATGGTCAAATTTGGTGGTTGAATAGATTAATTCTAAGTATATCAGGTTTAACTTCATATGAATTAACAATTCAAAATCTAAAATCTAAAAACTTGAATAAATCATTCTATCCATCCAAGGGAGATGTTTTCTTATGTAATTTTTCAAGTCCATTAGATTTAATCACTTTATATTTAATTTCAAATGATGATTTTGTTATATTATTGCCAAACACCAAGGGGGGTTTATCAATTCAATCAATCTCACAATTCTTGAAGAAGAGTATTTCAGGTGTATTGTTAGATGAAATTGATTCACTAATTGATTATAAACAATTGGAAAATAAAATCATTTATATTTTTCCAGAAGGTACAACATCAAACGGGAAATCAATCTTACCATTTAAATTGAATCAAACTTATTTCAATGAATTTATCAACAATTTACAATCTGATAAAAAAACTCACAAGATTAGAACTTTAGGATTAAAATATTATCCATCAACATTAGTAACACCAATAAGTTATTCATCTTGGTCATTCTTATTCAAAATCCTGAGTCAATTAACTTATAATGTTAAAGCAAGAATAAATTTCCCAAATCAATTAAATTCAATTGATACAGATTTAAATAAGTTAAGGCTATCATTTACAAATAATGGGAAATTCAAATTAGTTTCTGATGAATTAGATATAAATTCTAAAAAAGCATTTATTGAAAATTATATAGGAAGAAGATAATCTCATGGGTCCACTAGTAATATCCAGATGATGATTTTTCAATTGTTTGAATAAAACTTGGTGTCCATATTTTGGAATCTATGGGTATTGATCTTCCCTGGGGTAAATAATGTATTAATAATTCTTGTGATGTTGGTATTGAATCAAATTTTAAATTATTATTTTCTAAATTATATTTTAAATTTAAAATTTTTAATAATTCAAATAAATTTTGTAAATCTATTAAAATTATTGAATTGTTGGTGAATTTTTCAATTAAATTCTGGTTTAACCTGAGTTTATTGTTTATTTTTTGTAAATCATTTGAATTAAATTTTGTTTTAAAATTTGTAAATTTCTTTTTCAGTTTAGAATCTTCTTCAAATTCATTTGAATTTGACTTCCTTGTAATATTTTCAATTGAAAAATTTAAAAATCCAATACTATAACCAATTTTATCTTGTTTATAATTTTCAATTGATAATAATATACCTAAATATCCATTTATATATTTAATCAAATTTTCAATATATTGTGTCCATTTTGAATCATTTTGAGTTTTCAATATACTCAACATATTATTTAATTCTTGTTTAATATAAATTGATAATCTTGATAAAGTTGAATAATTTATTGAATTTTCTGACATTATTTCATAATCAATATTTTTTAAAGTCCATATGGTTTTTGTCAAGAAACTTAATTGTATTGAACAATTAATTAAATTTTCATTAAATTGTATGAAAATTGTTGAAATTTCCCATATGGATGTATTAATTATTTGTTGATTTTTTAAAAAATTTATAAATTCTAATGATTTTTTAAAAATTTTAAATGAATTTAACCATAATTTTTGGGTTTCAAGATTATTATCTTTATCCATTATTAATTTTATAATTTCTCCGCTTTTTAAATTATATAATTGTGATAAATTTATCATTAAAATTATTAATTCATTTTGTAAATTCCATTGAAATTGATCTTGTTTCTTGATTTTAGTTATTGGTAAATTCCAAGGTATTGAATCACTTATAATTATCCCATTAGTTTGTTCAAAAACATCATTATAATTATCAATATTACCATATTCCATTACTTTAACAAAGATAAAATTTAAATAATCTTCAAGATTATTTATAAAATTTGAATAATTATTAAAATTTGTAAATATGGTTAATCTTTTATTTAAAATTTCTTGAATCCATGGTTCTAAATTGTTTGGAGTTGATGTGATTGAGATAGGTATTATTGGTATATCAGGTAATTGAATCATATTATGGTAAGATCTATCTGGTAAAACTAATTGATACCGACTAGTTGATTAGTTGATTCAAATATCCTTGAGTATAAAACATTTACTTATATTAATTTCCCTGGAGAACTTGGCAGGAAAAATACCCGCGAATTCTATTAAATTAATGGAAATAATGATCAATAATGTAACGATAACTTGATTATTAGTGGGAATATGGCTTAAATACTCGATATAGTCATTTCTAGAGAATCAATTTACATATATTTCCAGAAAGCTGAGATAAATATCGGTTTTTAATAGCTAAAAATCAATTTTATTAATAGGACATAATTCACACCTTCCATGGAAATTTGAACTTTTGGCCCATGATCATGTGACGTATATTGATTATATAATCAATGGTATGAGACATAATTATTGACCATTTTGATCCTTGATTCTATCATGAACCATCATCATCATCAACAACAACGACAACAACAACAACAACAACAACAACATCATCATCATCATTATCATAATCATCAGCAGTGATAATACTACCTACGTACCAATATTAGAATTTGTTACGTCAATAAAGCTGGTATAGTTTCAGGTAATTCTATATGTGCTGAAAGTTAGAACAATCAAAAGGTTAATTTGTTATAAATCCAAATTAAGCATCTATGAAGTCGTTTTTGCTGAAAATATCTGGATGGTATAGACCAATGATGAAACTAAGCTAAATTTTGATAGATGATCAACTATGGAAATGGTTAAATTGCGTTCTTTTAAAACTACATGTGATTAAAGTTTTAAAATTCATTGGTTTTCATAAATGAACATGGATGAGAATGAAGATTGTGGACGCTATGAGTATTGGTGTTGATTTAAGGGGTAGAGTTTCCTGGCCATAGTGTACTTGTTTACCTATTTTATCACTTGGTTAGTCAAGACTAAGTGTTTTTGAATGTCATGAAAGTTGACTAATTAATTATTTTCATAAATTCATAGATATAACAATGTTATACTACAGACTTTGTTAAGAGGTTTAGTGCTGTTAAAACTAGGTTATATCACAGGAAAGGCTAAAGACTTTAAACTTCAAAATTTCTGCTCTTCTACTACAAAGACATTTTATGTTCCATGTTCCCTTGGGTGATTCATTTGATCAACAAATTTACTCATTTAATGTTTTCACTTGAAGTTCAGTTGACTACATTAATCAATCAGATCAGATGATTAAAAGGTCTGTTGATATAATGGCTACAATGAAGATAGAAATTTTCTTTGAAAGAATATAGACGTTGCAAATATAAAGAGAAGAGAAGTTATAAAAGAGAAGTAAATAAGAAATTGATAAATAAGAAATTGATAAATAAGCTGAGTGATATGAGTAGAAAATTGATTAACAAGTTTTCAATCATTATTATTTAACATCCAAATCACCATCTCTCAAGATAAGATCTTTCAATATAGAGCCAATGATTGTTTTATCCATTGTTTTTGGTAAATCAATAGAGTTAATGACTTTTCCAGCTGTTTTTTCGGCTCTTTTGGTTTTCTTCTCCAACATAAGGTACTTGTTTCTTTTTCTATTCATCTCTTTATTTATAAAATCAATCTTATCCCAGTACAAGCTGATTGAATAATTTTCCTCCTTACTTGCAACACCTTTTTTTATTTGATTGTTATTTTCAATTGGTTCAGGCTCTTCAACTGGTGCTTCTGCTTCTGCTGCTTCAACTGGTACAGCTGGTACAACTGGTGCTTCTGCTGCTTCTGCTGCTTCTGCTGCTGCAACTGGTGGTTCTGGTGGTGGTGCTCCTTCAACTGGCTCATGGTCATTGAATAACCCATCATAAAATGGTTGATTGACATCACCTGGTGCTTCTTCCTCTTCTCTATTTCTTCTTCTTAGAGAATTCACACGAGATTTTATAGATCTATTGATAGATCTAATACTGAACGAAGCTATTCTTCGGGTGAATGTATTTCGTTCTTCTTCAGTTACCATTGACTTTTCTTGTTCATTACGGGTGTCAACTGGTGCAGATTTGGTGGTGATTTCTAGTTCCATGATTAATTATTTGTTGAAGGTTTGTTTTATTTGGAGAAGTTTTTAACTTTTTAAAGATTTCTGTGGATACTGGTCATTTATATATAAAATTTAATTTACATGATCTCCAAGAAATATTTTAATGTTTATATAAATTATCGACATTAATGGTAATAAAATTAGCCGCTGACACACGTCTTTATATCAAATTACACGAAAATTTGGAAATTGACGCGTTTAATTAACATATTTTAAATATTAATTAAAATTAAATCGTATGACGCAAATTATCACTATATTGTATTGCAAATTCTAACTTTAAAATAATTATCTAGTAGTCTACTAAACGCTGATATATTTGTCATTGTCATACGCATCATACAATGATTGATATAACTCTTCCGTATATCGTATATTAAAAAACAATTTCACGATCAAAGAACGTCCCGTTCAGACTTCCTTTTGGATAGAATTGGCTTACTAGTGCTAAAGCTTTGAAGGTGTACCAATTCAATATTTGGGTTATTCTGTGACATGGGCGATTCAAGAATTCCCAGAGCGATACAATTTGTCAAGTATATGAAGTGTCAGCAATTAGTAAGCACCAATACCTCAAAAAGCTGCTAATTAAACTCGAGAAGTTGGCTCAAATCGTATAAGTGTTAAACAGTCAAACATGTGAATTATCTTGATAATTTGAGTTGATATATTTACCTTCAACACTTTATCTGGGGGTGAGTTCGAACAGCTACTTGATATTACATGATAACGTTTTAGAAATTTAACTTGTATATATCTATTTAAATTTATTTCTATTCAGCACAGTACAAATTTGAAGCTATTCTAACTCCCATTGATTATTATCATATGTGGTGTTATTGAAAATGGAATATTTTGATCTCTTTCCTCTTCTGTATCATCCATATAACTATTTTCAATGTCATGTGAACCGAAAATCAACGTAGACGTCTTTGAGGTTTTTTTCACGTTCATAGATGCAATACTATGAACAAAGTTTGAAAGAAAGTTTTGTGTATCAACTTCACTGAAAAAGCTGCGATTTTGTAACTTAATAGATCCTGCTCCTTTGAGCTGAGTTTTAGTCTCACGATCATAATTCCAAGTGTCCGGTTGCAATTCTTCATTCCATCTTTGAAAAGGGTTTGAACTTTCAAGGTCTTTCATGCTGTTCGCATTAAATATTTGACTTCTATACTTTGAATCCTTTTTGAAATCGTCCTGAACGATTCCTGGAAGGGTTAGTTCCCTGTAAAATTCACTCTCGGGGAGCGTTTCTTTGACGTATGGAAACCTTGGGACAGTAAAATCATTAACTAAGCAGTCAAGTTCCTCTAAATCAAAGTCTATTCCTTTTCGAATATAATATTCATAGTTTTCATCAAGCTCAAAAGTGTCAAAAGAATTGAAATCACTAGCTAGAACATTAAGCTTTGTCTTGTTAGAAAGACTTTGGATTGTTCCAGCAAAATTGGATCCTTCTTTAGTAAACTTGTCAAACCCATCAAGAAAACATATAGAAGTAGTTAATTCTTTAACGAAATCTTTAAACAATGAGTTTGGATTAGATATAATGTTTTCAAACACATTTTTAACATCTCTGAAGTTTCTAATATATCTTGTTGAAACATTATCTGCGTTATCATTAGAAGAACTTGTATGTATAAGGTCTATGAATTCATATTGGAAATTTTGACTATCGTGAAGCATTTTGTACATCTTGAAAGGACTAGAGGGTTGGAATAAATATGTTGAGCCAAAATTGCAATAATGAGAATAAAATGTTTGAAGTGTATCAATTGGACTAATGGTAATATCCATGTGAATGGATTTGTAGACAACTGGGGCAAAGAAGTTACAGAGTTCTTTGTTTACTCTCACAAGATTACCAGCATTCACATTATAATCCTTGACTAATAAATACCAAACTTCAATTGGGAAACAACATGAAAACCCAGTACAAGGCTCTTTAGTTGGGGGAGCTTTAATTAAATTCAAATTGGATGCTAATTTATTGAAAGATGATTCAACATGATTAATTACTTTGGTGAGTCTCTTAATTAATTCTGAATTTTCAATTCTTTCAAAGCAACATTGTGTCTTATATCTACCAAAGAACATAGCTTTTTGGATCTTCCATATAAATCTTTTGATGGGCACTTTGATTTTGAAATTTAGCACATGATATATAAAACCGTAAACATTTCCTATTTCTGGTTCCAATTCCTCTTCGTTTCCAGCCATTTTAAATAACTCCTTAAGGCACTTTTTAGGTATGAGCTTCAATGCAACCTCAGAAAGTTTATAAATTACCCAAGAATCTTCCTCTTCATCATAAGCATCGTAATCGACGTTGGACATATTCAATTAATTTAATAAAAGCTAGATTGGTTTGCACTATTGATGGATTAAAATTATATTGATTGATAGTAGAAAGGTAATAGAAGAGCATTGGGAAATAGATTATCTTGTCAGCTATTTATACTTATTTTTCAAATCGCTCATAAAGCAGAGAATAAAGTATATAGAGTAAATAAACTGAGATGATTTTTAACGGTGAAATTAAGGTTTTATTATATGCGTCTTCCTAATGAGGAAGGGTTAGTAAGCCCCTGTGTTAGCGCCTGATCTTTCTTAAGACTCAGCTACCAAAGCAAATACATCATCTTACAACTTATGAGTTATAATGGTCGCAATTACAGAGCTGATATGGTTTCATATATTTTCACCTTTGTTATGTTTATCTACTGAAATCAAATGGGCTTTTGGGCAATATGTTGACGGTTAATTGAAAAATCAGGTCCAGACTTACCATATAACGGGGTTTTGTGTTTTGTGGCAAAGATCATTATCAAATAATAAATTGAATCAACTTCTGTGTTTCTACTGGTTAATTCAGATAATGGGGTGCTATATACTTCAATTCAGTTTCTGCAGAGCTCCACCTATATCGATTCATCAAAATGAATCGTCAAACTGGTCAAGCTGGTCAAGTTCCTCAAATTAGTTTGGAAGAGTTATTGGAAGAATTGAAAGATCAACTCCCAAGTTATAATCAAGCTACAGAAGCAGTTACAAAAGCAAAAGATGCTGATATTGAATCACAAGCTTTAGATCAATCACCACCTTCATATTCACAACATTTAGCTTTTGTTTCTCAAAATAATGCACCAACTGAACAAAATGATTCAAATTCAAACACTAACGAGTCGTTAACACTTAGAGAGACAGTTCTGGTTATATTTGCTTTGCTTCTTTCTATGGGGATGCTGATTGGATTCATTTTCCTCTTAGTGTACTTTGCAGAGTCTATTTCATGTTTATGTGAAGATGAAGATTAGGATTGGTATTAAAATGTGAAATGTTACACTTATCAATATTTACCTTAGATAATGCATTGTCAAAAACAATTCAAGGAAAAGATCCATTAAAAAATTCAGATGTATCAAAATACGTCAATACAGCACTATCCAAACATTATATTTTTAAGATTAAAATCAAATTATTAAACTCAAAGAACAAATTTAAACTCATTTTTATTGTCATTACGTCAAACTATATGCTTTACCAATATCCCAATCATAAAATGATCATTTTGTTATGATTTCACAATACATTAATATCAGTTGAATTTTGCAAACTTTCAGAATAAACTTCCACATTTTTTATTTAAACAATTTTCTCGTGATTTATTTACTGCTGGTATGGATTCATAAACCCATGTCTCATTCAAATACAAGTTTTTATTCATTTCATTTTATCTATGATTTAATGTACTTTATGTTTATTCATTAATCATCTAATAATTGATATCGAAATCAACAAAACTATTGTTCAAATTGAGGAATTCTACGAGCTTATGTTTAATAATATCTGTAAATAACATTCCCATATATGATATATCACAATAAACATATATAATCAACTTGATATAAATTCCTGTAACATCTTGATAATGATCAATATGATATTCACACCTTCAATATAAAACTGAATATTTGGCCCATTTGTATCATGTGACTATGAGTGATTATGTAATCAGATATATAAATAATTGAATTATATCACAATTATTGAATTTTTCTGTGATAAAGTATTTTAAAAAAAAGTTTTTATGGTCATTTAAAACTCCATTATTATTGTAAGATATTTTAAATTCTCAAATTCCTACTTTCAAATTTGGAATTTTTGCAATTCAAAAATCTTATCAACATGATAAATTTTATATTTACTTTAAGAATAAAATTTAACAAAAATTACCAAAATTTTAATTTAATCAACCTCTTAATTCTGGTAATTTAACAAGACATATATGTCATATCTCGTACTAAGAGCATATAAACTGGTTTTAATAATTATTTATTCCATTTTATATCTAGTTACTATATAATTAAAATTAATTACATAATCACAGTGCCACTGCTTACCTCACCGTGCAATTTTAAAATTGTATTTCGCAATTTTTCACAAATTTTTCGCACAAACTATAAAGTAATTTCCCAATCAGGTAAATCCGTATACCGGTGAAAAAGTCAAAAGTTCCTTTTTTTTTGCGGCGTTAAATATTTTCAAGATTTTAACTTTTCAAGATAAGATAACGGTTGTTAATCGTCCAATCAAATTTTAGTTTAGGAATCGTCTACTGATAACACCGAATTTTTAAATTTGGTGGTTTGAACTCTTTTGGGAATCTTTGGAATAAATCCGATTGATGAGGATGATTTGAGTATAAAACAATTGTAGTGTATATGATGGTTATTTGATAGTTTTACTATGGAATAAGTTGATTATTGAAACTGAATTTGATTATTTTGTGATTGCCTGATTATGAATCTCGGGCTTTTCTTGTAGTTATCAGATCCCATTTTACCAAGAATATCATGAGTACAATTGATCAGTATATATGATTACTAGCTCATCAAAGGCCAAGATCAGAAGAATTTCAAAGATATTTATACTCAAATTTATCATAATTGGCATTAAATCACGTACTAAAAGTCTAGTTTTATATTTATTCCACGCCTTCATTTTCTTTATCAAAAGTTTCTCAGTTTTTCATTTGTTGACTCGTTTTTCGAATTTGCGGTAACTTGCATAAAATTTTCATTTTTACTCATTTGGAATTTTAATATAAGTAAAATTAATTCTTCAACTTATACTTTTGACATCGTTGAGAATACATTAGTCTGGTATTACCATCACTATTGATATCATCATCATCTTTATCACTGTTCAAATCATCATTTCTTTATATTCTCGCTTGTTATTGCTTTTTGTCATAACCAGCAATTCATATCATAATATCATCAATACAAAAATAAAAATTTCATAGTTTCATATCATCAATAATATCAATAATATCATTACAATCAATATCAATACAATATAATCATCATGGGTGCCGTATTAGAGGAAACTTATGATTCCGGTGTCGTGGCATTTCTTATATTATGTACAGCTTTAGTCTTTATTATGGTTCCAGGTTTGGGATTTCTTTATTCAGGTTTAGCAAGAAGAAAATCTGCCCTTTCATTAATATGGGCTGTATTAATGGCATGTTGTGTTGGTATTTTCCAATGGTATTTTTGGGGTTATTCATTAGCTTTTTCTAAAACTGCAACAAATAAATTTATTGGTAACCTGGATTCATTTGGATTTAGAGATGTTTATGGTAAAGTTGAATCTGATGACCAATATCCTGAATTAGTATTTGCAAATTATCAAAATATGTTTTTATGTGTCACTTTGGCAATTATTGCAGGTGCTACAGCTGAAAGAGGTCGTTTATTACCTCATATGGTTTTCCTTTTCCTTTGGGCAACTTTAGTTTATTCTCCAATAGTTTGTTGGATTTGGAGTTCAAATGGTTGGGCTGCATCTTGGGGAGTTTTAGATTATGCTGGTGGTGGTCCAGTTGAAATTGGTTCAGGTGTTGGTGGATTTGTTTATTCATGGTTTTTGGGTAAACGTAAAGAAAAATTATTAATAAATTTTAGACCTCATAACGTTTCATTAATTACTTTAGGTACTGTATTACTTTGGTTTGGATGGTTAGGTTTTAATGGTGGTTCAGCATTTGCTCCAACTATGAAGGCAATGATGGCTATTATGAATACAAATTTAACTGCTTCTTTTGCTGCAATGACTTGGTGTTTATTAGATTATAGATTAGAGAAAAAATGGTCCACTGTTGGGTTATGTTCAGGTTTAGTTTCAGGTTTAGTTTCATCAACACCTGCTTCAGGTATGATTACACCTTATGGTTCAGTTATATTGGGGATTGTTACTGGTATAGTTTGTAATTTTTCCACTGGATTGAAATATTTAGTTGGAGTTGATGATTCTTTGGATATCTTGGCTGAACACGGTATTGCAGGTATGTTGGGATTATTTTTCAATGCATTATTTGCAGCTGATTGGATTATTGGAATGGATGGTTCAACTGAACATCCAGGTGGATTTATTTCTCATAATTATAAACAAATTTATAAACAAATTGCATTTATTGCAGCTTGTACCGGTTATGTTGCAGTTGTTACATCATTGATTTGCTTTGTTATTGATAAGATCCCAGGTTTAAAATTAAGAGCTAATGAATATGCTGAAGCTGCAGGTATGGATGAAGATCAAATTGGTGAATTTGCTTATGATTATGTTGAAGTTAGAAGAGATTTCTTAAGTTGGGGTAATAATAATCAAATGGAACAAAATCAAGATGGTTCATATATTCCAAATCCTTTAAATCATCAAGATGATCATATTCCAAGAGTTGAAACTCATGATGGTGAAAATGGTGAATCAAGTGAATTAAGTGATCATCAACATTTAGATCAAGAAAAACAAGGGGTATGATAAATTCATATCATGCTCTTATAGTTTTTGTTTTATGTTTTATGTTTTCATTTCACGAAGTTACGTTTTAGTTCTTATTTTATTTTAAATAATAGTTTTCTCACAATGCATTAGGTTATATAACAAAAAGTTAATTATATATATATATATTGGTTTAATATTTACATGTAGTCTGATCAACGTACAACATATAGCTACACTATAGTTGTTTATTCTTAGGATTAAAATAACCTTACACCTGAACCTGTTGCTGAAGTATGAGCAGTATTTGAAAATGAAAAAGATTGATTATTATTATTATTCCCATTATTTTTCTTTAATAAACAATAATAAAAAGTTTTCGAACTTTCAAATGGTCCAGATACCGGTTGAAAACAAACTGTTGGAAGATTTGAGGTGAAAGTATTAGTTTCAAATCCATTATTTATGGTATTGTTTTGTATATCTTTATTTTTAGTTTCAAATTCTTTAACTGGTATAAATAAATTCATTGAATTATTAATCTCTAATAAATTTGAAGATGTTTCAATAAATTTTTGGAAAAAATCTTGAATCGTTTTAGTTGAATTGATTGAATTATATGTTGAATGATTTGTGAATTCTAATTCATATTGGAGATTTATAGGGAATTTCCCAAATATAACAATACTTGTACCTGGTGAAGATAGTCCATGGTTAAGAATTTCAATGATTTCTAAATTTAATAAAAACTCTTTATTGAAATATTTCAAATATTGAACATTTGGTATAGTTAATTTTGTAAAATTTGATGAAAAAGTTGTATTTAATATTCTTGCAAAATTTAATGATTTTATTTCATTATAATTCAAACCATAACGATTAACAAAATGTATAACTTCATCATCAAAATTTATTTCAGGATTATTCTTTAAAGCTGTTTGAACATCATATAATGGTTCAATTTTTAATGTTTTTAATGAAGGAAATTCACATTGATCAATATTTAATAATAAATTATTTTTCAATGATAAATTTTTCAATGTTTGGAAATTTGAATTTATTATCGATTCAATCTTGGAATATTTGATTAATTTGAATATCTCAAGTTTGGGGAAGTCGCAACCCTTAATTGAATAAAGATTATGCTGTTCAAATTGTTTATTATTATCATGATAATAATTTGATTCTAATGTAGTTGATTCTATTAATGTATCTTTTTTAACTCCTGAATAAAAATAAATTTCTTCTAAATTTGGTAACTTTAAGTCTGTGACTTCAAACGTTTTACAATTCCCATTATAATTTGTAATTACCATTCTTTTGATATAATAATTGAAATGTTTCTTCTTTGTGTTGGAATGTATAGTTTTCGATAAATTATTGGTTTTGATATTGAATAATGAATCAGCAGATCTTAGTTTCAACTCATCGTTTAAGTTATTTGTTTCAGATCCAATATAAAATTCATTGAAACCCATAAAATATTGCTTTACTGAATCTGGTAAATTTTTACAAATTTTATTTTCATCTATGATGACGTTATTACTATCATTCGGATCAACACAATCAATTTCATGTTTCTTTAAAGTAACACCAGATTCATAACTTGTCTTCAAAATGTAATTTGGACTGAAAAAATTGATTTTGAAGCCTTTATTCAAATCCTTATTAAACTTTTCAAAAATCTTTAAGTCATAACCTAATTCTAAATTATAATTGATAATATAGAACTTATAACGATCATCCAATGCAGCTTCATTAACTATCTTCAATTCCAAGCCATCTAGACCATCAACCATTGTCATTTCTTGATTTGGTAAGTTCACATCATTGGTTATAATTGCAACAGTTTTCCTCAATAATGAACCAAATTGTTTATCTATACGATATAATGCTTTTAATTCTTCAAATTGATAATTCAAATGATCAATGAATATTTCTTCCAAGCAGTGATCTGGTAAGTCAGACAAGCAAACCATTTTGCCCTCGAGCGTTCTCTCAACTGTTTGATACCAATAGCTTTAACTGTCGATGTCTATTGTTAAATACTAGGCTAAGAAAAAAAAAATACGACACACAACATTATACAGATGCTTCCCCAACCAACTTCGAGACAGAGGAATCCAAAAAAATAAATGGTCCCTAGCAGGATCGAACTGCTGATCTTGGCGTTATTAGCACCACGCCTTAACCAACTGGGCCAAGGGACCTTTTAGACGCCACGCCTCAACCAACTGGCCAGCGCCTTTTTCTTTGAAAAACCTTAATCTCAGGGTACCTCGAGGTACAGAAACAATGTCAATTTTTCAAAAAATCCCCCAAAAAAATCCATTTAGTTGTACTTAAAAGCATTCAAAGCCACAAGTAAAGGTTATATAATATTTAATATAGTCTCAATTATATACATGATAAGTTTTAAGCTGAAAGTATGGTGGTGTTACTAGGTTTATATGGGATTTTCAATGGGCCCCGTGAAAACCATGTCGATGCATGAATCCACTGAATTGGGTTTCCATCTTTGAAAAACATGTTTATGAAAAAATTGATAATATCAGTGTAATGAAGAGTAGGAAGAAAAGCAGAAAAGCATGAAACGTAGTTTCAACAGCTTCTGGAAAGTGATGATAAAGATATTGGCAAAAGTAATAAAACCAGGGAAGGATCCATGGATTTTTCCTTGATTCCCTATTTTCCCCTGTAACACCATGAAATTAAAATAAATGCTCAAACAAAAGTGTTTTCATAAATAATGAGACTCATAAAAGTGTATCCAAGTACATGTTTTTTGTTTATTAACTTATTTTATTACATTTATGATACAAAACATGAATCCATGGATTTTATCCAGGCTGCCATGGACGTCGGTCCAATAAACCAGTGATTTTTCGAGAAAACCAGCCAAAGGAAAAAATAAATCCATGGATTGCGAGAATCAAACCGTTTACTATTATTTCCCAGACTTTACTATCACATCAGTGTGTTATTGAAGGTGATTATACTAGATTACAAGCAATATATTCCAGAAAATGTAACTGCATCATGATGTGGATTTTGAACCGTTTATGCATGGTCTAAGAAACTCTAAAATCAAAGTTTAGCCCTTTCAACTTATACTTTATACTTTAAGTTTCGTTGAGCCAGGATATGCACACTATTTAAATTGTAAAGATCTAAATCTGACTTATTACCATATTAGGATAATCAAATGATGCATTTTTCTGGTCTTAGTTTAATTTTGAATGTCCTAATTCCGCTCAAATATTTTTTTTCACCTTTAAAATTCCGATGGAAAATCCACTGGAATGATGGGAATGTACAACCAGATTCATGTAATTAAAAGTCCAATTGGGCTTATATGAATTTGGACCTTCGTACTTAGTTCCAAGACCATGTGACAGGTGTGATTAATATGTTGCTTATCATAAAATTGATGGTGATAATTGCAAAAACAACACACACTTGAGTCGAAATTCTACAACTTGATGGTTATTATGCTGATTTGAAAAGAGGTCACAAGAGAAAATTAATATTACAAGGAACTAGAATAACAAATAAGAGACATTACCATGAGCTTATTGTTGAATCTTATATGGTTTTTCAACGTTGTGCTGCTTTTGATACTTTTATTATCAGCTAAAAATATTTCAACCAAAAAGCAAATTGAAAAAATTCCAATATCAAATGAACCACCAACTGTTATTATTAAACCTCCAAAAGAACCTGAAAAGATTAATAGTATCGCTGCCTCAAATGATCTCAAACCTCAAAAAGTCTCAAAACTTACGTTAAACTCTAATAAAGATGCATTATGTCATAATATACCTCCATCATCATTAAAAAAAACAAATAGAGTTTCAATTAAAGAATCAATTGAATCAAATTCCAAAAAAATTAAATGGATACCAAATTTTAATCATATGGCTGATTTAATAATCCAACATTATAAATTAATCAAATCAAATTCTAAATTGAAAGATAATCTAAAGATTAATGTTTTCAGTTATTTATTACTTCATTTACATATTGCAATTTATCATTATTTGAAGATTGTTTCCAAATTCCAAGATTTAGATCATAATATTTTATCAACTTTGAAGATTTATGAAGTTAATGGGTTTCATAAATTGAAAATAATACCAAATCTGAAAAATTGGTTTGAATCATTAGGTGGTGCTGAATTTCATCATGATGATACTAATGAATTAATAAAATTTATAATATCATTACCACAAAGAAAAGAACCAATGGTTAGAAATCCATATCCAGAAACAATTAATTTCAATTCACCAAAGGGGAAAACACCCGTGGAAAATTATGATATTAATAATAATGATTTACAAAATTTTGATTTTTATTTACATATTTATTCACAAATTCAAGCTATACTAGATGGTTATTATAGTCATACAACAACTGAGATTTTTCCAAATTTTAGTGCAATTTTATTAGCATCTTGGTTCGTTTTCAGTACAAATTCAATTGATAAAAGAAGATTTATAAGTGCAAATAATATTAAAGAGTTAAAATATCTTGACCAGGGGAATGTAAGAATTTCATTTATGAATATTGTTGGTGGGAATTCAATAGATTTTGAAAAAATTGATGAATCATTTGCTTATCTTGCAAGAGATACATTAATTGATTTTAATGGTAAAGATGATATTCATGATGATATTAAAGCATATTTGAACGTGACACCAAGGTTATTAAAACATCTTAAAGAAGTTTCAATAATTACTGAAAATGTTGCAGAGTATATTGATTTTGAAACTGGTATATGGGATTTCCAAAATAGTTTATTGAATTTCCCCTTGTTTACTAATAATATTAAAATGATTAAGCCTGGTATTAGATCTTTGGTATTAAATGAAATGTCATTACAAGAATATTCAACTTTTCAAGAAGTTATAGCAAAATTTGAGAAAGACCATGAAAGAGAGGATGATGTTATATCAAATGAAGAATTATTTTATGATTCAATAACAACTGGATTAATTTGGGATAATAGTAAAGGAATCACACCAGGGTTTTTCTATAAAGATGATAAATTTTATTATTATGATAGAAGGAAAATTGATTCTTTTTTCAAACAGGGTACTTTATATCATAGTGAAATTTTTCAAAAAGATTTAATAACTTCAGAATTTTCATTGAGGTCTGCATGATCGTCTAAGTCGGTGTAAAAATGATATGAAGATTATTATTGTCTCAATTGACACTATTACTAACAAATATCAACACAAAGATTGCCTTAATGAAGCTCACATTCGCTAATAGCATAAAGAAAATAATGAACAAATGATGAGTTTATGAGTTTATATCTTATATTCAAATGTCTCTCGTTAAATCCATGGCTTTCTTCGTAAGCTTTTTATTCATTATATGTAATTATTTACGAGGAAGATCTACCTCGATATTCACCCATACTGATTCCCATAAGCCAATAATCTGACTTAAACCATGACTATAGCTATAAAGTACGTTAGCTCTGTTAAGACACAATAAACAAGATAAGGAGAGGTAATTCACACAAGCATATCTATTGTGATTTATAATATTGTACATAAGCAACAAGATTAGCGCAATCTTTCACGTTGAATGTGCATACTTTTACTTACAGCTTACAGCATTGGGTCTTTCAGGGATTGCAATTTTCAAATAAGGTCATAGATGGTGGAGATCTTTGGTTTTTGAACTTGTTGACGTTGACGTTGACATTGAAATATTTTCAAATCTCGAGTCTGAAAACTTTTCAAGTCATATATCTTTGTACATATCACTTTATACCAATTACTGCTAAGAAATCGATCAATTAATCTTAAATAGGCTTAAAAGATGCCGGTTCGTGTATACAAAGATATTTTTACAAACAATGAAATGATTTTAGACAGTTATAGAATCAAACTTGTTGATGATGTTGTTTATGAGATTGATTGCACTATAATTGATATTAATACAATGGATGCTTATGGGGAAGAACATAATGAAGATAATGTCAACAATGTGATTCACGCATTTTCTTATACACCTGATTATTTTGACAAAAGGGGGTTTTTATCTATGTTTAAATCCTATGTAAGAAGGGTTGAAGATCATTTAAAACAAAATAATCCTGATTAAATTGAAACTTTTAAAAAAGGTGTTGCAATTTATCTTAAGAGAGTTACGAGTTCATTCCAAAATTGGGGATTTTTCACAATTGAGTCAGAAAATACTCAGGGTATGACTGCCTTATTGAATCATCGTGAAGATGGAACTCCATATCTTTGCTTGTGGAAACACGGTCTATATGAAGAAGTTTATGGTAACTGAATGCTATGATATTTGATATTTAAAATTATAATAGTTGATATTATTGTTTTTTATTGACTATAATAAATGATAATACTGTACCTGGGTAATTACACATTCTGTGTATTAATGTATATCTATTAATGTATCATATAAAGACAAATACAATTTTCCCATGATGAGGGTATTATATCTTTTAATTATTCAATTGGCTTCCTTCATAAACTTATCCATTACATGAGTACATTCCTTATCTCATAGAGGATCTAGCTAGTGATATACTCGATCATAGCTAATATTATCACTAGCTCCAAGTTATTCGAAATTCCAGTAAAAGTCCTTCCATTGTTTGATGATGAGATGATGATGATGATAATGATCATGATCATTTAGCCGGAATTTACCCTGTCCATCAAATTTCATCAACAAGAAAATAAAAACAAATGAAGCTTCAAACTTCAAAAAAATCTTCTACATTTCCTACAAATTAAGTTATTTGAAATTTGTAAATTAGTGCACCACATAGTTGACATTTGTAATCAAAATGTTTCAGTGATACTGGTCTTATTGTGGAATAGTCCTATCATTTTTCATTGATCAATTTAATATTATATTAATCATATACATAATTGAGACGTGAATATACATGATTGCAACAACAGATACACAACCAGGATGAATATATGGAAGTTGACAAACAATACTTTCCTGAACCATTACTGTGCTGTTATCTACGCTATTTTCCCACTATAAATATTGAATATTTGTAGATCAAAATAAGCGAACATGATTTCCATATAGTGTGGCTTATTCAAATTTACAAAAGGTACAAATGATGAAATAGTTTGATTCAATCTTGATAACTTTCATTCTTTGGTGATTCAACAGAAAGGTTTGACAAGGGGATATACATTGGGTGTTGTTGTTATGTCATTTTCCAAGGGTGATGCTAGTTATCAAGAGTTTTCTTCTGATAGTGTAACTCCTTTGATAAGAAATGGAAATGAAGGCAAAAAAGTCACCTATAAAGATGCTGATGTGGTGCTAAAGTTCTTAGAAGCTAACCAGGATGAAACAAGGACTTTAAGTATAGAAGAGAGTGATCAATTGGATCAGAAAAATTTCAAAATTGTGATATTTCTTGTTAGTTTGGTTACATTGGTATTATTCATGGATAAGGCAACTATTGGATATACAGTGATTTTAGGATTATATAAAGACACTGGGATTACAAAGAGTCAATTCAATAATTTAAATTCCATTTTTTATATTGGTTACTTAATTGCTCAATGGCCAGGTCATATCTTACTTCAAAAATTACCTATTGGGAAATATCTATCCTTCACTATATTAACATGGGCCATAATTATATTCATCACTTCATTTGCACAAAATTATAATCAGTTAGCCATCTTAAGGTTTTTACTAGGTGCTTCTGAATCAGTTGTAACACCAGCTTGTGAAATAACATTAGGGATGTTTTTAGATCCTAAACAACGAGAATTTGCACAACCTATATTTTGGACTTCTACTGCAATAGCTCCATTTATATCAAGTTTTATTGCATTCGGATTATTGAAAACTGAAGATTTATTTGATATCTCACCATGGAGGATTTTCATGATTATAAACTCAGTTCAAAGTGTCGTTTTATCAATTATTGTATGGTTTTGGTATCCTGATAATCCTATCAATGCAAAATTCTTATCCACTATAGAGAAAATCCATTTAATCAAGAAAATTCAAAATCTAACCAAATCATCAACTGAACAGAAAACTATCAAGACATATCAAATCAAGGAAACTTTAAAAGATCCAATATCTTGGTTATTTTTCGGTCAATCTTTTACATTAATGCTTTCGAATTCTTTACATTATCAACAAAATCAATTATTTGTTGATATTGGAGTTGATTATTTAGGCTCATCATTAGTATCTGCAGCTGGATCCATTTGGAGTGTCTTGATATATATCATATTTGCCATAGTCATCAAGAAATTCCCTAATCAGAATGGGATCATTGGTATAATTTGCCTAATATTACCAATCACTGCAAGTATTGCAATGTGCATCATCCCATGGGAATATAAAAAAGCATTATTAGCTAGTATGATTCTTGCAGGTTCATCAAAAGGTGTTACTTATATTGTTGCATTAGGTTGGAATACATCAAGTGCAAGTGGATATACAAAGAAACTTTATAGAAATGTAATGTTTATGATTGCATATGCTGTGGCAAATATTTTATCACCACAATTATGGGATCCAAAAGATAGTCCAAGATATATAAAATCATGGGTAATTCAAATCATATTTGCATTTGCATTAAATGGTGTTATATTATGGATCATAAGAATCATCTTAAAGCAAAGAAATGAAGAAAGATTACATCAAATTGATGATCAAGATTATTTTATAACAAATGATGAAGGTATTGAAGAAAGAGTTGATGTTGCAATGTTGGATTTGACTGATTGGGAAAACAAAAAGTTTATATATCCACTATGAAATCAAAGGTTTGTATGTGTAAGTATGAACTTTTGGTTATTGTGATTTGTAATATTACACGTAAGCAACATAGATTAGCGCAATCTTGCATATTTATACTTATGCTTATAAGCTTACACTTACAGCTCGAAGACACATATGAGTACATATGAGGTTTTTATAATTAGTTTCAGTCAATATTATCAGAAGCCTCTACCATAGCTTTAGACTAATAGTAAACAACTAGCTGATACATCAACCAACTTATATATTTCATTTAGTTCAAGAGAAAACCCATAAACAGCAACGAAGAAACAAATCTTGAGCGATTACAAGTATTAATAAATGTTTTGACTATATATAGTATCCTTTATACAAACATCTATATATGACAATAACGAATTATACTAATTACACATTTAGAGTAGTGAATTGCCCGCATGATCTCAAGAAAAAGATGTTATTCATTAAGTTCATCATAATCATAAGAAACATTTTCATCCAATGAACATGGTCTATATGATTGAAAGTTTGCATAATCTAAGTTTTCAGACTGACCATCAAAAATAAAAAGTTCATCTGTTCCTTGACAACGACGTTCATAAACCCAATCATCATAACTAGGAAGAACCTCATTACTTCTGAAATGATTTATATCCAAATTATTACTTTTAGTGTTTTCATTATCTTTTATAGCACATTCTTTATCCTCATCATCATCCTCCTCATCATCAATCACAATTACCTCAAAGACATCATCATCATCATCAATAACGATGACTTCAACATTATCTTCAATTTTTTTATCTCCTTCTATGGTTTCTCTATGTTCATTATGTTCATCATGTTCATTATCTATTTCGATATCACTTTCATCACTTTCATAACTCTCATAACTTTCAAAACTATAATCACTGTAATCATCATCATGTTCAAACCATGTTGTGTCTTCATTGTTTACATCATTATTAGTTTTTGGAACAATCTGTTGTTGATTTTTGGACATAGATCTAAGAAGTGTGTTTTTAATAGAATGGGTTAAATATAATGGTTGAAAATTCATTGATCCTAAAACATCTTCTGGTGAAAGCTGGTTAAGTGAATTGATATTATTGTTGATTGGTTGGGGTTGTGGTAAAGGGTTATTGATTGGTTGTGGATCTGGATTAATATTAATTGGATTTGGAAAAGCTGGAGCTGAAGAAAGTTCATCATCAAAATCATTATTTATATCTTCATCTAAGAATTCTGCTGGTAAATCTTTATAAGAGACAAGTGTACCAACTTCTTCAATTGAAGTAAAAGCACAATCTTTTAGAACTTTATAAATAATAGCAGTTTCTTCATCTATATATAAATCCTTTGATTTTTTTCTGCAACAAGGATAAGTACATTCATAACTGAAATTGTCACTATTTGGACACAAATCATTAAGTGTAGGAGACAAATTGGCTTCAGTCAAGATATATTTATAATTGTTGGAATTTAATAAAGAAGAAAAATCTTGGGTTGTCAGTTTAAAATCTTCAGTTTCATCTGGTGTTTCATTATTTGATCTTCCATTTTTTGGAATGACTTCTAAATAAGCATTTGATTCATTATAGTTTGAATCGCTTGGATTAAGGTTGGAATAATGGTTACATAGATTGGCTCTATGACCATTGATACAAGGTTCACAAGAGGCTTTAATATGTTTCCCTTGAATTATAATTCTATGTTTGTTATTGTAATTTGTTGGGAGTTATATACTTCTTTGTCTTTGATAATCAAACAGATTACTTTTGAGTTCTCTATGATTAACCAGCTTATTATCTAATATAACTGAAGAATTCAAAATATGAAAAGTTTTATGTGAATTAAGAGGGTTTCATATCCAACTTATACTTTTAATCCAAACAGAAAACACTACCACATACTTTTGAACAGAAAACATATCACTAGTATAATAATTGAGCACTTTTTAAGGATATGTGATTCTTTAACGTTATCATCAAATAAAACATCTCAAAAACTTGAGGTTTTTAAAGAATCCCATATAAAATTCAACAAAAACAAACAAAACCATTAGCGACAATTAGCGAAATCAAGCATTGTGGAAATAACTAACCCTTTAGAATCAATCATCAACAACTTGAGAGATGATCTGATGATCTGATGATTGTTTTGAAAAGTTCAAAGTTTTGTAAAATTTTTGGTTACCATATAAACATTTGGTAAGAGGCACAAAATATGTACACATTACATAATCAATATAAGCAAATTTTGACGAGATGCTCCGATAATTTCCATAATCAATCTCGATATTAAGTAACTAAGTAGTTGTTTTAATAGATCATCTTCATACAAGCCAACCAGGATTTCAATCATTTTCATATATGGCGTACGGCTACTCTTTGGTTTGATCTTCTGCCTTTAATGCACTTAATCAATACTAATCATGATCGACGATTTGTGAGATCAATTGCTAAATTTTGAAGATATTTTGGAAAAGTTCGACGTTGATTGAAAAATTTGAAAACCTTTGACCACTTATACACCACTGATATATCTAACACAAGTTGTTTTTAAAATTATTGTTATAATTAGGATCAAAATGATTTCCTACAAAGATATCTTTACAGACCTTGAAATGATCACTGATGATTATAAAATGAGACTAGTTGATGATGTTATTTATGAAGTTGATTGTAAATTGATTAATATATACAACGGTTCTCAACTACATGATCCAGTTGATAGTGATGAAGACAACGAAAATGTGATCGAAGTTAACGATGTTATTCACAACTTTGATTTATCTGGAGAAATTGAATTGACTGACGGTAGACAGGCGTTTATGGAGCTTTTTAGAGGTTATATGAGAAAAGTTCAAAAAGATTTAAAGGATAATAAACCTGAAGAGCTTGAAACTTTTAGAAATGGTAGTAATAAATACCTATCTCATAAAGTTGGTCCATCAATTAATAATTTTAGATTCTACTTGAGTTTATTCACAAATGAAACTGATACTATGCCTGTTATGGTTAAACATCTTGACGATGGCACTCCGTTATATGCTTGTTTTTGGAAACATGGCTTATATGAAGAGGAAAAATAGCTTTGGAACCAAATATTGAAATTTAAACAATTGATATATACTTTTATAAACATTGGTATACCATACCATATACCATTACTAATAAATGATGTAATCATATGGGCTTACTTAACTATAATTATACCATAAAACTTAATTTCCTCACAATAAAGACGATGAGCTCCCGTTGCATAAACATGTCCTAAGCGTACTCTTGAAACACACTCGAGAATAACACACAGCTTAACTGCTCAAGTCAAACAATTAGTAATGAACTCTCGTCATTCGTTAAATAAAATTCTTAAATTCCCTTTAAAGAAGTATCCCCGGAGTGCCACAGTTTGATACAATAAACTCCAAGTACAAAACATTCGATAAGTACTTTGATGATGATTAATCAGATAATAATAGTGATTAGAAATTGACCACAGTTGTCTTATCATAAAGATCCACAGTTATAATTCACTTGGATATATAAAGTCCATGAAATCATCATTTTGATGGAAGAGATCATGTTCTCATATACTTATAGTATAACAAAATAACTATTATTACAAAATGTCAACAGCAACAGCTACAGAATCTCAAGTCAATGAGATTGTTCAAAAATATCAAACTTTAGATTTGAAAAATCCACCAAAGTCAAATTCTACAATTCAAGTTGAATTGAAAAATCCAAATGGTGTTAAAGAAGGGTTTGGTGATGATTATTCAAAATATTTACCTCAATCAACAAAAGATCGTTTCCAAAGACATGGAATTGATATTTCAAAAGGTTATCCTGAACGTCCTCAAAGTATTCCATTATTCTTAGATGATGCTTATAAGATTAGAAATCAAGCTGATCCAAATTATATTGAACGTGGTGTTAATGCTGATCCTGAAAAAAAAGCTTTATTCTCCAAGGCGAAATTAGTTAGAAATTTAACTAAATATGTTGGTACTGAATTAGTTGGAGTTCAATTATCTGATTTAAATGATCAAGAATTAGATGAATTAGCTTTATTGATCAGCGAACGTATTGTTGTTTTCTTTAGAAATCAAGATTTATCACCTCAAGATCAATTAAAAATTGGTGAATTCTTTGGTAGTGTTGAAAAACATCCTTTAGCTGCTCAAGTTTCAGGTCAACCTGGTGTTACAACAATTTGGGGAAAATTTAATAGAAAAGATAAAGAAACTGATTTTAAGAAAAGAGGTGGTAATTTATGGCATACTGATTTAGATCATGAATTTAGAGGTCCAAGTTTAACTCATTTACATCTTGATGCTATCCCAAAAGAAGCTTCAGGTGATACTGCATGGACTTCAGGTTATGGTGCATTTGATAAATTAAGTCCTGAATTCCAAAAATTCTTGGAAGGTAAAATTGCAATTCATCGTTCTGCTCATAAATATTTTGATCGTGATGATGTTTTAGCTGGTGGTAAACATATTGAAAGAGAACATCCATTAGTTGTTACTCATCCTGTAACTGGCTGGAAAGCTTTATTTGTTAATAGAGGTCATACTTTAAGAATTAAAGATTTAGAACCTGAAGAATCTCAAACAATTTTGAATTATTTATTTAATGTCTTGGAGAAGAATTTAGATATTCAAGTTCGTTTCAATTGGGCAATCCCTGAACAAGATAGATCACTTGGTGCTTCTGCTATTTGGGATAATAGAGTTTCAAATCATTATGCTATTGCTGATTATGATGATGAAACTGATGAAAGACATGGTACAAGAGTTACATCTTTAGGTGCTCCACCTGTTTATAAAGAAGGTTCAAAATCTCAACGTGAAGCTTTAGGTTGGGATAAATGAAAAATATGGCTCAATTGAGAATGTAACTGGATTACATTAGAATACTATTTATACGTTAATTATTATTATATATATGAAGTTGCTTAGAGGTTGTAGTAGTAATATCTTGTAGCTATCTGACAATTAGTCACTCTTATTCTTTAAAATTCTTAAAATTAATTGTCTCTTCATATGCTTCTGGTGAAAATTTGAAATTGAAAACATAGAAATCAAAGATTGACAGAATTGAAAAAATCATTAATGAAGACCAGTGAAGTAATCCTGTATCATCTTCACCATCTAATAAAAAAAATTCTATAATACTTTGGTTTTCTGAGTAGTATAAGAAACTTTTAAGTAAGCCAATGATAGAGATATTTGAGACAAGAAAAATTGCAGTAAATAAATGATTCATAATCAACCATTTGAATTGACTAAGTTTTGGATGATCAGTCATATTATTTTGATAATATTGTTTTGAAGTGAATCTATAACGTAAATAAATTTTGAAATCAAATATTAACCTTGAAAATTCATTCAAAAAATATGTTAATGCAAGTATCAAATTCTTCAAAATATATGATAATGAACTTTTATCTTGAGATAAATCCTTCGTGACTCTTAAGAGATATGAAATATATGATGTAAAGAATAACAAAATGAACATCTTCAAACTTTCAAATGATTTAGGCCTATTGAATGTAAATTCTCCACTATAATGATAATAATAAAAATCATCAACTCTTGTTGTTAAAACATAAAAGATTGCTAATATATTATCCAAAATCATTCCTGGAATTGTTTTTGAGTTCATCCCATACCAGGTCTTCACTAAGTCAAGTAAATCATTAACAATATTGCAAATTAAATAATAATGAATAATCTTAAGAAGGTATGGAATTGATTTCTTAGTTTTCAGCTTCCAATTAACCCATTGACCAGTGAAAACTATTCCAATAATTATATTTATTATCAGGTAAACAAGATAGTTTTGAAATTTTAACTTTTCTTCCCTTGTAAAATTATCACCACTATCAATGCTTAATTCAACATAAAACTGAGTACCCCAATTTAGACCTTCAGTTTGGGCACAATAATAACCATCTTCTTCAACCTCTAAGGCCTCGATCTGTTGGAATCCTAATTCATCAATATGTAAGCTTAGAAAAGAATGTTTTGTATCATCCTGTGGGGTTTTAAATTCATAAAGAGATTCTCCATATTGATCATTTTCACAATACCCAAGTTCAATTGCCCTTTCAAAACATCTTTTCAAAACATAACCTTGTTGATCTTTAAACTCTTTATCCCAATTAAGTTGATTTTTCCTATAGATCAAGAGATATATATCAGGAACTCTGTCCCGTAGATGAGAAAACTGATACTCTTTGAGAAATACGCTGACACGATGTCCCTCTGATAATACAAAGCATTGTGACTTCTTTTCAATGTTTAATGTCTCATTGAAAACGCTTGCATAAACCAATGTGACCAGGGTTGGAACTAGAATCAAATGTGCGAGTCTCATACTAGGGAAGCTGTGAAACCCAATGTGTGGTTTTGAAGAAGAACCATCAGGTTTATTTGATAAAAATCGAACTTCACTATTTCCATTGAAATTTTGATTGTTTCGAATTACCCAGGAATTTGTTACCGGGACAACCAATAATACCCATATTTACGATAACACCCATTAATACCCGTTAATTACTTTACTATACAAACAATCAACGACCCATCCAACCACCATCAACACAAAGCATTTCACCACTGACATAATTGGAGAAACTAGACGCTAAAAAGATAACTGGACCTTTGAAATCTTCTGGGAACCCCCATCTATTTGCTGGAATACGTTCCAAGATTTGTCTACTTCTCTCTTGATCTGCAATCAATGCTTCATTCATATCTGTAGCAATATAACCTGGTGCAATCCCATTAACATTAATACCTTTGGAAGCCCATTGGTTTGAAAGAGCTTTGGTTAAAGTTAAAATACCTCCTTTCGCTGCAGCATAAGCTGGAACGTTTAATCCACCTTGGAAACAACAAACTGAACCAATATTAATGATTTTACCTCTATTTCCACTAGCATCTGGTTCTTGTTGTAACATATGTGCACCAACATCTCTTGAAATTCTCCAAGCTGTACTTAGATTAACTTGAATCACTGCATCCCAATCTTCATCACTGAAAGTTTCAGCTGGAGTTCTTCTTTGGATACCTGCACAATTAACGAAAATATGAATTCTTGGAACAATGTTTTGTAAAACATCATCCACTAATCCATTAACCTGGTCTCTTTGAGATAGTTCAGCTGTAACAATATATGCTTTTCTACCCAATTTTTCAATAGCTTGTTTAGTTTTTTGATTTAATTCGTCTCTTTGAACCAAGACAACATCAGCACCAGCTTCAGCCAATCCAATGGCCATTCCAGATCCAATCCCTCTGGTACCACCAGTGATCAATGCGACTTTTCCTTTCAAATCAAACGTATTAACAGACATCTTTAATTGATGATGGTTTAATAAAAGCTCGTACAAACTTTCAGTGCAATGGTCACAGCTTATATAGGATTCTGCATTTGCCGGTTATTATATAACCGGAACCCCATACAAATCAACACCGAGATCAAAAAAGCCAATAACCAGTGAATTGGGGAGAATGAATCATATATATAGCCAGGAACTTGCAAATTCTTTATAACAACTCAAATGATTGAAGAAAACATGATATCAAACCCCCTGGTATCCACATAATCCAAATGACTGTTCAAGATATTAAAGCTAGTGTCTTATTAGGACCTAAACAAATAGATACAATTTCAAGAGAAATTTCAGATCCGATAGGTTCAGATATCCAAGTTGAAGTTCAAGCCACCACGTTATGTGGTTCAGATGTTCATTATTATACACATGGTGCTAATGGTGATTTCAAAGTTAGAGAACCTCTTTCTCTTGGTCATGAAGCTGCTGGTATTGTTAAAATTATTGGTCCAAACGTTAATGAGAATCTGAAAATTGGTGATAGAGTCGCTTTTGAAGTTGGTACTCCATGTGGGAACTGTAAATATTGTCGTATTGGTCGTTATAATTTGTGTCCAAAAATGTTATTTAGATCAAGTGCTAAAACTTTCCCTCATTTACAAGGTACTTTACAAGATCGAATTAATATTTCAAGTCATTGGTGTCATAAGATCCCAGATAATTTGCAAATTGAACATGCTGCTCTAGCTGAACCATTATCAGTTGCTATTCATGCTGCTAATAGAGCTAAAATTGAAGCTGGCTCAAGAGTCTTAATCTTAGGTGCTGGTGCTGTGGGATTATTTTCAGCTGCAGTGGCTAAAGTTTATGGTGCAACTGAAGTTGTTATTGCTGATATTGCACAAAATCGTCTTGATTTTGCCCTTGAAAACGGTATTGCTAATCATTCATACTTGGTTAATGGTAAAAGAGGTACCACAATTGAAGAAAAATTAGAAATCTCCAAAAAAATCGCAAATGATTTAATTGAAAAAGGTGATGGCGGTGAATATGATTATACTTTTGAATGTACAGGTGTAGAATCCTGTGTTCAAACTGGTATTTTTGCAACTGCACCAGGTGGTAAAGTAATGTTTGTTGGTATGGGAAATCCAATTCAACATTTACATATTGGTTCTGCAGCACTAAGAGAAGTTGATTTATTAGGTGTCTTCAGATATGCAAATTGTTATCCAACAGCTATTGAATTGATGTCAAAGGGTAAAATTCCTGCATTGGATAAGATGATTACTCATACAATCAAAGGTATTGAAAATTCTTCAAAAGCTTTTGAAATTGCTGGAAAACCTTTTGATGAGAATGGTAATCTAGTTGTTAAAGTTGTCATTGTTAACTGAATTCATGCCTTGAGATAATATATGATATTGATTTTTGATTTGATCATGTAGAACAAACTAGCACAGTAGAGTAGTACATTGAATCAAAAGTCAGAATCCGAAGACATCATAAACAACCTGGTACTTAGATGAATTACGCTCTACAATACCATCAAGAAAATACATTCTTTTAGTCATTTACATATTCAATATATAAACTCAAATATATTCATTATAAGGCACTTGCAACACCTTTCAAGAATTCAACTAAACCAATAGCACCAGGATCAGCAACATTTGAGCTTTCACCAACATAACTTGCTCTACCAAATTTAGCTTCAATTTCACCAGTAGCTTTAGCAGCTTTTTCAGCAACATCAACTGCTTTTTGGAAATTTTGACTTGAAGAAAATTCTTTAACAAATGGTTCTAAAGCATCAATAACTGTAGAATCGCCTGTTCTAGCTTTAGTATATTTGTATAAAGTTTGTAAAGCTGATTCTAAAGCTTTACTGAGGGTCTTTCTATCAGTTGTTTTAGAACCATCTTCAATAATGGCTTGTGATAACCCAGTAATGAAAATCGAGTATAATCCACCTGAAGTACCACCCATATGAGTTTCTAATAGATGTGAAATAGTGGCTAAAGCTTCAGATAAACTTGATTTAGAAATTTTGTCCAGATTATCAACAATTGCATTACCACCTAGGACTAAAGTATAACCACAATCACCATCACCAACTTGAGTATCTAATTCAGTGATGTATGGTTCAGCTTTAACAACATTAGCAACCCCTGATTTAACGATTTTACTGAAAGTATTGAAATCATAAGAACCAAATGGTTTAACAAGTTCAATATCATCAGAAATAGTTGATGGATCATATTCTGGAGTTTCAGTAACTTTACTTTTAACTGGCCAACCTGGTGCATCAGTTTCAGCATCTAATAATCCCAAGATTGATTTAATACCAATTCCATTAGAAATAGCTGATTTTTCCAGCTTGGTAATATTTAATAATGAGACTGAGAACCCTTCACCATCTAAAGCTGTCATTAATGTACCTTGATAAGTACGAACTGGGACTATATTATATTCAGATTTCAAATTATTAGTGACGACTTTAGTAATTGCACTTAAAATCAAGTTTGAAACACCACCCAAGTTATTGATCAACAAGACAACTTGATCATTTGAATCAAATTTAACAAAAGCACGATCAGAATCATTTGGATCTAATAATTTTGGTAAAATGTGTTCTTTAACTAAAATTTCAGTATGTGGGACTGGTGATAAAGTTTTAACACCTGGTTCATTATGAATTCCCATACCTAATTCCATTTCATCATCTTTCAAATATTTTTCAATAGTTTGACCTGGAACTTTAGCATGACCTAAACTTGACCCAATTGAAACCAAATTATCATTAATAGTTCTAGCTAATAAAGCAGCTTTAGAAACATCATGATCATAATATTCCACAAAAGCACCAACAATCTTGTGAACAAACAAGGTACCAGCAATGGCTCTTCTACCAACTAATCCACCTTTAGCTCTACCAACAGCAACATCATCACCTATAACAACAACTTCGGTATCAATCCCCAAAGCTCTAGCACGTTCACCAGCTAATCCAAAATGTAAAACATCACCAGTATAGTTCTTAACAAGTAATAAAACACCCTTTGCAGTCTTCGCTAACAATTTAACACCGTTCAATATTTGTCCAGTTGATGGAGATGCAAATATTTCACCAGAAACAGCACCTGTTAATGCACCTTTCCCAATGAATCCAGCATGAGCAGGTTCATGACCAGCACCACCACCAGCAATAAGGGCAATCTTGTCTTTACTTGGTTTGCGGAAGATCACCTTGTCAGATTCAACAAGACCTAGCTGTGGATTGGAAAGAACAAGACCTTGAAGAGCTGTTAAGACTGGATTGTTGACTTCGAAATTTTTAACCATATTGAAATGTAATTATTGTTAGTTAATACCCAGTTGAATTGATATCATTGAAACCAGGAAATTCCCAAATAGTTATATTCTTTTTTTTGCAATAGGCCATGATGATCCATCTTCAATCAATTGGTAAGTGGTATAGCCGTAAAACAGCGTTATGGGATGTGGTTATTGGTGAATTTGTGTGGGTGAATAATTTTATTGTTGAGATTTTTTTTCACGATTCCCGGTTATTGCAAAACCCATATAACCTTTTGGAAAACCCATATAACCAGACTTCAATTACCAAGAACCCCATTAAGATATTCAGCCGATTTGTGGATAGATGATTTGGAAACTGTGAAGTGGATTGTTAAGGGATGTGATACTTATATAAACCCACTATTTCCTGGGAATTGTAACGTATCTGGAAAGTATTTCTATAGTACAAAGTCATTGTTATATTACAAAATGGTTGAAGCTAATGTTATCGGTGATGGTATTTATACCCCAGTCACTACTTTCTACAAGGATGATTATGAATTAGATCTTGATGCTCAAGTCAAACATGCAAATTTTTTGTATGATAATGGTATTAGTGGCGTACTTTTATCTGGCTCAATTGGTGAAGCTATTCATTTAAATAGAGATGAACGTTTATCATTAGTTAAAGCTGTTCGTGATGCTATTCCAGATAAGAATTTTAGAATTATTTCAGGTTTACCTTACTCAAATATTAAAGATTCAATTTTAGAAATTGATTTAGTCAAGAAGGCTGGTGGTGATTTTGCAATTTTATTAGTTCCAGGATTTTATGGTTCAAATTTAACTCATCAACAAGGTATTATTGATTATTTCACAAGAATCGCTGACCAAGCTACTCTACCAATATTGATTTATCATTACCCAGGTGTTAGTAATAATTTGAATGTTGAACCAGAAACTTTCAAAGCTTTATCTAAACATCCAAAAATTGTTGGTGTTAAATTAACTCATTTCAATTTGGATAATTATATATTATTAGCTGCAAATAAGGCTGAAAATGCAGCAAATAACTTCAAACCAGTCACTGGACTTGGTCAAATCTTGATTCCAGCTTTATCAGTCGGAGTCTTTGGTGCAATTGATGGATTATCAGGTATTTTCCCAAAAGTTATGGTTCATTTACACAAATTATTTAAAGAAGGTCGTCAAGATGAAGGTCTTGAATTACAATATTTGGTTACTAAAGCTGATAGATTAATCTTAAACTTGAATTTAGCTGGTGTTAAACATGCTTTATATGTTTTATATGGGTTTGGTAATAAGAATGTTAGTGGAAGACCACCATTAAATAACTTGATTGATGATAAAACTTGGGCTAAATATGAACCAGATTTCAAGAAATTGAGTGAAATTGAATCATCATTATAAATTTGAGAGTGTCTAATATATGTCTCTAATCTAATAATTTTTGCTATTGAAACTAATAAGACGTAGTACAAAGAGCTCACCTAAGTATCCCCCACAATATCTACGGACGAGATCAGATCAGCTAAACCTGCTCAAATCCTTTGGATCCAAACCGAAGGGTCATTGATGCTTCCTTGTGGCTTCAACAGACATCTTGTCTTTGTTATTCAAGATCAAATTCACAGTATTGTATTACTACTAGTAATAGCCTTAATTTACCCGGCCATTTATATAGCCGGATTGGATAAATGAACTGGCTATTTAAAATGGTTTCCGGGAACTTATTACCCCAGATTTTGCAAGGTTAACTCAGATCAAGAATGAATCATTTCGGTTATTGCAATTGAAATGGTATGGAAATAGTGGGTTAATTACTTTTTGTTGAGAAATCTGTGCAAGTAGCCGGTGGAAGGGTGTGTTTATATGCTATTCAATACCCATTAAGTGGGTTGTTCTTTGATCTTGAAGAAAGGACATGATGAAAGCTCATATATATACTGATGATTTTGTCATTTACCTATAATTATATTTGAAGCTGATATATAAGTATTAATAAAAATAGAACAATTCATCACAGAAGATCACAATATGTCTAAAATTATCAAGATTGAAACTTTTAGAGTCCCACCAAGATGGTTATTCGTTAGAGTTGAAACTGAAGATGGTATTGTTGGTTGGGGTGAAGGTACATTAGAAGGTCATACTGAAGCTATTGAAGGAGCATTTGAAGATTTAAAAGAAAGATTCATTGGTTGGGATTCAAATAAAATTGAAGAAATTTGGCAAAAAGCTTATCGTCAAAGATTTTATCGTGGTGGTCCAGTTTTAATGTCTGCTTTATCAGGTTTAGATATTGCCCTGTGGGATATTAAAGGCAAAAGATTAGGTGTACCAATTTATGAATTATTGGGTGGTAAAATTAGAGACAGGGTTCAAGTTTATGGTTGGATTGGTGGTGATAAACCTTCAAATGTTCAATCTGCTGCTCAAGATCGTAAAAATCAAGGTTTCACTGCAGTTAAAATGAATGCTACTGAATCAATTGGTTGGATTGATTCTGCTTCAAAATTAGATGATACTGTGGAACGTATTAGATTAGTTAGAGAAACTGGTATTGATGCTGGTATTGATTTCCATGGTAGATTACATAAAGGTATGGCAAAGCAATTAGTTAAAAAATTAGAAAAATATGAACCTTTATTCATTGAAGAACCATTATTACCAGAAAATTATGATCAATTTAAACAATTATATGCTACAACTACTATACCAATTGCTACTGGTGAAAGGTTATATACTCGTTGGGATGTTAAACCATATCTTGAAGCTGGATCTATTGATATTATTCAACCAGATATTGCACATTCTGGTGGTATTACAGAAACTAAGAAAATTGCCCTATTGGCTGAAGCATATGATGTTGCAGTTGCACCACATTGTCCACTTGGACCAATTGCATTAGCTGCTTCATTTCATATTGATTTAACTTCAATTAATTTTTCAATTCAAGAAATGAGTCTTGGTATGCATTATAATAAATTAGCAAGTGGTGGTAAATTTGATTTATTAAGTTATGTTAATGATCCAGAAAGTTTTGATGTTAAAAATGGTTATATTGAAGCATTGAACAAACCTGGATTAGGTATTGAAGTTAATGAAGAATTAATTAGAGAAGTTTCTAAGAATGAGAAAGCTTGGAGAAATCCTCGGTTTGTTGGTCCTGATGGATGTATTCGTGAGTGGTAGTTGGCTTATTATAATATATGGTATTAATCTGAGATTTTAATCGTAGAGATCTCGGTGGACTCTCATATGCAAATGTAGCTTATCTATTCAACGGTAATCAGAAGGATTCATACTACTTTATAAAGCGTTAAAGATCTCAAAAGTTCATGTATTCAAATGTGAATCATTTGGTGAAATAATCCAAATCATATCAAATCATAAAACTAGGAATATGTTAGCTTATGTATTGAGCTATAATATTGATTGACTATATGCATCTATTATAGAAGCATAGAAGCTATTTGAAACAATCAAACGTAACATGAATATATAAGTTCTGAGAATCAATAGAAATACTATATACAGAGATATTTGTTAGTATAACCGACATTTGATATAACAATAATTAGGAATTCAAATTGAGCTAGTGATTATACTTACACGAAACTGATTATTTTTGTAACCCAGTATCTAAAGGATGAATAATAAAAGAATAAGTTAAAAAATCAAAAGATCACTTTTCAATGGTTTATAATTCAAAGGATTTGTTTTGAGAAACAGTGGCAAATTTGATTGTTTATATATAATTTCTCAGCGATTAATTTATTATGAACACAAACAAAAACCACAAACAAATAATCGACAATTTGATCAACAACGTCATTTAGATATCATAAAGCAAGTCACAGCTTGTTGAAAAAGGTAATAAAACTAGCCATTAGCTCAAACCATTTGATTTTAATGGACAAAATATATAGATTGTATATCGAATGCCTTCAAGTCTACATTATATTTAAAATCACAAATATATATTTAAAAAAACAAAGCAATCAAAGAAATCAATTCTTTTCAGTTTGTTTTTCAATAGTATATCTATCCAAATCACCATGTTCTTGTTCAGCAACAATTTGTAAAGCTGCAATTTTAGTGTTTACTCTAGCAGCTGAAAGATTACCTACAATATAAATAACTCTTTGAATACCACAATCACGACAAACACCTCTTAATTCACCTTCATTATCAAGCCCCCAAATTGGTTTCAATTGTTCAGCGTATTTGGAACCCAAGATACCATCAACAGTATCTTTAAACCCAGTATAACCAGTAGCAAAGACAATAACATCAAATTCAGAATGTGTACCATCTTTGAAAATAACACCATCTTCAGTGAAAGATTTAATTTCACCTTGTTGAACTTTGATTTCACCATCAATAATTTTTTGTGAAGCACCTGTATCAAAATAATAACCACCAGCTTTTTGTAAAGCAGACATCAAAAACCCTGAATCATCTTCACCTCTTGTTGTCTTGAAACCTGCTTTAGCTAATCCAGCTAATAAATCTTTATCTTCTTCTTCAATCAATTTAATTAAATGTTGATGATATAATTTAGCAACATATTTTGGAATAGATTCACCTGAAAGATCAGCAGTTTCAATATCTGGACCATCTTCACGATATCCACCAGTAACAATTGGCATACCTTTCTTAACACTCATAACAAATGTTGGTGAACGTTGTAACATTGTGATATCAACACCATTATTTGCAAAATCTGCAGAAATATCATGAGCAGAAGTACAAGCACCAACAACAAGTGCTTTTTTACCAATCCAATCAGAACCAGTACCATGTTGAGATGAATGAACAATTTGACCTTTGAAAGCATCTTGATTTGGGAAAGGGTTTGGAAGTTTTGGATGACCACCACCAAGACCTGTGGCTAAAACAACATGAGAAATTGAATCAAATTTTATTTGTTTACCATTATGATTAATTGTAACTTTCCAAGTTTTGGTAGCTTCATCAAAATCTGTTCCATCAGAAACAATTGTTGAAGAATTCCAAACGTTTAATTCTAAAACATCAACATAATATTCTAACCAATTTGCTAATTTACCAGAAGGTGTAAAAATTGGCCAAGTTGCAGGGAATGGCATATAAGATAAATGATTAGCCCAAACAGGATCATGTAAAGATAATGATTTATAACGTAAACGCCAATTATCACCAGTTCTTTGATTTTTATCAATAACCAAGGCTTCAACACCAAGTGCTTTTAAATGAGCAGCTGCTTGTAATCCATTATGACCACCACCAACAATAATAACTGAAGGTTTAACATTTTCTAATTCATTAGCTCTAATTTCATCATAAGAATTTTCAGTATTATGTTTACCTCTAATTCTATCAGCACCTGCTAAAAATGGACGATCTTTAATGCCATTCAAAATGGTGAATAATGAAAAAGCTCTAATTTGTCCATCAGGATCTTGAATTAATTTAACAATACCAACACCTGGACCTAATTTTGCATCAAATTTGAAAAAAGATTCAACAAATGAAAAATTTGGGAAAGGAGATTGAGAACTTGGTGGTTTTTCATCATCTAATCTAATATTTGAAACACTATCAGAAGTGAAAATATCTTTAGCAGCTTGTAAAATGTTTGGTTTTGCAATTGAACGATAATCATTAGTAAATGCAATAATATCTCTCCAAAAACCCTGGGTAGAAATCAAATCATCAAATCTTTCAGGGTCTGCAGTCTTTGCAGCATCTTGAAATTTTGCAATCCAAGAAGAAGCAACTTCTAATGGAGCTTTTTTGATAGCAGTACCATTTGGTAAAGCTGTTGGTCTAACTTTTTCAACGTATGTGGTAACCATTTTGATTGATAATGATAGAACACAGAGAAAACATGGTAAACAAAGGACATGGTCATGGGTTTAAATACAAGTTCTGATCCAAAATGAACACATTATTTCTCCATATCATCACGGCTATCTTGAGTTCTTCTAATGTGTTGATGGGTTTTTGGTTCAAATTGGTTCAAATCACGGTTATAGCTCCGGTTATTGTTTTTTCTTTTTGACCCACCATAATAAAAACCGCGAGACATAATTAAAATCATAACCATTGATCAACAAAAAAACAAGAGTTTCTCCACAAATTGATGGGTGTGATGGATAGCCTATGGCCATCGATGATATCCTGATACGCGGATGTCTATACCCCTATAATGAGATACACGTTGAATTGTTAAGATCAATACCCGAATCCAAAAGCTTTTCCAATTATAAATAATCAACTAGTTGTACCTTGGATATGGATAACTTTGAATGAATATCATACGATTTTATATCAAATATAAGTCAAGGTAAACTATACAAAAAATGAAGATTGAAGGAAACACATTTGTTATTACCGGTGGTTTAGGTGGTATTGGTAGTGAAGTTGCCTCAGGTATTGTGGAAAATGGTGGTAAAGTTGCATTATTTGATGTCTTGGATGAAAAAATTGGTAATGAAAAAGCTTTAAGTTATGGTCAAGGTAAAGCAATTTATCAAAAAGTTGATGTTTCAAATTCAAATGATGTTAAAGTAGCTGTTGAAAATGTTGTGGAAAAATTAGGTAATTTAAAAGGTGCTGTTCATTTAGCTGCTATTTCAATCAAGAGAGATTATACAAATGATTTGGCTGATTCAATTGAAGATTTTCAAAAAATGTGGAAAATTAATACTTTAGGTACTTTTATTGTTGATGCTCAAGTTGCAGATGCTATTAATAAACCATTGAATCATCCAAATGGTTCCAATGAAAAGGCTGATTTTTGGACTACTGATGAAGAAAGAGGTGTTATTATTAATTTTGGTTCTGCAGCTGCTCATGGTCTTTATTCAAGAACTTTATGTTATGGTCCATTAAAATTAGCTGTTAATGGTATTTCAAGAACTTTATCAGATTTCTTAGGTCCTTCAGGTATTCGTGTTAATACAATTTCTCCATCAATTGTTATGACTGCTATGAATGCTAAATTAGGTGATTATTTCCAAGATGATTTAACTTCTCATGCTGCTTTTCCTCGTGTCCCAGTTCCAGCTAGTGAAATTTTTAAAGCTGTTAAGTTCTTAATTGAAAGTACTTGGGTTAATGGTGAAGATATTAGAGTTGATGGTGGTTGGAGATTAGTTGTTGATAGACCAAAAGGTGGTGTTGATGCTAGATCATTAGCTCCAGGATTGGAATAGATTTTAGAATGAATCGTATAGGTATTGAGTACATATATTGAATTTATTTGAAAGCGTAGTGCATTTCCTGGTTATGTTCACTACGTAACATCTCATTGGCTGACATTCCCCAGGGTTCTAGTCCAAAGTGCATATTCCGTATGGCTGGTCCCAATTTCCATCAATATAAGATCACAATACCCCAGGCTAGATAGTTATATGATCTATTCTCTTACATATAGGTTATAATATCAATACTTTGAGCCGAAATACACCTGGTACTCTTCAATATATAGGACTACATGAGAACTGGGTGATCAAATTAATTTGCATGAAAATATATTGCTATCCAATTATTCATTTGTATCAAAGATAACCACCGGACTCCAATTTGGATCAACAAATCTCTTGATACCACCTTTTATTTCAGCAAAATTATTTAAGAATTCACCATCTTCATCACCTAGATCAACAATTTGAGAATTTGATTCAATTCTTAATGGATTAACAGATTTAGCTAAAACAACAGTCTTTCTCCAAATTGCCCAAGAAACTAAGATTGTAGCAATTGAAGCATTATCATATTTATTAGCAATGGTTTGAATATCTTCATCTTTTAACAGTGGAGAATTTGAAGAGCCTAATGGAGAATAAGCTTCCACAACTAATCCATGATCTTGAGCATATTTAACTAGTTTATGTTGTGGTAAATATGGATGTAATTCAACTTGTAAAACTGAAGGTTTGATCTTAATATCAGATGAAGATAATAGTTGATCTAATTTAGAAATTGTAACGTTACAAACACCAATAGATTTTGTATAACCTTTTTCAACTAACGGTTCTAATAATTTATAAGTCTTGGTGAATGGCCAATCTAATATTATATCTCTTGAACCATCAGGTTTAGTTGGAACTATAGGATGATTACCATTTGGATTTAGTGCAACTGGCCAATGAATCAAATATAAATCAACATAATCAAGACCTAATAACTCTAATGATTTTCTAATTGCAGATTCTGGATCATTATGATTTGAAGACCATAATTTAGTAGTAACGAAAAGCTCATCTCTTTTAACACCAGAATCCCTAATAGCACGACCAATTGGTTCTTCATTACCATAAGCAGCTGCAGTGTCAATATGTCTATAACCTTTTTGTAAAGCATGTACAACAGATTCATAAACTTGTTGATCAGTTGCTTGCCATGTTCCCAAGGCCAAAGCTGGGATTTGAGCTCCAGAGTTTAACGTGTAAGTGGTTGTAGCTTGATGGGTCATCTTTCTTGTTGGGTTGAAATATTATTTTGACATTCTGGGTGTATATCAGGGGAAATGACCTTATAATATACCTCTCAAAGGCTCTTTACGCTTACTTCTTGACGCTTATTTACCTTTTGAAAGGCTAAAGCACTATACGCATGCCGGCTATCAGTCCGGTTATCACACCGGCTATTGAAGGAATATAAGCCCCGAGATCTTATCAAGGTGTCATCGTGTCATCAAACAATCAAACTCCAGAAAACTCCAGAAAATAAACAATCAAAACATGCAACATTGTACGTCATTTGATTTCATTGGAACCCCAGAAAAACAACCCCAGGAACGGAGGAACAATGCCCATTGCATAGATCAATATCCGGTACCCCATCATCATGGCATTAACCAGCTTCTTGATTTAAAAGTATTTATGTAAAGAATGAAATCGCCTGATTGTTGATCTGATATTTAAGTCACTAGCTAATTATATTTCAACCATGACTGGTGTGCTTGACTTACAAAGTACAAAGAGTAATAACTCACTTGACAAATTAAAACCATTAAATTTAACTTTTGAAAATGGTGTGAATGTTGATAAACCTGAAGTATCATATGAAGAATTTATGAATGAAGCTGATCCTGCAAAATTGGATAGTATTGAAGAAACCCCAATCGGTCCTTTCATCTATGCTATAACTCTTGCAGTGGCTCTTGGTGGTGCTCTTTTCGGTTATGATTCTGCTGTTATTTCTGGTGTTTTGGTGACTATTGATGATGCATTGGGTAAGACATTAACCACAGGTGAAAAAGAATTGATTACTTCAATCATGTCTGCTGGTGCTTTTGTTGGTGGTATTGTTGGTGGTGTTGTCATTGATAGAATCGGTAGAAGAATACCTTTGTTAATCTCTAGTGTGTTATTTATTATTGGTTCTATCATTCAAGCTTCGGCTTTTGAATTGATTCAAATGTCTATAGGTAGATTTGTTGTTGGATTAGGTGTTGGTCTTGCTCCTATGATTGTACCTGTTTTCATTGCTGAATTATCACCTGCTAAACTACGTGGTAAATTAATTACATTGGATTCCATTTGTATCACTGGGTTTCAAGTTATCGCTTATTTGATTGATTTTGCCTTCCAAAACGTTAAAGGTGGTTGGAGATATATGGTTGGAGCTGCTGCTATTCCTGCAATGTTATTTGGTATTTCAGTTTATATGATTCCTGATACTCCAAGATTTTTAATTGAAAAAGATAGATATGAAGAAGCAACTGCAGTTATTAGAAAGATTTATCCAAATGCAACAGAAGCACAAGTTAAAGATAAAGTTTCATTAATTAGTTCATCATTCCATTTCGAAAGTGAAAGCGTTGGTCAATATACCGTTTGGCAAAGATTAAAATTACTTTATACAAATAAGTTTAACCTTAAAGCTTTAATAGTTGCTTGTGGTCTTATGGGTATTCAACAATTTGCTGGTAGTAATACAATTACATTTTATGCTCCAACATTGTTTTCACTTGTTGGGTTTTCACAACCAATTGCAGTGAGTATTGTTACAAGTGGTGCTAATTGTATATTTACTGTTGTTTCATTATTTACCGTTGATAGATTTGGTAGAAGAAGATTATTAGTTTCAACTGTTTGGATCATGACTTTGTTCTTAGTTATTGCAGCAGTTTCAATTCATTATATTCCAATAAATAGTAATTTAGAGTTAGATGGTGCACCAAAACTAACTTGGGCAGGTATTTTATTATTAATATCTATTATTGGTTATATAGCAGGGTATGCAGTTGGATTGGGTAATGTTGCATGGTTTGGTGGTGAATTATTTCCAATGGAAGTTAGATCTATTGGTGCAACAATGTTAAATTGTACATGTTGGGGTTCAAATGTTGTTGTTTCATCAACTTATTTATCAATGATGAAACATTTAACACCAAGTGGTGCATTTGGATTTTATATTGGGACAACATTTGTTGGTTGGTTATGTATTATATTTTTTTATCCAGAAGTTACTGATATGACTTTAGAAGAAATTAAAGAAGTTTTCAATCATGGATTTGGTGTTCGTTATTCATCAAAATTAAGAAAAGAAAGATTAAAGAAAAGATTAGAAGATGAAGGTCAAGTGGATTTAAATGAAAAATCAGATTCTGAACATGTTGAGCAGGCTCAAGTTTAAATTCAATCAGGAATTGAATTAAGAAAAAATAATTAGGTTGTATATTGCTTTATATTATATATGAAGAATTATGTTGAGTTTGCTTGTAGAACTATACATTTTGGTGATATCTAGACAAGCAGACCTGAATTTACATCTTATGAATGAAATCGAATAATATTTATAATTAATACATGTTCTAGGAACTTTTGTGGTAGATACATCACGAATCAAATAAATAAAGGCACTGAACTAATCTATACAGGTCATGGCCCTTTAAAAAGGATTTGGTTTTGGAGTATGGAAATATGACAACCAAACATTACTATTTAAATCATTTGTAAAGTAAGAAGTTAATTCTTGAGTAGCAGCTTCAGCACTTTCATCAATTAAATTTGGACTAAAATGATCAAATGTAAAATTATCAACTAAATTGAAAATATCACCAGTTAATGAATCACTACATGTACTCATTAAATCCAAATCATCTTGGAATGTTGTATCTGGTTGAACAATTTGTTCATCTGAATGAGATTCATTATGAGGATTTGATGATGAGGTCCATAATGTTTGCATTAAGATTTTCAATTGTTGAGCACATCTAATTAATGGATGATATCTATCAAGACTTTTGAATTCATCACAAAAACATTCAATTAATTTACCAATTAAATCTAAAATTTCTTTTTGTTCTTTATAACAAACTGCACCTGTAAATATAATCTTGATTAAAAAAACAGCAGAATGACCAAAATATCCATAATATCTCGCAGGAAGATAAGCCATTGCACCATAAGATCTTAGGTTATTTGAACAACTTTTCAAAATTTCCACAGCTGCATTTTTAGCTTCAATTATAAATTTTGCATCAGGACTTGCAACCATTGTCTTGGGGAAAATTTTCTTAACATTTTTAGTACCATTTGAAGAATTCTCAGTAGCTCTTTTCATATGAGCTTCAAATGCAAATCCATAAGCATATAATTTTGCATAATTGAAACTTACCCATACAGTTTCATTTAATGATAAAATATCCCAATTTTTGGAATTCCAAGTTAATTTATATGTAGTGAAACCCATTGTAAATTCATCCAAGATTTTATGATAATCCCCCTGATTAACTAATGATATAGTCCGATCTCTTGAAGGATATAATAAATCATGAATATTTGACATTAAATTTGTACTATCAATAATTGCTTGAATATAAGAAGAATAAGCATCTGGAGTATGAACCGAGGGGATCAAAGTTGTTGAAATATCATGATCATTATAATTATTATTAAGATATGATTGACCCATAATACCAGGGAAACAAAGGGTTGGACCACGAGTCCAAAATGCCTTACCAAATCTAATTGAAGTTTGACGTTCTTCTAAATGACAATAAGTCCATATGAATCTCATTCTATGAGTTTCTTCACTCATTGCATCATTTGGTTCTAATAAAGTTTTTTGATCAAGACCTAAATAATAACTTAATCTAACAGCTTGACCAACTAAATTCCAACTAAATCTTTCTTCTAATTCATATAATTCCTTGTGGTTTACAACTTGTTTTAATATGGGGACATTTTCTGAAAGTGTTAATAGAGATTCGATAGCACCTAAAGTTGGTTTAATTATTCCTAAAGTTAAGTCTTGAATAATTGAAGACATATATGACCAACTTTCTTGATGGATTTTAGAATTTTCAAATCTTGAAGCTATAATAACAAATGTTATGGCTAAAATTGGTTCATTTTCAGCTAAATCACATAATTCAGAATCAGATCTAAGAACTCTATGAGCTGGTAATACTGGCATATATTGATGATGCCTTATAAAATATGTAGAAATCAAAGTTTTAAAAGTTGTTGGTGTAAGAATTCCCCTTTCCACGAGACAAAATTTCTTTAACCGTTCGTTTGGACTTGAGTTAGATGTATCTTGACTAGATGATGATGATGATGATGATGAAGAATGAATTGAATTTGATCTTGATTTTGCAACTTCTTGTTCATAAATTTGTTTAGAATTGAATAATAATTCATTATTTTGATCATGAATGTTATCAGTTGATGTATTTACTGGATAATCATTACCTTTGAAAGCAGCTTGAGCTAATAAATTTAATGAATCTGAAGGGTTTTGAATAGTGGTTAATGAAATATCTTCACTTTTTCTTCTTTTGTTACCATCAGATGTACGTTCAACGTCCAATGAATGTTTGTTATTATCTATATGCTTGCTCAACTTGTTTAATATCCGGTCATTATCAAATGAATTTGATCTGTTTTTACCATAATGTCCACCTCTTTTACTAGTAACAAAGACACAAGATTTCCCTTCACGGTTACATCTGACACAATTGCCATCATTTGAAGATTCACATTTGATCTTGAGCTCACGACAATTCAAACAAGCTCTTGAAGCTCGTTGTCTGACTTTTTGGTCTTTCATAATGGTATGATCTGATGATGATGTTGTAGTTGCTAACATGTTGTTTCTGGGTGGTGTCATATCCAGCAAAGAGTACTAAGCAATAGCCGGACTTGTCATACTTTATATAGATGAGCTCAATTACCCCAGATTATCAATTGATTGACTGAGCTCATTGTGATTCATGACTTTGTGGAGAAATGGTTCATCAATGGCCTTATTGCACCCGACATTCACTGGGTGGTTGTTTGTCCGGGTATTATGTAAGGTATATAGCCAATGGCCAATAGCCGGTATTCACAAAGTCAATGTCATACAAAGCGTACTAAAAACCATGGGTATACTATATATATTAAGGTTAATGCTTTCATTATACACTGGATATATTGTTACTCCGATCAGAATGGTTCCAAAACCCATCTTTATTATCCCATGAGAGATCGTGATGAGTCCAAATACTATGATGATTACTTGTTGGTGTGGTAACATTATCCATTTCTTTCTTGTTCTTCTCCTTTTCAAATTCTGAAACTTCTTCAAATTGATCACAAAAATCTATTTGAGATCCAACATCTGATTGATGTAATTCTTTATATGTTATGATTTTGTATAATAAATATGCCATTATTATAGAATCTATAATACCAATAGCCACAGAGGACCAGCCTAGTGCAAATACAGTATTTGATCTATTGACAAAGATTCTGAGTTCATCAAAAGATTGTGTAAGGTTAACACTCATTTGATTTGCAAGTTTTTGTAAAGAAGTCATCCCCACTGTTGTTAATACCCATTTGAATAAACTTACAAATGTTAAATATGAAAATAATATTATGAATGTAAGTTTCCTTGTAACATAATATCTTGTGATGATAAATATTGATAATAGAGTTAGAAACTCACCACCAGCAAATAATAATCCAAATGAAATACCAAATCTAACTTTTAAACTATCTTCAACATCTTTAGAAGAATCTTTTTTGAAAATATCAGGTAACTTCAAGTTAAAGTAAATATCTTTATCCATTAACTCCTTAGTATTAATAGCGTTATAGAAAATGTATTCTAAAGTACCTGTGAAAGAACCAGACCATATCTGTTTTAAACATTCATGATCATATACAATTGTTGTTTGATGTTCAAAAACTGGTTTAGATTCATCAGTAACTCTTTTACCAGGACATGACCCCCAAATTCCAAATGAAAAATAATAACTCTTGATTAATGATGAATTTGAATTAATATGATCAAATGGTAATATAGTTGTATTATCATTTGATGGATAAAATTCATAAAATTTATCTAATGGAGAATTTGTTAAATCTATTCTATAAAATGAATTCCTTGGATCTTTACAGAAGACAACAATCTGAAGAATCAGTGATAGCAGTGTGAAGAATAACGGTAACTCCCAATCCAGAGTAGTTAGTTTCATTTTGTTCTTGGTCTATAGTGAGGCATTATTGTTCACATAGTCAAAGATGGAAAATTTTCAACACTAATGTGATGAATCATGATATATAAACAAAAACAACAGTTCTTCAGCCTTCAGAGTTAAGTTTATACGATGTTCACAGAAGATCTTTCTGACAAACACACGACGATTCACGAAGTAAACACAAGAATAGTTTTATACCCGTTAAGATTTACATGTTAGAAGCTTCTGATTTGGTTAGAAGAATATTCGCTAGCGTTATGATCAAGACCACATCAGATGAACGCGATTATATAAACAAGAAGTACATCTACGTAAATTATAATGAGTGAATTCGCTGTGATATTGAAGAGCTATAGTAGTATACAATCATGCCTTTTCTTCCAAAGATTCTTGATCTGATTCAGAAGCGTCTGGTGTAGTTCTTTGAGATGTTGTGGTCTTGGTCAAACAAATATTAATCAACATGATGATTAAACAAACAAAATTAATAACACCAAAACTCATAGAACACCAACCCATTCTAAAATTGTTTTCCCTTTGAATACCTCTGATTTGAACTTTAGAGTAGGAATTATGTAAAATATCATCAAGTGTATTAGAAACATATTTCCAACTTGATAATCCAATACTCATAGAAACCCAATGACCTAAACTAATAGCGATTAAACATGATAACATAATGATTTTGGCTTTTTGAGCATAACCCTTAGATCTAATTATTACACTAACAATCCCACCGATAAATAAGAATACCAATTCTAAAATTGAACATATAACTCCACCTAAAATACCATTAAATGCTTGTTCCATAGCAAAATCAGGATTAAAACTCATGATTGAATCAGGTAAATTTAAATTAAAATCTTCATCATTTGATGCTAATTTAACAGCACCTTTTAAAATATATGGAATCCATGGTGACATACCATATGAAACAAATCTTGAGCAATCAATATCCTTGGTCATATCATTTAAATCAATTTTACCATTTTGTGCACAAACCCCCCATAATCCAAAACGATATTGATGTTGTAATGTAGTATTAGTTTCAATATCATAAGGTAATAAAGTTGTTGGATCATTTTTATTATAAAATTGATAAACATTATCTAATTTAGCCTGAGTGAAATCAATCATAAAATATGAAGTATTTGGACTTTTCAAAAAAGTTAAGCATGATAAAACTAATGCAATAATACTGACACCAATGATTGGGATAAGTAAGCAAATATTTAAGTTGAAATAACTGTTATTCTTGGAGTTCTTAAAGTTCATGATTAATTATAAGACTTAATCTTTATACTATGTAATTCATTCTAAGATTTGATATCTGGAGTATTCAAGCTTGTCTTTATATAGTTGACATAATTCATCATATCTTCATGATTCTAAACAACAATCGAAGTATGGTTTAATTTTAGAGCATCATCTAAAGCAAGATAAGCATTATTTCTATTAATAACTTATAGATCTAAATTAAACATGACAAGGTTAATTGGAGTATATCATATATGAAGTGAAATAAGTTTATACGCACAAAATTCAATTGATTAGTATATCTCGGGTGACCAGAGAGCCATAACCACTTCCCAAAGCGTCCAGGTTCCCGAGACTATTACAAGTACTAAAAGCCTGTTATATGATATATCCACTTTATAATTGAAATTAATAGCATGCCTTAACGATCTGAGCGCAGTATATTTATATGCACAATGACAAAGGTATAAAACGTCTTCATTTAACAAGATAGATAGCTCAAATTTCCGATTATGTGATATCATTATAGGTAACTTTGAAAGTACTTTCCAGAATAGACGAAGTACTGGTCATTGGAAATATAGACGTATACTCATGATATAAAACAAAAAATGAGCAACTTGAAACACACTACAAGAGTTCCAAGTCTAAAAATAGTTGATAATTCATGATATTATATTCTCTTAGCTAAACAAACAATCAATCAAGATTCTTTTTATAATTAATAACCTTTTCATAGTTCTTTGGGGTCAAAATAACATTAAACACATAGAACTCTATAAAAAATAAGAAAATATCAATTGGTATATCCATATAAGTTCCATAGATAAATTCTTCACCATCCAAAAAGAAGATTTCTAGTACAAGAGAGGTAGTCAATAATACTCGTGAAATAAGAACAACAATAACACCGAGTATTCCTATAATAGCTTCAGAGTAACCCATAAAGAATCTTGAAAGGATTAACCATTTAAATTGACTTAATTTTGGATCATCAGTTTTGTTAAAATCTTTAAATTCTTTAACAGATTTTTTATATCTAAGGAAACTTTTCACATAAAAAATTTGATTAAAAATGAAAATTATAAAAGTCAAGATTAAAAATGATGTATGAATAGCTCCTTCAAAAACATCTGATAGGTAAAAAACATCTAAAACAATTGACACAATATCAATTATAAAGAAAAATAAATGAACTTTAACACTTTCTAATTCTTCAATCTTATCAAATGAAAAATTCCCACTATATTGATATAGATAAAACAAACATCCTCTAAATGAAACTTTCTGTGCAAACTCAGAGAGAAAATCAAAAACATTCCACCAATCTTTATGCTCTAATCTGAAATCAATATCCCAAAGCACTGTAATGTTAGGTAATATAACAAATAACTTGTTAAATGTAATTAGCACCAAGTATATTTGTAATAACTTGATTAAATATGGTGTATGGCTTCCATTGGATTGACTCCATTTATTCCAAGTATTAATAAACGTTAAGGCATTAATCAGTGATACCGTTAGTTTCACAAGACCAACTTTATATGATTGTCTTGAGCCTAAAGTTGTTTTATACCCATCATCAACAGTTATAACAACTTTATAATTTTCAGCTTTAAAACTTTTAGTATTCCCACAATAATAACCAGCTTCTTTAATTTCACGTATATTTTTCAGTTCACCAAAATTTGTCAAGATTGTACTAAATAATTCACCTTGTGAAGCTTCAGGATCTTTATATTCATACAAGATCTTACCTAAATGCTTTTCAGAACAATACCCACGCTCAATAGCTGGTTGATCACAAATATGATGAATATTGGTCTCACCAGCGAAAACTTTATCAATGTTTATATCCTTTTTTCTATAAAATATGAATGGTAAAGAAATCTTCTTGTCTTCAAACTCTGGTTTTGTTGTGAAATTGAGGAAATTGATATGAATTTGATCATTCGGATACACAGGAAAGCATTGTAAATTGAATTCAGCTTTTGATAATGTGTAATTATAGCTTGCCAAAGCACTGGTAGCCCAACCGATTAATAAGATGAAGAGATTGACCTTCATTTGCGTCAATAATTAATGTTTGAATATTATATAGAAAAAGCACCGTTGTTCAAGCCAAGATCTGCTAAACCATTAATATTTAGAAGCTTGAAAAGTTGTTTGGAAAAAATAATCTTCGTCATGGAAAAAGTGGTTCAATGCAAAAATTAATTGAATTACGAGTCAAACATTATACAACCAATCACAAAGGACATGTCGTACTTTGTCGAATTTGGAAATTGGTGGGATTTTGGGTACATAGTACTACAGAATGTCAGAATCCAGATTGAAGTGCGTTAAACAGCACGAACTTATGCATGTACGATTATGTATAGATTTTTGAAATCCTTAAGCAACCAGGTTTTTTGAAGGAGTATAATTGATTATTGAGCGTTACTATAACTCATTTCAATTAAATATCTCACCAGCCTATAGTATCATGATATGATATTTGATCATTTTATATTAAAATCTCAAGCCTATGGGTAAAATTATAAGAACATGTCAATATTCAGCCATCAAACACGTTATGATTGAACGGATTTTGCAGCCTGTTAAGCCGACAAGCTATTATACTCGTAGTCATGAATGACTGTGAGAACTTGGAAGACATTCTATATAATTAAACTACATGAATACATGCCTGCACTAATGAGGCAATTTAACTGATACTATTTTTGGGATCTTACTAATGAAAATGGCTTAATAAGGGTCCGATAATTAATCGTGTTTCGTATACAATTGATAGTATAGTATTGTCGGTTTGAACGACGTCATTGACTATGGTATAACAAATATCTAAAGCAGATCAACAAGGGTTTCATATATAATTCATATATAACATGTTGGCTTATAACCTGTATCTGTCCATTGCCGACTTCTTAGATTATCAACTGCCAGTTCTTCGGGCTGATATTATGCCTTCATCTGTTAATTATAATAGCTGTGATGTGTAACTGGTCAGCATTAGACTCTTTCAATAGCCTATAATATATATTAGCTTACACCCCAAAAAATCATGATAAATCATATATTGACATTTTGTAGCGTATAGCTGACTATATAGAAGAATCTGTATCATAAATTGGGGCGGTTTGATATGCATATCAAAACATGCGCAGCTATATAACATCAAGGTATTTAACGGACAGAAAACCAAACAATTAGCCCATAAGTTACTGAAATTTGAAATAATTCATGCTAAATCTAAATAATCTAAGATCAATAAAAATCTATTTATAGCTTGTCGTATATTGTAAACAATTAAAGTAGTCAGATACTAGATACCTTTCATTATATAAATACATAAGTCAAAGGCCAAGATTGATAATCAACTCATGGTAAAAGCTAAGATAACAAATAAAAAATCAAAATATGACATCCTCTTCGACTTGGAATCCTTTCAAAAAATCAATCTTATTTCATAATAACTCAGACAATTCTTTAACTGAAGATAATGATACGTCAAAAAACATTAGATTATCACAATTCAATATAAATTCAGATGAAGAATCTCAAACACAACTAGAAGGTTTCCAAAATCATGTGAGCCAACAACAATCACAAAAATGGACTCAAAATGTTCTAAACCCATTTAGAAGAAACAAATCAAGGGTTATGGGGCTTATAGTTTCAATATTGTTATTAGTTAATGTTTCCCTGTGCATTGTTTTAGTAGTTTTCATTAAATCTAATGAAGTACCAACATTTTTTGGTGATTATTTAACATCTCATAATAATTTAAATCCACAATCAGCATCAATATTAAGATATAAAACAGCAATAACTAGTGAAAATAAAATTGAGTTGATGAATAAAGATCAAAATGTTCTTCCTGTTCATTCACATAATGATTATTGGAGAAAAACACCGTTATTTGAAGCTTTAAGATTAGGTATTAGTTCAGTTGAAGCAGATGTTTGGGGGTTTCCTAATGATCATGATTCATATCAAGAATTATATGTTGGTCATAAAAAATTAAGCCTTTCAAAGTATAAAACATTGAATTCATTATATCTTTCAAATATTGAAGCATTGTTAGATGATGTTAATTCAAAAGTTTCTGTGGATCAACAACAAGGTACTGATGCAACAAATGACACATTGGCTAATGGTTTACAAGGGGTCTTCTATAATGATCCTTCAAAATCTCTTGATTTGATTATTGATATCAAAACTAACGGTAATGATACACTGCCATTAATATTGAAAAATTTGAAACCATTGATCAGCAAAAATTATTTAAGTTATTATAATACCACTTCTGAGAAATTCAACAAAGGTCCATTGACAATAACAATAAGTGGTAATATTCCATTTGAAAAAATTCAAGAGCAAAATATAAGATATACATTCATTGATGCACCATTGAATGATCCTGATTTTAGTGAAAAATTCAATAGTACCAATTCCATATATGGCTCATCATCCTTAGAAAAAATAACCGGATCAAAATCAGCATTGGGTTTCAATGGATTAGATGATGATCAGAAAACCAAGATTAAAGAAGTTATAGATATAGCACATGCACAAAATATCAAAACAAGAATATGGGATACACCAAATTGGCCAGTATCTGTGAGAAATTCAGTTTGGAAAGATTTATTAGAATTGGGAGTGGATTTGTTGAATGCTGATGATTTGAAAGGAGCTGTTATGTTTTAGCAATTAAACAGAATGTGTAATATCTTGATATAATGCACCATCATTACATGGGCCATAATTTGTAGACCAACTCAATTGTAACCGTTTAGTTAAGCTAAGAGCTTTTAACATTATCGAGATTTTTCGTTTTGACACAATCTTTTGTACCCAAGTGATCTCGGGCAAAAAGTGTGGCGCCGAGTTCCAAATCACGAATAATTATGTAATAATATTATCAAAATTCAATTATTGTCTGCCTACAAAGTTCAAAGGTGCCAAAAGAAGGTGGCTTGAACTCGTTCCACGGTGATAGGACCCTTAAAGAATGAATCAAAATTCAATCCAAGACTTATTGCTTGAATGCTAAGAGATAATACCTACAATGAATCTCTGAAAAACAGCATCAACTTGTGTTGCATTGTTTGAAATTATTCAAAGGAGCCACTGATTATACAATATCACCAATAAAGGTACAGTACTGTGGTTTAGATGCTTGGATCCCTAAATATCTTTGAACTTTAAATTGGTGATGTGGGTGAGTTAAGACTTGGTGTGCACAGAATTCTTGGTAATTTTCAGCTATATATGAATAAGTGAAAATGTATCAATGAACACATCTGGTAAAGAACTATGGTACTTATCAAATTCACCTCAAGATGTCAAAAGAAGAGACAGTAATTGATGAGATAGACGTTTCTAGAAGTCCATCAGAACATGATCATAATAAAGAAGACAATTCAAAAAAGGTCTCTTATAAAGAAGCCGACGAGCTACTTAAATTTATGGAAGAGCATGAGCCTAATTATGTTGAGCTAACAGAAGATGAAGAGAAGAAAGTCTTAAGAAAAAACTTTACTATGGTGTTATTTTTGGTTTCTCTGGTCACTTTGATTTTGTTTATGGATAAATCAACAATTGGTTATACCACAATCCTAGGTATTTATAAAGATACAAGTTTGACAAAAGGCGGGTTTAATAATTTAAATTCAATCTTTTATGTTGGTTACTTGGTTGCTCAATGGCCATGTCATATCTTAATGCAAAAATTACCAATAGGTAAATATCTAGCAGGCTCTATATTCATGTGGGCTATTATCATTGGAGGTACTGCTGCTTGTAAGAATTATAGTCAGTTGATGGCATGTCGTTTCCTTTTAGGTGCATCTGAAGCTGTTGTTACGCCAGCGTGTGAAATGACATTAGGTATGTTTTTAGATACAAAACAAAGAGAAATTGCACAACCAATTTTTTGGGCTTCAGCATCAGCTGCTCCATTTATCTCAAGTTTTATAGCTTTTGGATTGTTGAAAGCTGAACATTTAATGTCAACATATCCATGGAGAGTCTTTATGGCTGTTAATTCTGGTCTAAGTTTATTCTTATCAATTGCAGTTTTCATTTTATACCCAGATAATCCTTCAAATGCTAAATTTTTAACAAATAATGAAAAAGTGTTCATCATCAAGAGGATTCAAGAGTCAACAAAATCATCAATTGAACAGAAAACAGTCAAAAAGCATCAAATTATTGAAACTCTAAAAGACCCAATTTCTTGGTTATTTGCTTTCCAATCTTTCACATTAATGTTATCAAACTCATTAACTTATCAACAAAATCAATTATATGTCGACATTGGTGTTGATAATTTAGGATCATCACTAGTCTCAGCAGCAGGTTCAGTTTGGAATGTTTTGTTATACATAATTTTTGCCTTTGTTATCAAAAAATTCCCCAATCAAAATGCTTATATTGGTTGTGTTTGTTTAATCTTACCAATCGCTTCAAGTATTGCAATGTGTACAATCCCATGGGAGAAGAAATATGCTCTATTGGCAAATATGATTCTTGCTGGTTCATCAAAAGGTATCACTTATATTGTCGCTTTAGGTTGGACAACTTCAAGTGCTGGTGGTTATACAAAGAAACTTTATAGAAATGTTATGTTTATGATTGCTTATGCGATTGCAAATATAATCAGTCCAAATTTATGGAATCCAAAGAATAGTCCAAGATATTATACCTCATGGATAGTTCAAATAATTGTTGCATTTTTTTTAAATGGTGTTATTTTGCTAACCATAAGATATATTTTGAAGAAAAGAAATGAAGAAAGATTACATGCTACTGATTTTGAAGATGATTATTACGTTGAGAATGATGAAGGAATATCAGAAAAAGTTGATATTGCCATGTTGGATCTAACTGATTTGGAGAATAAGAGATTTATATATCCTTTGTGATTGAGTTAATATAGCTACAATGCTTGTAAATATGTTATATTTTTAATAAAAATTTCTATATAATGCTTTTTTTAATCAACTTCTCAAATAATACACCTCCAGATGCCGTATATGACAAGATAAGTTCTTGGGCTTCACCTTCTGTTAAACTTTGAACCATTCCCATCATTGGAATTAATTTAGCTGGTGATGTCTTTGCAATTTGACTTTCAATTACTAAATGAAGTAAAAAAGTTTTAGATGATTCAGAAGCTGGTAATGATCTCCATTTTGAATTTTTAGTAAAATCATCAGAACTCACTCCTTTGACAAATTTATCAACGTATGATAAAGGTATCACAATATCTCTTGATAATGGCATTAATAAAGAGTTTTCATAATCATCTAGATTACTTCTAAACCTTCTTTGTTTTGAATCTTTAGATCCTTGGAAATCAAACTTAAATTTTGGATGTTCAGCGTTTTTCAAAGTATGTAAAGATAATGAATAAACTAGAGATTTTTTGTCAAAGTTTCTTTCAAATGCCTTTTTACTTGTATAAACTTTATCAATACTAACATGTTTCAAAAATCCTCTTTTGATCCCTTCTCTATGTCTTTGTAATTTTATATGTGAGTTAATAGGAGTTGATGATGAATCAGGATTTGAGATTATCCAAGTATCCTCATCAATTTTAAGCCAAGGGTATAATGAGTTTTTCACTAAGAATAAATCATTTGTCCAAGTATCAGCTCCTTTATTTCTAAAATCATTTAGACTTTTATACGTGGAAAATTCAAGTATATTTTGATCAAAAGCTTCTGGAACATAACTGAGTTCTTTTGAATTAAAATTGGAATTCACATCAATCTCAAGATCATCAGGGGTTCTTTCATCAATATCTTTCCCATCTTCATTAGGGTATTTAGCGGACTTGATTATTTGTACTGAAGTGTTTTGTGATTTGGTTCCTTTACTGTATTGAAAGAAATTTCAGGATTTTTTGAAGATGGTGTTTTTTTTTTCTTATCAGCAAAATGATCAATTATTTCAGAGTTATATTTTAAATTATGCAAAGAAGGTAATGAAATAACATCAGAATTATTTATACCAACAAAATCAATAATATGACAGACATCCTTACCATCATGTTTTCTTAAACCTCTTCCAATCATTTGTGCCAATAGATTTTTTGATTTTGTAGGACGAACCATTAAAATACTATCAATATTAGGGATATCAGTCCCTTCTGTGAATACACCACAATTGATCAATAAATTAGTTTCACCATTTTTGAATCTTTGAACTGCTGGTTCTCTATAATGTCTACTGGTTCTAGCTGTAACATAGTCAACTTTGACTCCTCTATCATGAAATAACTTGGCTAGATCTTCAACATGTTTTATATCAACAGCGAATACCAAAGTAGATTTTATTCCTCGGGTTTCAACAAGATTCAAATAAGTGTCAACAACAAGTTTGTTATTTTCAATCTTATTAACTTCTCTAGCAAGACTTGGTAAGGCATAATCACCACCAGAAATTGTAGTTTGAACTTCCGCCAAATCAGCATCTTTTAATTTCACAGTAGTAACTTTAGCATCACAAAGATATTTTCTACTAACCATAAACTCCAAATCAATATGAAATGCAATTTCATCAAGAACATTACTCAAATCTTTATCATCATCTCTTTGTAAAGTGGCTGAAAATCCAACACAGCAACATCAGAATTTGAATCCTTAACATCAAAATGATTAAATACTCTAAGGTAACTATTAGTAACAGCATGATGTGCTTCATCAACAATTATCAATTTAAAATCCTTTGGGTTTAGAGCTCTGAGTCTTTGATCATTTTGTAAACTAGAAACTGAGGCAACAATAATATCATCATCATCAGTAGCACTTGATTCATCAGACATAATGATTCCAACTTTTTTATCTGGATTGATACTTCGACAAGTTTTAGCAGCTTGTAAAATCAACTCTTTTCTATGTGCTAAGATCAAAGTTTTATCACCATAACCCTTTCTAGGTTTAACTTGATTCAATAAATGTGCAAAAACAACAGTTTTACCACTACCAGTTGGTAAAACAGCACCGATTCTTCTTTTGTTTTCTTCAAGTGCTTGCAAACATGATTCTATACAATCTAGTTGATATTCTCTCAGTTCAATGTTATGTGGAGTTTGAGAAAGGTTTGGTGTGAAAATGGGTGTAGCATTAGCATTGAAATTATGAAATCTTTTCAATGTTGGAAATGATTTAAATTTTCTTATTAAGCCCACTCGAGAACGAAACAAAAACATTGTGAAAGGATTCCCCTATTCCTTGATAAGCTCCAATAAACCATGATTAAAAGAGTTTATTTCTTGAATACCTTAGATATTGATCTTTTTATGCTTTTGAAACTGATTTTTTTTCAAAAGCCAGACTCGAGTTATCAAAATGTATGACTGGTCACATTGTAATTGAATTGAGAAACAACATTTCATATAAGGCCCATTTATTTACCGGGAAAGCCTCCTAATTTCTACCTGGATATATCAAGCATAGATAAATCATAAGCCTTGCAATTTATCAAATTCTCTTTTGTATATCTAAATATTAACAAATAAAATTATAATTACATTGATCTTATTATTCAAAGCCGGTAAGGGACACACCATAATAAGCCAACAATAAGTACTTATATGGATATCAAAGCATATTTCAAAGCAAATCTGTATAGCTACTGATATTCATAGCCATCCCAAAATCAGCTAAACTGTTATCTATCAACCTTGAATCTCCAAAAAAGATGGATTCAGTTTTTTTTAATGATGGCTTGGTTTTGAAATGTATAATATTATACTTTGATTTATCACCTCCAAACCGATTGAATATAGTGCCATCAACCGAATAAACGACATTACGATCCCGTCCTATAATAATAACGTCATTTTCATCATTCCATAATATTGTTGTATAATATAAAGTTTCAATTTTCCAGCCTTGATCATGTGCAGTTTTAACAATATCATTCCATTCTTTAGGATCTTGTGGAGGTTTCAATTTAAAATCACCATGCCATAAAATCATAAATTTTTTAGGATCAACCTTACCCTTAAGCAGTAGGCCATTTATCAAGGCAATACTAGCTATATTCAATATGATACAATTTGTATTTCCAAGTGGTTGACCAACTATTGTATTACTGCAAACGTGGTTTAAGCCACCACCAATAAAACTTAGCCCAACTGTCAAAAGTGCAGCTGCTGCAAGTCTCATCTTGAGAAGGTCACTCTTATAGTTGGAAAGAACTAAACGTATTTCATCCCGGCTTGTTTCATTGATTGGATAGTTATCAATGGCTTTGTAAAGTTGAAACTCAATACTTTCTTGATTAGTTGACAATGCAATAACGAAAACCACACATAAAAGAACCACAATAAAACGATTGTGAAGCATCCTAAAGGAACAACCTGATAAATATTGACTCAAATGATGAGTTTTCAATTGAACACCCTAGAGATATTTGTACAAGGGCTACTTGATGAGTCAGGAGTCAGGAGTTCTATTTACAATAGTCAATGAACAATGGACTTTTTCTTATCCGGGATCGACTCGAGCTCCCATAATTATCACCATGGCAACGCTTTAATACAAGTTAGAAATTAATTAGCGTATAAGGTTATAACTTTTCAAATCTACACTACAATCATTGATATCAGCTAAAAAAGAGCTAGAGATCTCTTTATATTTGAATTCTATGAACACCAAAATAATTAGTTATATCAATTTGTGATATCTATAACCTCATTATGTTCCGTAACTTTACCAGCAAGGGCTTGATCTTCAATATAATCTCTTTTTCTTCTTTGATATCTATCAAACCAAAGTACAACAAAACCACTTAATAAACTAATAACTGCAATTCCCAATGCTATTCTTGTGCCTTTCTCATATCTTGGAGCATAATCAGTATTAAATACAGTTGTAGAGAAAGCTGTACTTGGTCCAATATTGATCAAATTTAAAGAACCTAAAACAGCAGCTCTTAATTGATTATCTTCTCTTGTCATTTCATTTGTCCATGAACAACATAATGTTGAAATTAATCCACTGATACCGCTAGTGATATATGCATAAAATTGAGCACCACGAGGAACATCCCATTTAACTAAAATTGACAATGCAATGACCCATATACTATTTGCAACTGTCATGATTTCCCAATATCTTCCCAAGATATCAACTAGTAGACCACCCACAATACATGCAACAACGTTGAATGCTGATTTTGTTGTTGGGATATTATTTCTTTGGTAGACGTTATAACCCTGTGCTTTCAACACGATAGCCCAATAAGAAGTTGCAGTACTTGGTAAATGACCAACACAATAATAAAAGACAAACACATAAAATTGCCATGATGTAAACATTTTTTTAACAACTTTTAAATCAAATTTATTACCATTTTCAACTTTTTTAATAACTCTAACACGTTCAGCACAAAAATCAAGATCTTTTTGAGATAAAATTTTACTTGGTTTAGCTTGATTTGGAGAATCTGGAAGAATAATATACCCCAAGACTGCAATTGGAACAGTAATAATAAAATCAATAACAAAAATCCATTTCCATCCCGGTAATCCTGCTTTACCATTTAATGTTTTATAAACACCAGATTGGATATAACCACCAAACATTTCACCAAGAGCTGATATTATAGTGTTAGTTTGTCATTTTTCAGATGATGATACGTTTGTTTTCTACTTACCCCCAGAGGCAATGAAAAGAGCAGTTCTAGAACTTATTTCTTCTTTAGTATACCAAGTTCTGAAAATTGTTAGTATTACTCAATAAAGCCGTAAACGTATAACTTTATACTTACCCTAGAATATAGTGTAAAATTGGGAAACAACCACCCTATTGATTATGACGTTAGTACACTTGATCAAATCAGCTAATGAAAAATATGAAACTCACTTCTAAGGCACCTTGAATTGTTCTAACAATCATTAAAGTTTTGAAATTTTTACAAGTAATAACCAATAAACACATTAACCCCCAAAGAATTTCAAGAAGTGGTAATAAAATATGAGGTTGAACTCTTGTGATTAAAACTGTCAATGGTAATCCACAAACTGAATATACAATATAAAATGAACTATTCAACCAATTATACATGTTACCATGTAAATTCAAATCTTCCTTCATACCAGAAACATAAGCATTGGAAACATTAGATTGATCAAGATATCTTATAAAGAAACTTAGACAAACATAAGTTAAAATAATACAATCTAATTTGAAAACTAATCTTTTTTCATATTTTGAACGACCTGGTGGATTCCAAAAGAATGCTTTTTTCTTATCTTTGGATGATCTTGGATTCTTTAAAGTCCAAAATAATTCCCATCTTTTCTTGAAAGGGATATTGAATTCATCAAAATCAATTCTACCAACTGAATTTTCATCACCAGAAGATTGTTCTTCAATATTAACATCCAAAGCGTTTTTGGAATCAACGTCTTCCAACTCTTTATCTTCTTTCTTCACAGTAGTCATTTTGATACACCTCTGATCTTCACATGTTGTATTAATGAAATCAGATCAATTTGAATATTCTCAGTAATACTTATATATTAGAATGTATATCAACAATCAAGATATCAAGATCCACAATCCACAATCCACAATCCACCCTGTGCCATATTAAACAAACAAAGCAGCATTATCAGTAATTTTGAAACCAAACCTGGCTTATCAGCCGATAGGAGTGCTGTATGTGGATCCTACGTCCCTTTAATTTTCTCAAATACCGTTATGCCACAGTACATATATCTCATATCATCATATCACAGTATCATAGTACCATAAAACTCCGAAACTCGAAACTTCTTTGAAAGTTGTACCACTGTCCACAGCTTGTAACTTTTTCAAATCTTCAAAAAAGAAGTAAAGCCACTGTTATAGATATCACATCATGTCGATCCCAGTTGTATCCTATTTCCTGGAGTCGAATGAATCATGATATTGTGTTCCATGATCCATCCGTTGTACTTGTGTGATATTGTCAACTTATTGTTGATAAACTTTATAAAGACTCTTGCTGAGCTGATTTATGCATGGCCTAGCGTTAAAGCTTATCAGGATTCAGTACTAGTGATTATTATTTGCTTATATACTAGATCTCATAATGACCATGCGCTATAACCATGGATTTACCCTGCTTCCAATGAGTAAATGTTGAACTTGCTGCTAATTTATCTCAAACTTATCGAACTCACCCTTGAAATTAGTGTAATTTTCGTCTACTTTGATAATCATTGATAATTTACATCATTACTTCACTCATAACTTCGGCACATTCTTTGAACAATACCTTATGCAAATTATACCAGTTACTAAATCTTTAAACGGAGGATAATCTTCTCGGTGTTTATTCCTAATGGTGAAATGATCCGGTTGAGATGTAATGAGATAATATTGAGATACATAACGTTCTCTATTGTTAAAGTATAGCTTAGACCCTTTGTATTGTTCTCAATTTGAGCAGGTGATCATCAGTAGGACTTTATGATGGAGAAGTATATAAGGAGACATTATTGTCTTTAATATATTGACTAATAGACATGGTTTGTGAAGCTAATTCAAATTCACAAAAAACTTGACAAAGATCAATGCATTTCTATAAGTTATTGATTCCAATTACATTCATCACAATATTAGCTTTCAGTGGTTCAATACAAGCTCTACCTGTTCCACAGGATGTATCCGAAAGTATTATGGCTGAAGAGGTTCCTATTGTTAGCAATTCAAGTATCATTGATTCAAATCACACAATAGAGGAAACAACTGCGTTTAATAGTTCAGCATTGAATGATGATGAGAAACCAAAACCAAAAGAAGGACTGCAAAGGCAAGATTTAAATCTCATAATAATTTTTTCTTCGGTTTTTGGGCCCATAATTTATCTTTGTTTTATTGGAGGGACACTTTCCCTTTATGCACGAAACCAATATTTGAATTTCTTTGAAATGATTGAGTACATCGGAAGAGATGTTGAAAAAAAGAAACAATCATGGTTTTGGTTTTTGGTGAGAGTTCTTTTCAGTTGGAAAACTTTAGGTGTTTCGATTATTAGTATTCCTTACATACCGTGAGTATTCATAATTTAGAGAATTAAAACGTCTAGACGTATCAGATTTACTAACTTTTATATTAGAGCTGGTATAGTTGCTGGTTTGGGGCTTGGTGCGTGGTATGGAGGAAAAGCATTATGGATATCATTTAAATATTTGATAAATGGGCCAATCAAGGCATTCTTCAAGCTGAAATTTGTTAAAGGGTTCTTCTCAATAATTGCAACTCCATTTAAAAACAAAGAATATCCTTCCCTTGATGATGAGTCAAATAATTCTAAAGAAATATCTACAGGTAATATTTCCAATAAAGCTCAAGGTAAAATTGTCAAAAGATCACAAGTCGATCAATATAATTTCAATGGAATATCTCTAAGAACATCAGCAAATGATATTTTCTCTCCAGAGTTTCAATGCTGTACAGAATTGACAGGAGATGATTTATATGCGGCATGTCCTGAACATTCAACAAACCTACAGTCATGCTCTATTTGTCTTGAGCAATTACGTCCAGAGGACATTTTGTTGTTATTGCCTTGTAACCATGCTCATCATCGTGATTGTTTATATGATTTTAAAAGATCAACTGTACAAGAAACACACCCAAATGAAGTTGTTATGTTTAGATGTCCAAGTTGTCAATTGAATCTTGTCAGATTGTATCAATATTATGTTGATCATGATTTGGATTTCAAAAAAGTTAAGTTTGACAATAGAGGCTGAATAATATCGTGAGTTATAAGCTGTCCTATAAAATAGTTATTAATATATATGGATCTTTAATTTATATATTAATATCAACATATTCGGCTATACATCTGAGGTTAGCAATTGTTCTACATTCCCCTTTTTCAATTAAAATATTAGAGTACGTACTCTTAATTCTTTTAATATAACCCAAAGGCGCTCTGAATGTATTTCACGTCATTCACGTCGCAATTGTATTATATTGCACGACGTTGAATTATCGACTAATTTAAACAATTTATTATAATGCCGTTAAATATTTGAAGCCCTCAATGACGTTAACTAGCTGTGGGATATTAGCTTATGGGATTAATGAAACACGCCCAGTCTATCAAAATAGCTCTGATTATAGTATACCATGTGCGTGATCTATGATGATCTGAAATCCATAACTGTATATATATAACTGTTCTGATAATTTTATAATATATTGGAACTTGGTAGTACCGATATTTCACTGAGCTGTTCGCTTTTAAGGGATTTTAAGGACGGAATTAATATTCAAACTACAGTTAGATTAATACTGTAAAATTTCGGACTCTTTATTACAAATCTTATTTTGTCCACAATTCAAATTTGAAAATTTGAAATCAGAATATAACAAAGAACAGTTTAATATATAAGGATATTTTGCATAATAAGGATATTTTGCATAATATAGATTTCACCCCAGCTGTAAATATTGATGATTAATTAAAGATGTTATTGTTTGAGGTACTGTAAGAGGATTAGAGCGGCCAGATCAACACAACAGTACTAATCTGTGGTGTCATGATTAGTACACAGTATTTTACCATGATGGATTCAAAATTATATAAAGAGGTAAACAATTCCACATTTATAACAGCCAGATATAAGCAATCATCCAATTAATAGGAGTATCAAAGATTATCACACATTCAACAAATCTAACATCAATATGGGAAAAGTTTATTTCATTGCAGGTGCCACTAAAGGTATTGGTCTTCAATTAGCTACTCAATTATCTCAAGCAGATTCATCAAATACCGTTATTGCAACAGCTCGTAACACTAACAGTTCAAATAAATTGAATGGATTGGTTTCAAAACAAGAAAATGTTCATATTGTCAAATTAGATTTATCTTCTGAAGAATCAATCAATGGTATTGATGAACAAATTAGCTCTTTAGTCTCCAAGACTGGTATTGATGTTCTTATTGTTAATGGTGCACTTGGTGATTCAACACCTTTCAGAGATTTGGATAGAAAAACTTATATTGATCATTACTTAGTGAATGTTTTGGGACCTATTCAAGTGGTTAATGTCTTACACAAATATCTTGTTAAAGCATCAACAAAGCAAATTTTCTTTACTTCAAGTGCTGCTGGTCAAGTTTCTAGCTTTATACCATTTGAAACAGGTGCTTATGGTCATACTAAAGCTGCTTTGAATCATAGTGCTTTACAATTATCTGTTCATTATAAAAATGAAGGTTTCACTGTTATCCCATTACATCCGGGTATTGTTGATACAGATTTAGCTAATGCAGCTTTTGATAAATTACCCGAAGAACATGCTGCTCTTGGTAAAACTTTCCGTGATCAATTTGTTTCACCTGCTGAAAGTGCTTCTCATATTATTTCAAATATCATTAATAAAGTCACTGTTGAAGATTCTGGTAAGTTTTTCAACTATGATGGAACTGTTCTTCCATATTGAACGTTAGTATACATTATATAATAGCTAATTTTAATAAAGTTAAATTGAAATTGAATTGCTAGCTCCATATGCTTGATGATAATGTAGCTCAGTAGTTGTATGTATAGTCTGTTTATACGTAATAGCTAGCAGCCGATATACTTCTGGTATACTTTATATATTTATGTACCAGATTTGGATTGTTTCGATCGAATACCAAATTCATGCCCATAGTATATATATTTGACAGTTAGTTATTGTTCATACGGTTAAGATTTTGTGATATAAGCAGTCATGGTAATCAGTAATCAAATGAGACTCATAAAAGTGCTTTGGAGTACCTTTATATAATTACTATATCTTTCAGTCTAAACATATTGATCGGATTATTCACACAATAGCAAGCTAACTTCTTATAAATATATAAAATATATGTCAACATAATCATATAAGATTTAATAATACACTCGCAATTAAGAGATTTTAATGGAATTAACCTTCAAATAACACTTCAGTTCATGTACTGTAATCCGGACATTGGCGGGTTACTAAATATTACAAATCATATACCATATTCGAGGATTACTTCTCTTAATAGAAATCAGATCTAATAACAAAACACACCTATAAAGTTGAGAAGACACAATCGTTCTGAGTAATTGATGATTAATTAACGATGTTCATGGTTATATCGTCATTAGCTACAAGTTTATTTATCCGGTGAATATAAAGAGGTATACATTCCCACCTTCAACTAAGCTAACATGCATTTATCAATATATTCGCATAATTCTTTAATATGATATTCAGCTATTAAAACAATATTATAATATAATGGGAAAAGTTTATTTTATTGCAGGTGCTACTAGAGGTATTGGTCTTGAATTAGCAACTCAATTAGCTGAAAAAGATTCTTCAAACACTATAATTGCAACAGCTCGTGATACGAAAAATTCAACTGGATTGAACAATTTGGCTTCAAAGAATTCAAATGTTCATATCATCCAATTAGATTTATCTTCTGAAAAATCAATCAATGGTATAGATGAACAAATCAACTCATTAATTTCAGAAATTGGTATTGATGTTTTCATTGCAAATGGTGCACTTGGTGATAATACACCTTTCAAAAATTTGGGTAGACAAACTTATATTAATCATTATCTAACTAATGTTTTGGGTCCAACACAAGTGATCAATGTATTGTACAAATATCTTATCAAGACACCAACAAGACAAATTTTCTTTGTTTCAAGTATTGCTGGACAAGTATCCACTTTCATACCAATAGTAAGTGGTCCTTATGGTCAAACCAAAGCTGCATTAAATCATACTGCTTTACAATTATCTGTTGAGTATAAAGATGAAGGTTTCACTATTATACCAGTACACCCAGGAGTTGTTGATACAGACTTAGCTAATACTGCTTTCAAAAAACTACCAGAAGAGCTTGGTAAGCCTTACCTTGATCAATTCATTTCACCTACTGAGAGTGTCTCTGGTATCATTTCAAATATCATTGATAAAGTTACTGTTGAAGATAGTGGTAAGTTTCTCAACTATGATGGAACTGTTCTTCCATTTTGAGCTTTTAAAATATACATATGATAGTCAGTGCATCTGTATTAGTTGGAAGCTAAATATTCGATATTGATATCATATGATTGCATGTATAGATCAATTAACGTTTTCTAGAATATTATTTTCGACAACAGCATTATTGAGCTGCCAGCTGTAACTTATATAAAAGAGAGGAAGAATATCATCAAATTATGTATTAGGTTGTTTAATAGAACATCCTTCATTTGTCTTACTACAAGTACTATAAAGTAACGTTTGCTATTGATAAGAACTATTGACCAAGGGTAGAATTGTCTACATCTTAGCTTCAACTTCAAATAAGGTCCTTCGGGTTCCAATTTCTTCCATCAACCATATATTTATGTTTAATATTAGGCTGGTAAGCTGATATTCTAGTGATTAAACAGTACTCTAGTAGCCTTAAGGTCAATACTTTTATGGAATGAGCTAGGCTTTAATCTAACTAAGCTTGTCAAAGTATATCAGCCCGGAGCTTGTGGAAGTTTCGGTAATAAGCTAATGTTATTATAAATCAGATATATAAACTGACAAATTGAGAGCCATTATTTTTAAATTTTAAGCTTATATATACTGTAAGTCAATATCAATAGTACCATAGGAATCACTGTAGTACGTCGATGGAATTCCGTTCAATTATTAATACTATTACAACGTCAGACATAGGCCTAATGTTTAGGGGACCCCTTACCGGTCCATATGAAAATGGAAGTCTTATATATAATATGAAGAGAGTTACATATCTCTTCACTATTAAACACATATGATCAAATTTAATCATTCAATCAATCACTAACTAAAAAGGTCAAGAATAGTTTAATATGGGGAAGGTTTATTTCATTTCAGGGGCTACTAGAGGTATAGGTCTCCAATTAGCTACCCAATTATCTCAAGCAGACTCATCAAACACAGTCATTGCAACAGCACGTAATCCAATCACTTCAACTGGACTAAAAGAGTTGGCTTCCAAGCAGAAAAACGTTCATATAATCAAGCTCGATGTTTCTTCTGAAGAGTCAATCAATGGTATTGATGAACAAATTGTTCCTTTAGCTTCAGAAACCGGTATTGATGTTTATATCTCCAATGGTGCAATTGGTGATTTAACCCCAATCCAAGATCTAAACAGACAAAGTTATATTGATCACTTCTTAACGAATGTATTAGGCCCATTGTAAATTGTCAATTTGTTGTATAAATATCTTACTAAGACTGTGACAAGACAAATATTTCTAGTCTCAAGTATTGGTGGTCAAGTTTCTGACTTTTCACCATTATTAACAGGTGCTTGTGGTATTACAAAAGTTGGTTTGAATCATGCTGCTTTACAATTATCTATTCAGTACCAAGATGAAGACTTCACTGTTATCCCATTACACCCAGGTTTTGTTAATACTGAATTAGCAAATGATGTATTTAACACATTACCAGAAAATCAATATGAAGTTGCTGAATCTTTCCGTGCTCAATTTATTACACCTGCAGAAAGTGCTTCTGGTATTATTAATAATATAATCAACCAAGTTACAATTGAAGATAGCGGTAAATTCTATAGATATGATGGAAAGATTCTTCCATATTAATTGAGTCTAATATATGATATCATATCTAGAGAGAAATGTATATGTAGAGGCGATTTGGATAATTAATGCCCAAATGTCTAGCGTGTCGACAAAGACAATTTGCTGAAGAGATTGATTGAGGTGTCAAGATCTAAGATCCAGATTTACACCGTTTATCTTTTGGATTGAACATTTGTAATATAATAGAGTCTATATATACCTGGCTTTATTACATTAATATGGAGAAATTTGGAGATATAGAGATCAATTCCACCTCTTGAACAAGGTTTCTGGTAATACTAGCTAATAGTTATAGCTATATTACCTCATGTACACATATGAGTGTTAAGAACTTTTGAAGTAGAATTCAAATCTGACACCTCACACCTCACACCACATAGGTCATAGTTTCAGGTGAAGAGTTTAATTATGCTTATTTCTCACATCTAAATAGTATACAGCCATGGTATGATCAATATTTGTAATCGGATTTTAATGGAAGTGGAAATTTGGGAGTGCATTTAATGTCATGTAAATCTTGAATTGATGCCGATCAGATCTTCTATCTAGAAATTCCAACGTCGCTGCGTTGTAGTAGCTGTGATTTTTGAGTATATGTACACATTTAGATGATGTATTTGAATGGAAGAATTTTTTTTGGTTTACAACGTATTTCAAGTGGAAGAGCGTTATCAAGTATAATGAATGGAGTCAGTACTCGCACACAAATTTGTGGATATATAGTAGAAGACTTAGATCATTGATGAAGTTTCAAGTCATTTCCAAGAATTTGATCAAACCATGAGCTATGATGTTGAATGATATCCATAAAGACCTGCGTAAGGAAGTAGCGATCAGCTTGTAACTTGACGAGCTAAACATGAATCAACGTTGTGATGCTTTGATTATGGTTGATCTTATCACATCTCTGGAACTTTGAATTTGAGATATATTAGATTATTGGTTAAATAATTGGTGTGTTTTAATATGGAAGGCATATGACTGAGGCTCAAGATTAGTTTATACTTAATGGCCACGTTGACAATTATAAGAGCATGAACGAACTTTGAAGCCAGTGTATTATTGTCAAGCTCAAAAGTATATAAGTTGGTAAAAAGTATCAAATATTAACCATATAAGATCATAAAACTCAGGTACAATTGAAACACCATACACAACATGGGTAAAGTTTTTTTCATTTCAGGTGCCACTAGAGGTATCGGTCTTCAATTAGCTACTCAATTATCTCAAGCAGACTCATCAAATACCATCATTGCAACAGCTCGTGATCCAACCACTTCAACTGGATTGAATGAATTGGCTTCCAAGAATAAAAATGTTTATATCATTAGTTTAGATATTTCATCTGAAGAATCAATTAATGGTATTGATGAACAAATTTCTTCTTTAGTTTCAAATACTGGTATTGATGTTTATATTTCAAATGGTGCTATTTGTGAGTCTGCTCCAATTAGCAAGTTGAATAGACAAGTTCATATTGATCATTATTTAACAAATGTCTTGGGTCCATTACAAATAATTAACATTTTATATAAATATCTTGTTAAAGCACCAACAAAGCAAATCTTTCTACTTTCAAGTATTGCTGGTCAAGTTGCTGATTTTGTACCAATTGCTACAGGTGCATATGGTCAATCAAAAGCTGCTTTAAATCATAGTGCTTTACAATTATCACTTCAATATAAAGATGAAGGTTTCACTGTTGTCCCATTACATCCAGGAATTGTTGATACTAGTTTAGCTGACAATATCATTAAATCATTACCAGAAGATCTTTCTGAACTTGCTAAAGCTTTCATTGCTCAATTAATTTCTCCTGAAGAGAGTGCTTCTGGTATTATTGGGAATATAATTAATAAAGTCACAGTTGAAGATAGTGGTAAATTCTATAAATTTGATGGAACAACTCTCTCATATTGAATGTATATCCATAGTTGGTATATAGATTATTAAATATATTGTATGATAATTACCACTTATATTGTAGTATTAAACTTCCTGTTAAATATCTATCTAAACCTTATCTTTATGAGCCAAAAAATCTGTAAATGATTAAAAAATTCAAGTACAAATTTACTTATACCTACCACCGGCTAAATGAAATACTTTACCCGCCCTTTTGATTTCAAATACCCGAATCAGCCACCCGCGAATTCGTTTTACATTTTCATTTTGATCTCGCGAATTTCGAATTTCCCGCGAATTCAGAAATTGTTGATTTCGTGTTTGAATAAACAATTTGGAATACACTGAAAAGTAAATCAACAGATCAATTCTGATACAGAGGCAAAGTATATTATTAGATTCTGAAAAAGATGTCAGAAGTTTACGCTACTAAAGAAGAGATCAAGAGTATATTTGCAAACTTACAGAAAGATCCTACAAACAAAGTATGCTTTGATTGTGATGCTAAGAATCCAACTTGGACATCTGTTCCTTTTGGTATCATGTTATGTCTTGAATGTTCAGCTGTTCATAGAAATTTAGGTGTTCATATCACTTTCGTTAAATCTTCAAATTTAGATAAATGGACTCAAAAACAACTCAGAAGATTTAAATTAGGTGGCAATCAAAAAGCAAGAGAATATTTTCTCAAGAATGGTGGTTCAAGATATTTAACAAAACCAAGTGATTCAAATGCTAAATATAATTCTAAAATCGCTTTGAATTATAAAACTCATTTAGATCATAAAGTTTCTAAAGATGAAGCTTCATATCCAGATTCTGTTAATTTGGAAAATATTGATTCAACTTCTTCTTCAAGTTCTTTAGGAAATTCACAATCAAATAGTACTGATGATTTCTTTGCCAATTGGGAGAAAAAACCATTAAATCAAACACCATCACCTTCAATTTCAAGACCTTTAACCCCAAATCAAACATCATCATTATCAGTTAATAATGGATCAAATGCAAGTTTATCTTCAAATCAACCTAGAAAATCATCTTCAACAATCTTGAGAAAATCAACTTCATCATCAACACAGAAAAAAGGTAGTATATTATCAGGTCCAAGAAAAACTAAATTAGGTGCTAAAAAAATCGTTGCTAATGATATTGATTTTGATGCAGCTGAAAAAGAAGCAAAAAGAGAAGCTGAAGAAACTGCTAAATTAGGTTATAATCCAAATAAAGATGAAGATCAAACAGTTTCAACTATAAAACCTAAAACAACTTCAAGTTATAATACAAAAGAACAACCATTATATCAAGAAAAAAATTCAATTAATAAAGAAACTACATCATCAACTAAAACAAATTCATCAGTTGATAAAATTACTCCAAGTTTTGCTAAATTAGGTTTTGGTATGACTGCAAATGATGCAGCAGAACAAGCAAGAAAGCAAAAAGTTGCAAATCAACCAAAATATACAGGTGAAGTTGAAAATAAATATGGTGGACAAAAAGCTATATCATCAGATCAATTTTTCGGTAAAGGTTCATATGATACAAATGCTCAACAAGAAGCTCATAATAAATTACAAGCTTTTAATAATTCACAAGCAATCTCTTCATCAAGTTATTTTGGTGAAGATGAAGAAAATTCAAATTCAAATGGACCAAATAGAGGTGCTGGAGGTGGTGATTTTACAAATTTTTCAGCTCAAACTAATGATGATTTAGCTGTATTGAAAGATGCACTTGAACAAGGTGCTAATAAATTAGGTGGTTATTTACGTGATTATTTGCGTAATTGAGATAATATTCATAATTTTTTTGTATAATAATATATTTTTGAAATGGATTTTGCTTAGAAACAATATATGAAAATGGAAAAGTAAACTTGATTTGATTTGTATATAGATCTCGTCCCAATTCGGTAATATACCCGATATGGTACATTTCCGATGATTTTTCGTATCTTTTTGGATAATAAAAACACCGTCAAAATCGTATCATTTTATAAAAAAAATTAACAGTTCATTCAAGTTTTGAGAAAAGTTTTTGTACTTGTCAATTGTTATAGACTCAATTGACTTAAACAGAAATATCATTATTATAATGTCCACAGTTGGTGTTGTTGGTGCTGGATTAGTTGGTTGTTTAGCAGCTCTTGGATTATCGAAAAAGGGTTATAAAGTTACAATTTTAGAATTAAGAGATGATCCAAGAAAATCTCAAAATAAAAATTTAAGAAGTATTAATCTAGCTGTTTCAAATCGTGGTATTAATGCTTTGGAATATGTTGATCCAGAATTGGCTGAAATTGTTCTTTCAAAAGTTATTCCAATGACTGGTCGTATGATTCATAATTTAGAAGGTGTTCAAACAAGTCAAAATTATGGATTAACTGGTAAAGAAGCTATTAATTCCATTGACAGATCTTATTTGAATGAATTATTGTTGAATGAAGTGGAAAAAGCTGGTATCACTTTAAAATTTAATCATAAATTAGATAGAATTGATTTTAATAATGATAATGGAAATCCAATATTAAAATTCATAGGTAATGAAATTGAACCATTAGAATTTGATTTTATTATTGGAGCAGATGGTTCTTTTTCAAAAGTTCGTCAAAATTTACAAAAATTTATAAGGATGGATTATCAACAAGAATATATTGATTGTGGTTATTTAGAATTATCAATTCCTGGTGGTGGTCCCCAACAAAATGAATTCTTATTAGATAAGAATCATTTACATATTTGGCCAAGAGATAAATTTATGCTAATTGCATTAGCCAATTTAGATGGTTCATTTACTTCAACTTTTTTCGCTCCATGGGATATATTAGAAAAATTAAGTAACGATGATGCTGTTTTAGAATTTTTTGAAAAATATTTTAAAGATTCAGTTGAATTAATTGGTAAAGATCATTTATTAAAATGTTTTAGAGATCATCCAAGAGGTTCATTACTTACATTAAATTGTAAACCTTATCATTTTGCCAATAAAGTAATTGTAATTGGTGATGCTGCACATTCAATGGTTCCATTTTATGGTCAAGGTATGAACTGTGGTTTTGAAGATGTTTATGTGTTATTGAAATTATTAGAACAAGAAAAAGATGTTGGAGCTGCCTTCTCTAAATATTCAGAAACAAGATATAAAGATCTTGCTTCAATTCTTGAATTAGCTAAAGAAAATTATAAAGAAATGTCACATAAAGTTAATTCCAAAGTGTTTTTATTGAAAAAACAAATTGATTTCATTTTAACACGTATCCTTAAGGATAAATGGTTACCATTATATACCATGATTTCATTTAGACAAGATATTATGTATTCAAAAGCTGTTGAAGTTCATCAAAGACAAGATAAGATTTTAAAAATCATTCAAAATGTGATTCTTGGAGCTGCTGTTTTCGGTGCTTCCAGAGTGTACAAGTACCTAACACAGAAATGAAGTGAACTAATAAGCTATATATATTAGATTATTTATATAAATGACCTGAAATGAAGTAGAATTTGAAATAAATTGATTAAGTTTATACTGATTATGTAACTTCCGCGAATTCTTATTTTTTTGGCCATTTGTTTATTATAAAGATACGAAATTTCTGAAATGAGTTGAAACACAACGAAAACCACCAAAAATCAGAGCATTGAAAAGGGTTCTTTTGAAGAAGGAAACAAGTCTTAAAGAGGTTTTGAGAAGATGGCTCTGGAAAGTCAGACAGATGGCCTGCCTGCTGAGCAGCGCAGAGGTTCTGGTTCCGGTTCGTTGAGCTCGATGAACACAGAGATAAGGCATGGTTTTGAAGTGGATAAACAGTATATGGAATTACTGGCAAATAACTTCTTTCTGTATTTTGACGACAAGAGACATCATACAAATGGGAATCCAATTACCCAGGAGGAGAAACAACAAAAATTTGATTATTATCAACCAATTCCTGATTGGAAAATCATGAAGGATCGTCAAAAAACTGTTAGTGCTGCTATAATTTTATGTTTAAATCTTGGTGTTGATCCTCCAGATGTTATCAAGACTCATCCTTGTGCTAAAACTGAAGCTTGGATTGATCCTGCTACTTATAATGATACTAAGAAGGCAATTGAAGCTATGGGGAAGAATTTACAAAGTCAATATGAAACGTTATCATTAAGAACAAGGTATAAACAATCATTAGACCCTTGTGTCGAGGATGTTAAAAGATTTTGTAATTCATTAAGAAGAAATGCAAGAGATGAACGTATATTATTCCATTATAATGGGCATGGTGTTCCTCAACCTACTCAAAGTGGTGAAATTTGGGTTTTCAATAGAGGTTATACTCAATATATCCCAGTATCTTTATATGATTTACAAACTTGGTTAGGTGCTCCATGTATTTATGTTTATGATTGTAATAGTGCAGGCAATATAGTGACGAATTTTAAGAAATTTGTTCAAAAAAGAATTGATGATGATAATGAAGGTATACATGATAATCAAGCACCATCACCAACATCGGCTTATATTGATTGTATCCAATTAGCTGCTTGTCGATCAAATGAATTATTACCAATGGATCCTGATTTACCTGCAGATTTATTCACTTGTTGTTTAACATGTCCAATTGAAATTAGTATAAAATGGTTTATTATGCAATCTCCTATTAAAAAATCTTATTATGGACCTTTATTAGATGTTGCTAAAAACAGTCCAAATGGTAATATAATTATCCCAGGGAAGTTGACTGATCGTCGTACTCCATTAGGTGAATTAAATTGGATCTTTACTGCCATAACAGATACTATTGCGTGGACTTCATTACCAAGACCTTTATTTAAAAGATTATTTAGACAAGATCTGATGGTTGCTGCATTATTTAGAAATTTCTTATTAGCTAAGAGAATTATGCCTTCATATTCATGTCATCCAATTTCTGATCCACCTTTACCAGAAATTCAAAATCATTCAATGTGGGAATCTTGGGATTTAGCAATCGATCAAGTTTTAACTCAATTATTGAAAAATTTAAATAATGAACCTTCTTCATTATTACCAACTCAAACATTATCACCACAATCATCAACTGCAAGTTTAAATACTGCAACAACTGCAATCACAAATAATCATAACAACTTAATGAATGGAAATGGTGTACCACCACAATCACAACAACAGCAACAAGGTCAAACCTCTACAACATTAGCATCAGTGGCTAACCCATTACCACCAACTACCGCTGGAACAAGTACAGTTAATGGCGTCAATACTACAGCTGCTGCTAATATGTCTGCATCTGTTGCTACTGGGAAAAGTCTGAGTAATTATCAACATTCAACTTTCTTTGAACAACATTTAACTGCATTTGAACTTTGGTTAAAATATGGATCATCAACAAGACAACCTCCAGAACAATTACCTATAGTTTTACAAGTCTTACTGTCTCAAGTTCATCGTGTTAGAGCACTGGTGTTATTATCAAGATTTCTGGATTTAGGACCTTGGGCTGTATATCTGGCTTTATCAATTGGTATTTTCCCTTATGTTTTAAAATTATTACAAAGTCCTGCATCAGATTTAAAACCTGTACTAGTTTTCATTTGGGCAAGAATAATGGCTGTTGATTATAAAAATACTCAACAAGAACTGCTGAAAGATAAAGGTTTCAATTATTTTTTACAAATGTTGAATCCAAAGGATAATTCTGGTAATACAACAAATAATGATCATAAAGCTTTATGTGCACTGATTTTAAGTCTGTTTGTTAAAGGTTTTAAAAATGGTCAAAAATTATGTTTTAGTCCTCAATTAGTTAATAAATTATTGAATTATATTGAAGAATCTGATAATCCATTATTACGTCAATGGTGTGTTTTATTAATTTCTCAATTATGGGATCAAAATTTTGATGCCAAATGGATAAGTTATAAAGAAGGTATTGTTCATAAATTATTAAAACAAGTTAATGATCCAATTCCAGAAGTTAGAACTTCTGTTATAACTGCATTTACAAATTTTTTACCTGATGATCCAGAAGAAGAAGAAATTAAAGATGAAACTAATGTTATTATGACTATTTTATCATTATCAAATGATGCAAGTCCGTTGGTTCGTAAAGAAATTATCATATTTATATCCAAGATTGTTAAAAGACATATTAATAATTTTATTGTTTGTGCATTTTATGAATTATATAATGAAATTTCAAATATTTTAGAATTAGATTTAAACAATAATAATGAAGATCATGATAAACAGATTGGTTATGGCTCAAGTTATCATATTATTTGGAAATCTTTGTTAGTATTTGCATGTGATGGTCATGATCAAAATAAAATTTATGCTGAAAAAATTATTGATTATATAATTATAAAATTAAAAGAAAGTCCACTTAGTGATGCTGCAGATGAAATGGAATTATTATTATTACAAAGAAATAATACAACATCATTAAATAATTTAGAATCAAAACAACAATTTCAACAACAAAGAATATTACCAAAACCTATTAAATTGAATGGGAATTCTACATCTTTAGATTCAACAACAAAGCAAAGATCTGTTTCTTCAAGAGTTGAAAGTACAAGAATTAATAATGGCAATTCTTCAAATTTCCTTAAGAGAACATTATCATTATCAAATATTTGGAAAACCTTAGGCTGGAATCAAGACGATGAATCAATCAATGGTAATGAACAGTTGAATAAAAATGAATCATCATTATCATCATCATCATCACATTTCTTATCCACACCACATGGTGTTTATCCACAACCTAAAACTTTAAGATTTAATTCTAAAAAATTCCAAGCTGAAGAAAGTTTAGAATTACCAATTTTATCAAAATTTTTCGAATATAGTATGGAATATTTTCAAGAACCACAAATGAGGAAAAGTGAAATTGATGAACCTGGTAGTTTAGAATATACTCAAAGAATTTGGAGACGTAATAGAAATGAATCTATTATAAATGAAACTCAACCACAAAAAAATTTATCATTAAGAGGTGATTGGAAAACAAATGTTGCATTTTTAAATAATAAAACTCAACCAAGAATATTAAAATTTTCTCAATTTGAAAATTATTTAATTAGTTCAGATGATCGTGATAATTTAACAGTTTTCGATTGGGAAAATAAAATTCAATTATCAAAATTTTCAAATGGTAATCCATTTGGTACAAAAATTACAGATTTAAAATTATTAAATGAAGATGATTTACCTTTATTATTAACAGGTTCATCAGATGGTATTTTGAAAATTTATAAAGATTTCCATTCAACTGATCAATCAAGATTAGTTACATCATGGAGAGGTTTAACAGATTTATTATTAACACCAAGATCCACGGGGCTTTTAACAGAATGGCAACAAAGTAGAGGTTCATTACTAGTAACTGGTGATGTTAAAGTTATTAGAATTTGGGATGCACCAAGAGAATTATGTGTTGTTGATATTCCAGCACGTTCATCAAGTTCAATCACATCAATAACTTCAGATCAAGTTGCAGGTGATATATTTGTTAGTGGGTTTGGAGATGGTTCAATAAGAGTTTATGATCGTAGATTAGATCCAAGAGATTCAATGGTTAAATTATGGAAAAATAATGTTGGTAATTCCAAGAATTCTTCAGATTTAAATAGATCATGGATAACAAATGTTTCAATGCAAAGAGGAGGATATAGAGAATTAGTTAGTGGATCATCAAATTCAATTATCAACTTGTGGGATATTAGATTAAATGAACCAGTATTAACTTTTAAATCACATGAAAAAACAATGACAAATTTACAAATTCATGAACATGCACCAATTATTGCATCAGGTTCAAGAATGATTAAAATTTGGACTACAAATGGAGATTTAATTTCAAATATTAAAAATCCAAATGGTGGATTTAATACATTACAAAATAGAACACCATATATTTCTTCATTATCATTACATCCTCATAGAATGATGTTTGCAGCTAACAATACACATGATCCTTATATTAGTGTTTATAAATGCACAGAAACCATGCAAGATTGATTGAATAAAAACAAAAAAAAGCATAACAAAGGAATGATTTATATATGTAATATTTAATGCACAAAGTTTAATTTATTTATTATGAAATAATATGTTATTGTATAAAAAATTTTAAGCAAAAGCAACTTTCTTCTTTTTTGGGGTTTCGGAATCATCTTCAACTGAAGGTTTTGATAAGATTTTAGCTCTTTTTCTTCTATCTTGTCTTGCTTTTGAAGCTTTATTTTTCAATTCTGATTTTTTATCTTCTAATTTATTTTGTTTTTTCAATTCTTTTTCTTCAATTTCTTTCTTCTTTAATTCTCTAATTTCTTCTAATTTTTGAGCTTTTTCTAATTTAGAATAATCTCTTTTTTCATCTTTTAAGATAACTTCATTTATAATTCTATTTATTTGAGTTGAATCTTCAGGATCTTCATTAACAAATTTTTTACCCTTTTTACCTCTAATTCTTTTAACACCTGGAGTTATAGCTCTATTTAAAACTGGAATATCAAGATCTTTTTCATCATATACTTTCTGTTGAGGTTTTTTACCATAAAGCCTTATCTTTTGTTGTTCTTTTTTAACATCTTTTTTACTTGGTTTTCTAACTCTAGCTTTTTCAGTTTGATTTGATGTAAAACCCAATCTATTTCTTGCTTGAGAATCTTTGAAAACTTCAGATTCGATGGATCTTGTTTTATTTTGAGTGGCACTTCTCTTTGCTGTCTTGGACTGTCTTGGAGCCATAATTTACTATGATATTTCTTCCGTTCTTTATAGTTTCTACTTGATAAATTAATTATGTCTCATAAAGAAAAAGCTCATCGCATGTATATTAAAAAAAAAAATTTATGATAACCGTTTTCGCGGAGATCACATAATCAATTATGTAATCAATATAAAGTATAACCCGTATTTTCAACTAAACTCTTAATGATTTTCACGTTCAAGCACTAATTTATTGAATCTTTTAATTGCTGGGAACCCTTCAATCAATCCTGCAATGTACCATTCAATCAAGAAATCAGGTGGGACTCTATATTTGTTCAATTTTGGTCTAAAGATGAATAAATTTTCTAATAAATGAGCACCAAGGGTTACATAAGTTATATTTAATGAATTTTTTTGTAACCAATCAATTGAATTTGATGATAAATATGATGTTGTATAACTGTTATGTAAGATAGATGGGAAAAAATAACTTAATAATGGTAAATAAATGATAAAAATTAAAATCAAATTATAAACACCTGGATATTTTATATCAGAAATTTGAAAATGTGCATATCCACGTTTATTTGCTGCAAATTTTGCCATTTCCACTAACTTAACTCTTGCTTCTGATAAATCTGTTAAAGGAGGTTCAAATGGGATTGGTTTTTCAATAACAAAATCTAAATCATCATGTGTAAACGTGATAACCATATGATCTAAATCAATATGGGTCATTTTAACATTGCTAATTTTCTTGTTGATTATGACATTCCCATACACATTTAGGTAATCTTCAATTGCCAGTCTATGAGACTTGTTCATATGACTTAGGATTCTAACTTCAGCCATTGTGAAAGATATCTTTGTGTACTCCTTTTGATTGACTTTCTGGTGATTCGAGTGTGGATTCTTTTGAGATTTTCAACGGTATAAACGAAATCACCGAGAAGTGTTAAGAGCACGGATCTATAACCAAATATATTTTATTTACTAAACATATTCTATACACACTATTGCATTATAAGGGTGATCAAGTGAATAGTTGTACTACAATATTCCTTCATCCTTCAACTTGTTTTCAAAATCTTCTCTCGACTCATCCTTGGTCCATCTATATTGATACCCAGGATGATCTTTTGGTAAGAATGAATGGTCCTTTTGTTGATATAAGTTTTCTCTAAAAGTTCCATTTGGAACTGGATAATCATACCAAAATAAACCTCTTTTTTGTAATTCAGGTATCAATATCTCAACAATGTCCTCTAATGACTCTGGGAATACACTTTGTGAGAAATTAAACCCATCAATATCATAAAGTTCAACCCATTCTTCAATTATATTGGCAACTTCTTCACCTGTACCAACAAGTAATTTAGTATATTCTTTACTATTTTCAAAGATTTTCCGCCTTGAAGTAGTCTTGGTTGTTGAATTAAGAGTATTTTTAGTTAACCCAATACTGGCATTGTTTTTCCCAACTTCTTGGCCAAATGGTTCATCCCATTCATACTTATCCAAATTTATCCCTGATTGACTACTAAACATTATTTGTGAACCTTCTGGATTCGCATATGAGCTATAGTCTTCCCATTTATCAATAGCTTCTTGATGAGTTTTACCTAATATTGGTGCAGCACTAACCAAAAATTTAATGGAATATGGATCTCTACCATAATTTTGAGCTAATTGTCTAATTTCTTTAATACTTTCACCACTTTGACTTAAATTATTACCAGAACCAACAAAGATTATCTCTGCATTCTTTGCAGCAAATTCTTTACCTTGTTTAGATGTACCAGCTTGAATAATCACTGGGAATCCTTGTGGGATAATTGAAGTTATAGATGCACCATTTAATTTGAAAAATTTACCATCATGTTCAATATTCCTAACTCTTGATGAATCAACATAAACACCTCTAGATTTATCTTTGATCAATGCATCTTCTCTCCAAGATGATAATAATAATTTATAAACAATTTCTAAATATTCTTGAGTCTGAGCATATCGATCTTCATGAGCTAACAATTCACCACCATTTAACAATTGTCTACCAACAGATGGAAGATAACTAGCAACTATGTTCCAGCCCAGCCTACCCTGGGTCAAATGATCCAATGTAGCTAATCTTCTAGCTAACAAGTATGGATGTTCAGAAACTGTACTGAATGTGATTCCAAATCCAATTGATTCTGTGACTGAAGCCATTGCGCTTATGGGGATACTCGGGTCTAATTTTGGAGCATTTATACCAACTTCAAGAGATGGACCAGGATTATTTGGACCTTTATAAACATCAAAATAAGTTAAAGTATCAGCTATGAAAATTGAATTGAGTTTGCCTCTTTCTGCTGTCTTTGCAAGCTGAGTCCAATAGGATAGTTCTGTATGAGTGGATGTTTTATCATTTGGGTGTCTCCAAATACCTGGAATTTGTGAATATAAAGTACCATTAGTGAAGGCATTTAATACCAATGTTTTCTTTGGTTTGGAAAGCTTTTGTTTCTTTGTTTCTGTCATTGATGATTAGCTTATCAGAGTATACCAAAACCATGACGATTCCCAGGATTGGTGATACTGGGGGACTTATATACCACACGTATACTCGCTTCATTGTCTATGTTTGGATTTAGTTGTGGCTTCAATATCATTACTGAAGCATCTACAAGTGAAGGTAAATCAAGACTAAATATATTATTATAAATCATTTAAATTAGCTATTAAAATATAAGCGACTACCAGAATCCACTTATTATGGGAAATGACCACGTTCAGGTCCAAAATAACCTCTTTCAGTCTCAGTAATGTTATATAAAGTAGTTTGACCATCACCACCTTCAATACCTAAATTAACAACATTGTTCCCCCACCATGAAATGACTTTAGGATGATATTGAACTGCAAAGAATATAATTACAGCTGAAAATGCAACACCAGCATCCAAGGCAGCAGATAAAACATAATTATATTTTTCAAACCATGCAATATATCTTCTTTTAATATAAAATGTAAAACCAAAAGCTAAATACATTGTTGGAATAATATATGACATATTTCTTGGTGCATAATGTAATAAACCTGTAATGAAAACTGAAGGTTCAAAATTATTTGGTAATAAATTTGGTGCAAATTTTCTAATTGCAATAAATACTAATGCAACCAAGAACCCAATTAAAAATGCATATTTCATTGTTGGATAAAGACCATCAAAGATTTTCTTTGGACCAATAACACCCCAAAAGACACTTGAAGCATAAAATGTACGTTCATTTGCACAAATGAATTTTTGTGGTTGTTTTAAATCACACATACCATCAATATTTGACATTGACCAATTAACAACACCTAAAAATACAAAAACTTGAATAACTGAACCGATTAATTGACCTCTGAAAACAGCTCTAATTGGAATTCTTGTATAATGTGCAGTTTTTTGACATGATATGAAATTTTCAGCTTGTCCATCAATATTATAACCAAGTGCTTTTAAAATCATTAATGCAGTACCATTACCTGGCAAAGCATAACCAACAATTAATTCAACAAGAACATTTAAACCCATTTGAATACCTGTAACTGAAAGTAAAATACAAAATGGAATCAAGAAAACAAAATTGATAGCAACAGTGAAGAAAATACCCCAAACTGGTGTCTTTGTCTCTGGATAAACTTTAACACAAAGAATACAAAGTACTAATGAAATGATTAAAATTAACCAATAATATGAATCAGGAACTTCTTTATATTGTGCCATCATTTTAGAATGTGGATCCTCAAATCTTGATAAAGTTGAGTTTGCAAGACCTTTATTAACTTCTGTAGATTTTTCATTTGATGGATCAACATCACTATTTGTACGAATCTTCACAAACCGACGTGGTTTAATTGAGCTAATTGATTCTTTTGCATTATCATAAATGAATAAAATTGCAAATTTAATGGTATTCCATTCTTTGAAAGAATTATAAAGAAATGCAAATGGATAAAACATGAAGAATGAGCTATAAACCATAATATTTGCAGCTGAATAAAAAGGTGGTGAATAATTTTGATATTTTTCATCATCTAATAAACCATCAGTTAAAACATTTTGCACTGCAAATGTCTTACCTGTATTTGTGAAAATTGCATTTGAATTTATTGGTAAATAACCTGACCATTTATAATTTGTGAAATAAATCCCCAAAATTGTTATAAATGAAACAATCATACCCAAGAATACATTCATACTAACATAAAATGGTAAAACTAAAGGACTTATAACTGCTGTAGCAACATTCCAATCAAAAGTTGAGATTGGGTTAAAACCTAAACCTGAGCTAAAACCAGTAACCATTGATAATTTAAAATCATTTGGTTTAATCCATGTAATCCAACTAAAACTTGATAAAGCTTGAAATAAATAATTTGGAATCCAAAAATATAAAAACATTGAGCCAAAAGCTGTCCAAAAAAATTTAAATTTAGAAACTTTCCATCCATTAATAATTTCTTTTCTTTCAGGTTTTAATAATGCCCTATTTAATGCAATTGTAGGTAAGACTGTTGGCCACATTGATCTAACTGGGTAAACAACAAATTTTCTCAAGATACCAGCAAATGAAAACCCCATTAATTGAGTTGATATAGATAAAAGAAATTGGAACCCAAAATTTAATGGCCAATTTTGTTCATAAAATTTAACTTGAGTAACAATATTATATGAGACATAAACATTTGAATTAGCAACACTTGTCATTAAAGAAGCAAACATTTGTTCTTTAAAAGTATAAGGACCAGGATTTAATTCAAATTTTTTACCAAAGAGTTTAAATTTATAATTTGGAACAACATATTCCCATAATTTACCATTTGAATACATTAAAATTGAAACAACACCAGAACTTAAAGCAATTGAAGGGAATCTATGAGAAAAAAATTCTTTAATACCACATGCAATAATTAACCAAATTATAGCTAATGTATAAGATCTAATAGTTTCAACTGGTTCATTTAAATCATCAACAATTTCAGTAACAGAACGAACCTCAGGGTAAGGTGAATGATATTTAATTAACACTGCAGTTAATTTTGCTTCAAAATTGATTTCATAATTCAATTCTAATTTATTTTGATCAATCAAATCATTGATAAAATTCCAATCTTTAATTGGGAAATTTGCATCACCTTCATGTTCATGAATTGCATGGGTTAAAATTTCTAACGTTTGTTCATTTGATAATAAGATAATTTTATCCAAAAAGAATTTCAAGTCAAAAGTTAAAGCATCTTTATTATCATGATTGATATCAGTACCATGACCAGTTTTGGTTAAAAATAATTGGATTGATTCATCACTTAACTTGGAGAAGTACTCTTTGATTTGAGTTTCATTAAATTTTAAACCAGATTTATTTAAATCTTCATCAGTTAATGAAACTTCATCATGTGATTCAACTCTTGATACCACGTTATTTTTATCTTCAGAAGTCATCTTGATTCACTGTGGAGAGTAATATGAGAAATAATCATGATTCAATCATATAATTTGGTTATTCTGTGGTGGTTTATATACCTTGAAATCGTTTTCCTTATGTTAACAATGAAACCACAATCATCAAAAATCATGAACCAACCCCATGATTTTTCTTAACCTATCTTTCTGAAATCTGGCTGCTCGATGGTTAATTTCTGATAGATTATGGCAAATTATCCAAGTTCAATAGGTGATCTTCAATCAATGATTTCTTGGAGATGATTTCACATATTGGATTTGTTAGTTAAGATATTAATTTTAATGCATTGTGCAGCTTATCAATACCAAACCAAACATTTTCAAATCTCAAAATACTATTAGCAGCTCAAGGGTAATATATCTTTCTCATTGACCACAAACCACCTTCAAGCAAGATCCATTATAAGATCCCCTTTCAAAGCAACAAAATTTCACTTCAAACAGTGGTAAAGCGATGATCTTATCATATCGAGCCACCATATATCCCTTTGCTTGGCTATATAGATACCAAACTCAGCTTGTCATTTTAAAGTTGCCCGATGGAAATGTGAAGACAATATTCTCGTGTGACTGGGGGAATCAACAGCCTCAGTTTGTGATTCTTCCTTGTTTTATTTGTTCAATTTTGGAAAGGTTTCAGAAAGATTTTGTTATTACTCGGAGTTACGTAAGCCGCGATGAGCTCATACCAAATAATTAATACCCATTGAATTTTTAGTTCAATTTGATTTGATTTTGTTTTAAAACTGGAAGGGTTGATAATAAGAATCATGGAGTAAATGATTGATCATGATCACAATAATATTAAGCTAACAGCTAATAGCGTCCACAATGACCCAGGTTTATTGATTTGGTTAGATTATTAAGACTATTTATAAAAACTTCTCATATTCGATCTGCAAGTACGTCTTCAATATATATATTGATCCAAATAAATATATTTCAATCAACTATATTATTCTCACTAGCCGGAGATGAATATATATATATATAAAGGTTTACAAAATCCCCTTAGGATACATCATTTCGTTCTCATCACTAATGATTTCAAAACTTACATTATTGTTAACTAAAAATAATAATATGGTTAATTCAAACATAGGATATACACGACTTTTAAGTTTAACAGATGAAGAATTAATCGGAACGTTAAGTTTGGAGCCAAAATATAAGAATGGATACTCAAAAAATCAAATTATCAGGGCTGGTCAATCTGATCGGTTCATTGCTGCTGTACTTGATCCAAGAACTTCTTCCCAATTTAAATCAGATGAAATTTTCCAAATTGTTGAACCTCAATACCTTGAATATAAACAATTTTCTGTTAAATTGAAATTGAAAAATCACCCTACAGATTCACAGATTCATTGAGTAAGGAAGATATCATGAATATTAAAGCTTATCTTGATGAATCTGACTGGAAGCGTTGTCTCACTGTATTCATGAGGTCTGATTTGAACATTTCACAAATTTTAACTTATTTAAATAAATTTGACTTAAAATCTGATAAAGAAATTGATGATCATACTTCCAAAATTAATAGTGAAAGACTACCAAGGTTTTTCATGTTCCCTGGTACACCTCAATTCCTTAGAATTTTCCTTAGATTAATGAATTTTTATTCAAATTCATTAGAATCAAGAGCAAATTATACTGCACCACAAGAATTAATAGCAAAAATTACCCAGAGGCAAAAATCAAATTATATGAGCATTGAAGGAACGGTACCACATCGTAACTTTATTTATTTCTTCGGCCAGATAAAACCCAAGAATAAATATAAATGTGAGATCGATGATTATACTCTCAAGAACTACTCACAAGCCTATGATAAGATTAAGTTTGATAATCCTTATTCTTATGACCATTCTACTTTTACGGTATATGATATGGAATGTGCAAATGATAAGATATATGTGAATAACAAAGACAATCAATTATCTGAAAAGGAGTCTTTACCAAAATATTCAAAGTAATGGAAAAAGTGAAATTTCAATCATGATTGAAGAGATAGATAGTCCTTATATACCAATTCTAAGCACAATACACGCCTAAAAAGAACATAAATGTATCACAAAACACCCGTAAATACACATAATACCATCATACTCTCTTCAATCCCATTAAATCACACTCAAATGTTCAAAATTTCGGATAATTTTCAAATATACGTACTTCTTTTAATCTCGGTATCCATGGTAACTATGATCCATTCGGACAAAACACCGAGATAACTCAACACTGAGTAGTAAAATCTCATCATAAAAAGCACCAGAATACTCCTTGAATCATACACTATAACAATATAATATCTATATTAATCATATCTCACAAACTCCCCCAAAACACGCCCAATGTTTACAATTAACCCATTTCGGTCGCCAGTCGCGATGTGTCGCGAACCGCTTTTTGGTTCTTTTTTGTAAACGCGTTTAAAAAAAATCAAATACACAAAAATTCAAAAATGTTGAAACTTTTAAAACTTCAACTCATCTTTAAAAGACACCAAAAAGACACCGCTGCTGCTCAGCTATCAAGGAGACTCACACGCATTCCACGGGCTATCAGTGCTATCTACCACCACCTCTCACACACTCACAATCACTCTTCAGGAAGAATCTCGTCTGTTTTCAGTTGTTTCACAAAGTCAAATATTCAAGATATACAGATTTCAAAAGAGGCTAAAAGGAAGCTGCTTTTCAATCACTAATCTACAAGAGGAAAACAAGAAAGTCATACAAGTCAATTACATTTTTACTGGTGGTATCTTATTAATTTTACACGTTAATTTATATTTTTTGGTGCTACTATAGAAGTTCTTTATTACTTTTCGTGATTTTTATCTAAAAACACAAATACATATTTCCACCACAAAATTAAAAAAACTTATCAGAAAGAAGAAAAACAACTGCTGGCTCAGATCATTTTTACTGTTTTTCATTCTTCTAAATTGCATTTATAAAGTCATATTAATTCATAAGTCATATCATTCACATCATGGTTGTTGAAAATCAAAGACCTGTCATTCAAGATGAAAATGCATTACAATCAAATGCTCGTGTAACAAGATCAAAAACTTCATCTGTGTTGGACACCAAACCTTCAAATACATTTTCATCACTTCCACAGAGGAGAGCTGCATTATCAAACTTGACAAATTCATCATCTGGTGTATCAAAACCAAAACTTACGTCTAAAAAATCTAAAACTTCACAAACCCAACAACAACAACAAGTTCAACCTACAATCATAATTGAAGAAGATCAAGATGCAGAATCAGTTGTAGAGATACAGGATCCTCAAGTACAAAAACAATTACAACAACAACAACAATCTAGAGCTCAATTGAAAAGATCTGCTACAGAATCTTTATCAAATGTTGATGAAGATGAATCTACAAAATTGAAAACTCAAAATAATAACAAGAAGGCTAAAATAGAATATGAATGGAAAGATCTTGATTCTGAAGATGCTGATGATCCATTAATGGTTAGTGACTATGTTGATGAAATTTTTGAATATTTACATCAATTAGAAATTGAAACTTTACCTGATTCAACTTATTTATCATGGCAAAAAAATTTAAAACCTAAAATGAGATCAATTTTAGTTGATTGGATTGTGGAAGTTCATTTACGTTTTAGATTGTTACCTGAAACTTTATTCTTGGCTATAAATATAATGGATAGATTTATGTCAAAAGAAAGTTTAGAAGTTGATAAATTACAGTTATTAGCCACAGGATCTTTATTTATTGCAGCAAAATACGAAGAAGTTTATAGTCCAAGTGTTAAAAATTATTCTTATGTTACAGATGGTGGTTATACTGAAGATGAAATTTTGGAAGCTGAAAGATTTATTTTACAAGTTTTAAAATTTAATTTAAATTATCCAAATCCAATGAATTTCTTAAGAAGAATTTCTAAAGCTGATGATTATGATATTCAAACAAGAACTATAGGGAAATATTTGTTAGAAGTTACAATTATGGATCATAGATTTATTGGTATTAAACCTTCTTTATGTTCAGCTGCTGCTATGTATGTTTCAAGAAGAATGTTAGGTAGACCTGATTGGGATGGTACTTTAACACATTATTCTGGAGGTTATACAAAAGATGATATGAAACATGTTGTTGAATTAATATTGAGTTATCTAACTAAACCAGTTGTTCATGAAGAATTCTTTAAAAAATATGCATCTAAAAAATTTATGAAATCTTCAATTTTAGCAAGACAATGGGCTAAAAAGATAGAGGCTGAATGTATTGATATAATGGAAGATGAAGAATAAAGTGTTATATACCCATCAAACAAAGGATTCACCAATCAAGATATTCTAATGTGTTTTTTTACAAATTATCATTTTAAATTTTTAATGCTTTAATAATACCCCCCAAACCACTTTCATGATTTGTATACTATTACTGTTTTTATTCTAGAGTATAGTGTTTTTTAATGATTAAGTCATGCTTTTACGAATATAATTACAATACCGTAGTAGATCTGTGTATCCATTCTGATGGTTAGTATTCCAAATCTGCAAGTGAAGGTTAATGGGTATCTAATGAATTTATTCATATTATTCATGCAAGATTCATTGCTAAAATTCATAATTTGCTATCTAATTGTTGTCAATTTAACCGATTAGGACGTTTAATTCTTTGCAGATGTATCGCAACTTATATCTTTGAAATTTGGTTTCTTTAAAGGGTTTTCTTTGATGTTTATTACCTATGATTTCAATTAAATTGCGCCAAAACTTATCATTTTAGGTAAATCATCAACAATGCTAATATTAACAAATCGGGTAAGTTTTGCGCAATTATAGATCTAATTTGTATACAAATTACATAATTACCTAGGTGATTTTAGCGTAATAACTATTTGAAAGATAATTGCGAAACAAAATTGCGAAATCATGATAAAAATAATGATTTGACTTAGCGCAAAGTAGGAGCCAATATTTAAAAAAAATCTACCAAATGGTTAACATTTAATTAGGACTAGTGATGGCCTTTTTTACCAAACATTTGAAATAAATATACTATGTTTTTAAGACTATTTTAATTGTATGTGCTAAAAGCCTTATTAAAATTAATGCCAAAACTTCCTGATATAGTAATATCACTATGACAATTTATCGAAAATAAAGTTTCCCGATAAAGTTATTTTTGTTTTGAATTTTCCCCTTTCGGATCTCGAGACCATACATAAGTACAACGATTTTTTTTTTTTTAATTTTTGTTTGGGTATTAAATTTTAACGGTAACTAAAAGCTTTGTATTTTGTATTTTCATTTACCCAAACTTGTTCAATTTCATCATTTTTTTGAAACAGAGAAAATCAAAACCTCATCTTTTATAAAAGTTTGACAAGGATACAAATTTCTTATGATCTAAAGTTTTAAACCTTTTTATATTAACTTACCTTTTTCCAAATTCTTTCACTTATACCCTTATCTCTATCTCCATAACTCTCAACTTCATTCACTTTTTATATACCCAACTCAATTGAAATTCTATCAGTTCAATTATATGATCAAACTTTGCTCCCTTCTTTCAATATAACATAATAATAATAATTCATAATGGAACATTTCACAAATCAAATACAGATTCATGATGAAAACAAAATAGAATCTCATGCTAGAGTCCAAAAATCAAAAATTAATTCAAATGTTCAAACTAAATCAAATATACCCGTTAGAAGAAATGCACTTTCAAATGTTACAAATACAAAACTTGGTGGTGGTAAACAACAACAACATATTAAGCAAACACAACAAGCTCCAATTCAATCAATAATAACAAAAGAAAATGTCATTGAAGAACAAGGAACTACAAGATCTGCTATTAAAAGACAAGCTAGTTCAAATAGTATACATAATAATTCAAGTGTTTTGAAAAAATCTAAAAAATTAGAATATCAATGGGAAGATCTTGATGAAGAAGATTTTGATGATCCACTAATGGTTAGTGAATATGTTGTGGAAATTTTTGAATATTTATATCAATTAGAAGAGAAAACATTACCATTGAGTGATTATTTATCAAAACAAACTTTTATTAATGGTAATATGAGAGATCAATTAGTTGATTGGATGAATGAAGTTCATTTAAAATTTAGATTATTACCTGAAACATTATTTGTTTCAACAAATTTAATGGATAGATTTTTATCAAAAGAAATTGTTCAAGTTAATAGATTACAATTATTAGGTACAGCATGTATGTTTATTGCATCTAAATATGAAGAAATTTATTCACCAAGTGTTTCAAATTTTGCAAATGAAAGTGGTTCCACAGTGGAAGAAATTTTAGCTGCAGAAAAATTTGTTTTAGAAATTTTAAGTTTTGATGTTAGTTATCCAAATCCAATGAATTTCTTAAGAAGAATCTCCAAGGCTGATGATTATGATATCCATTCAAGAACTATAGGGAAATATTTTATGGAAATTTCCATTATGGATTATCATTTCATTGGTATAAAACCTTCATTATGTGCAGCAGCATCAATTTTCCTTGCAAGAAAATTATTAGGTAAAGATGATTGGAATGGGAATTTAATACATTATTCAGGTGAAGTTTTCGAAAAAGATCTTGAACCAATTGTTAAATTATATATTCAATATTTAATTGGTCCTGTTGTTCATGAAGAATTTTTTAAAAAATATGCTTCAAGAAGATTTATGAAAGCTTCAATTATTTCAAGACAATGGGCTAAAGATCTTGTCAAGACAGGTGCTATAACAATATAAGATTTAATAAACCCTTTGAAAACTTCCAATTCAAATTATCCAGATAACATAACATGAACATATTAAAAAAACAATATAAGATACCCTTTTGGAGAATAGAAAAAAAAAACAGTAAACAATATAGAGATAGGGTACACCAATGAAGTTCTGATTGAACTAATCATAAAAAGGAGGTAAAGCTGATATTAATGCTTTCATTAACCAACTTTTTATTACGTGTGATTTTAAAACTTGCTTTTTTTTTGCTTTCTCGAGTCATTCCTTTGAAATAATATGTAATTTTAATACAATAATTTATACCCTTTTTTTTCGAATTGATAAATGTAGTTTTATAGATTTTTCATCATCAAAATGACATTCATTTATTCAACTACCTGCAATTCAATAATCAATATTCATAAATCATTTATTCATCATCACCTTGGTTTAATTCATGATTTTGTTCCCATATTGGTTTGTTTTTCTCTATACTATCTAATACATCATGTTCTTGAATTCTACTAACTTGTAAATATCTATCGAAAAGTTGAAATCCTGTCATATTATCTAAAGCTGCTTGTGAATCTGCAATTTCTTGAAATTGTATATCTATGTAGTTTTTATTTGAAGTTATTGATAAAATATTACCAAATGATAAGAATAATGAATGAATTGTTTCTTCATTGGCTTCCTTGGGTATATTTGCTGGTAATAAAAGTTGTTAATGAAAAGAACCTTTTTCATGGAGAACCAAATGATATACTTACAAACTCTAATAGATGAACTCATTATAAAAATTTCAAGTGTAATATTCCAAACATGTATAATCAATTAAAACCAAAAAAAGTTCATGTCATTTTTTTCTGGTTCATAATTTATTGTTGCCCTTATCGGGTATTTTATTTAGCCTATTTGAAAGCTGATAAGTATTTAATTTAAATTTACAGAAACTTTTTGGTGAAAAGGTAATCATTTTATTATGAAGATAGTGTTATTTCAAAACCTTAATTCATATTTTCTACTTTAAACCTATGAAGTCAAAGTTTGAAATTTTTAATATTTTTAAAATATAGGTTTTTAAACTTTGAAATAAAATTACCTGATCCAAATATTCATTAAATTATTTTGAAATCAAAAAAAAATTAATAATTACTGTCTTAAAAGGAGCTGGTGATAAAGAAATTATTGGTATCAACATACCTGAAAGGTTTAATACCGATATTTCAAGAAACTTATGATGTTATAAGAAATTATTGTTTTACCGGATACATACAGCCGGCGCAAATATATCGCGAACTTATAGCTATTCATGCTTAATTTTATTATTATGAAGTATAGATCGTTAAATTGTACCAATATTATTATAATAGCTAGTAATATAAATGTAAATGACAATTCATGGTTGCTATAATTAAGATAGTTCATGATCTCATCGTCAATCTGATCATAGATTACTAGTATCAAGCTAATTTTACAATGTGACTAATTCTATAAATAATAACTTCATAAATAATATTTAAATATAACCAATATAGTATTATACACATGCAAAATCCAAACACCTTCTATGAACTTTCCCCTCTATATATAAACAATCAATTAAAAATCACCAATCTAAAGCTGCATCACCACCACCACCTGTTGAAGCAATTGGAGCTCTAACTGGAACTTTAATTTTAAATTTATTATCTAATTTCTTAAAAGTTGCAATACCTTCATTTATAGATTCATCTTTTTTAACTTTCCATTTAGTTGTACCCAACATTTCATCTAATTCATCTTCTGGTGGTAAATTAATCCAAATCATATCATCATCTTCTTTAATATCAAATAATGCCACTGAATAATTATCATCATTTTTACAAGCACCTGCATTTGGTTTATCTTGTTCTAAATTATAATTCTTTTTATGTAATGGACATGAAATATAAACATTATCATTTTCATCTGTTGATATAATACCTTGTGATAAAACAAAAGCACGTTTATGTCCACACATATTTTGTGATGCATATAATTTGTTATCTAATCTAAATAAAGCTAATTGAGTATCAGAAACTAAAACTGTAGTTGATGAACCAGCTTCTTTTTCAGGTAATTCAGATGAAGGACAGATTGCCTTCCATGAAGTTGATGACCATTTAATATTTTTAAAATCTTTTCTTTCAACTTTATCATTTTCTGGCCAATCAGCTGGACGTCTTTGACCTCTTTCTCTAATAATTTCAACATTTTCTTGTTCTTTATCAGTATTTGCAAATTGTTTAAAAATTTTCTTATCTGGTTGATCAACAGCTTCTTTCCATTCATCAAAATAATGACCAACTAATTCATTCATTTGATCTTCTAATTCTTTACAAATACCTAATTTATCGAAAACAACAACATCTTTTAAATATTCAATACCACCATCTAAATTTTCTAACCATCTTGCGGTTCTTTGTAATCTATCAGCAGTTCTAAAATAAAACATTAAATATCTATCCAATAATGGAATAACTTGATCTGGTGCACAATCAGCTTTTAATAATTGAGCATGAGCAGGTTTCATACCACCATTACCACCAACATAAACATTAAACCCATTTTGCACTGCACAAAGACCAAAATCTTTTGAATGGAATTCTGCACAATCTCTAACACAACCTGAAACACCACCTTTCATTTTATGAGGTGATCTAATACCTTTATATCTTTCTTCTAATCTTAAAGCTAAACCAACAGAATCTCCAATACCATAACGACACCATGTAGAACCAACACATGATTTAACATTTCTTAAAGATTTACCATAACCTTGACCAGATTCAAATCCATTAGCATATAATTCTTCCCAAATTTTTGGTAAATCTTGTTTTAAAGCACCAAATAAATCAACTCTTTGAGCACCTGTAATTTTGGTATATAAATCATATTTTTGTGCAATATTACCAATTGAAATTAATTTTTCAGGTGTAATTTCACCACCAGACATTCTTGGAATAACTGAATAAGTACCATTTCTTTGAATATTACCTAAAAATTTATCATTTGTTTCTTGTAAACCATGAACATCACTATCTAAAACATGTCTATTATATAAAGTTGATAAAATTGAACCAATTGTTGGTTTACAAATTTCACAACCTGCAGCTTCAGGTTTTGAACCAAGATTTTGCATAACTTGTTTAAAAGATTTATATTGTTTAACCATAATAAGTGAAAATAAATCAGCTCTTGATTCTTTAAAATGAACACAAAGAGCATTTGATAATTGTTTACCCATTTTTTTCATTTCAGATTCAAAAATTGCCTTCATTGTTGGTTCACAACCACCACATGAAGTACCAGCTTTTGTATTTGATTTTAATTCACCTAATGAGCCAGATTTACCAGCTCTAATACTTTCAACAAGCATACCTTTTGAAATGTTTTGACATGAACAAACTTGAGTATCATCTGATAACATATCAGCATCTTCATCATCTTCACCACCTTTTCCCAAGATGAATTCTGAAGCTGGACATGGTAAAGGTTTTCTTTGTTTAGCAATTGATGTAAATTTTGTAAATTGTTTTGTATTACCAACAAGAATACCACCAAGTAAATATTTACCATCTTGAGTCAAGATTAATTTAATATAAATCCCTTCAATTGGATCTTCATAAACTAAAGATCTAACTTTTTTCAAAGTATAACCTTTTGGTAACCATTTTGGACCATTTTTATCAGCAAAATAATCACCAAATGAAGCAACATCAACACCCATTAATTTTAATCTTGTACCAATGTCAGGTTCTGCAAATTCCTTTGGAGAATGAAATTTAGCTTGAATTAAATTAAAAGATAAAATATCAGCCATTGTTATACCTGGAGCAATTAAACCAAAAGTTTTATCATTCCATGAAGCACATTCACCAATAGCATAAATATTTGGATCTGAAGTTTGCATATGATTATTAATGGCTAAACCACCTCTTGAAGAGCAATTAATACCAGCTTGAATAGCAACTTCATCACGAGGTTTAATACCTATAGTATAACATAATAATTGACAATCTTCTATAGTACCATCATTATATTTAACACCTTTCAATTTACCTTCTTCATTGAAAAGTAATTCATCAACTGTGGTTCCAACTCTTGCAGTGACACCTAAATCACGAACTTTATCAGTTAATAAACCACCACCTTTTTCATCCATTTGTTGAGATAATAACCATTTAGATCTATGAACCACAGTGACATTATCAAAAGTTCTCATATCTAATAAAGCCTTACCAGCTTCAAGCCCCAATAGACCACCACCAACAACAATTGCTCTTTTCGTTATATCTTTTGGAGGAGTTAATTTATCACTAAAATCCAACATTGAATTTAAATCATCAATAGTACGATAAACAAAACAACCCATTTTTCTATAGTTTCTATAATCATCTCTTGAACCACCATTTATTGGATCTGGTAATAAATGAGTTGGTAAAACACCATTTGAACCAGTAGCAAAGACTAATAAATCATAATCATACATGTTATCTTTAGATGTTATGACAAATTTTTTATCTTTATCAATTTGAGTAACAGCTTCATCAACTTTAAAATCCCATCTATCTCTATTTCTTTCTTCATAAAAAGTCTTTGGTGATAATAACAATTTGTCGAAATTCTTGTGTTCAAAATATTCAGTTAATCCAACTCTATTATAAGCTAAATATGGTTCTTCACCAATAACAGTATAGAAATATTCTTCAGCAGTATCATTTTGTAGCATTTTTTCCAAGAAGGCAATCCCAGTCATTCCCAAACCAACAATAACCATTCTTTTAACAGGACCATATTGTGAAACGTTTCTTGTCTTCTCATGAGGAAGTGGTGGGACACCACCAATGTGTTCTTCAACCTTCATCTTGTTGTTAACTTGAGTATATCAACAAGTACAATTGAAAACTTAGAAAAACATTTCAAAGTAGAAAAACGAGAAATCTATAGGTTTTAATCTCTTACAACATAACATCTCCAGCACCTTTCAAATCACTGCGTCTTTGTCATCAAAGCAGGCAATAAAGCGGAAATTTGATTGTATTGATGATGTTTTCTTTTTGGCATTTGAGATTTTTCATGATTGATAACGAGAATCGGTCTGAGACCAGACTATCAATTGTGAGACTCAGGGCCCAACATGCTTATCTCAGACCATGGTATATTCTCCGCTGGGACTAGCTATTGTTGATTTTGAAGATTCATTGCAGATTTGATTGAAAAGTTACAAATTGGAAGGCTGTTATTGGATAAGGCAAGATAAGAAGATTAGATGATGAGACTAATGGAAATTGAGGGACCAATGGCCCAGTGCCCACAAAAATGAGGAACCATCTTGTGATTTACGAGCTTAGTAGAAATTAGATTCTATCGAGTCAGAGAAGGTTTTTTACAAAGCTGAAAAGTGGAAAATTGAATTGCTATAAATGACAGAGAGTTAATGGATCAGAGTCAGAAAGGTTTAAAGAGATGTAATCTAGGTCTACAATTAATATGTTTTTCATTTAAAAACCAAATTGACGTCTATAATTAAATAAGTATAAATAAATAATATATAAGATCTAGAAATATACAACTCTTGATGCATCAAATCCAGTTTCTGCAACAAGTTTCTTAACACCTTCAACCATACCAGGTGGTCCACAAACTAAAACCAAAAATTCACCATATGATTTTTGTTCTTCAATATATTGATTCCATAATAATTTATTTAAACGTCCAGTTAATCCATCCCAATTTTTTGGTACATTATGGAAATCTGATAAACAATGATCAACAATTAAATTTGAATTTTTTGTAGCAATAAAATCTTCTAAATCTTTTCTACATAATATATCTTCTTCTTTTCTATTACCATAAAACATCTTCATTTTAGTATTATCTTCTTCTTGATCAACAATTTCTTTAATAACTTGATAACATGGAGTTATACCTGATCCACCTGCAATCATGAAAAATGAATCAACATGTCCTGGTTTATTATTAAATGTATAATTACCATTACTTATATATTCAAATTCACCTGTTGGTCCTTTAATTTCAATTTCTGATCCAATTGACATACTTTCTAAAATTGTAGTCATTTTACCACCAGGTATACCATCTTTAGGGAAATAAATCTTAACAAGAACTTCTAATTTACCTTTTAATTTATGATTTGATTTAGGTGTATAAGCTCTCATAACTAATGTACCATTTGAATCTTTTGATCTAATGAAAAAATGTTTACCAACTGGTAATCCAGTTGTTTGTTCTTCATGTTCTAATGCAAAATGGAAAATTCTTGAATCATGAGAAATAATCTCTTTTTCAACTAATTTAATCTTTTTCCATATTTTTGGATTTAATAAAGTTGCAGTTTTTTCAATAACTTTATTTGTATTTTCCACAAATTTTTTATCATCACTAACTTCTAATTTACCTATATGGAATTTTTGTAACATTCTCTTGGAATTATCTGAATGAATAGCCATAAAATCATCTGTTGCATCATCACCTGCAACCATAGTGATTGATTGTGCACCACCAGGATGTTCTTCTAAAAATGGAGTACCTGTGAAAACATGACCTTTAACAACAAACCAAGGATCTTCATCATTTTCATGTTGACTTAATTCTTCCTTAGTGATTATTGTATTAACTTTTTCAGGATTTAAAATCATTTGTAATTCTTCATCAACATATTCTTTACGTTCTTCTTCTTCACCACCAATAACTCTTTCACCCCATGTATTTGATAAAATATCACCACCATCTTTTTTAACTCTATCCATCCAACCACCTGGTTTATTAGCAATTGTTGGATGTTCAAATTTAATTTCATCTGGTGAGGAACCTGGTTGAATTGCCACTCTATACCACCAATTATTTAACATTGATGTTACATTCCAATACATTGTTCTTGGTTGAACAGTCATTGAAATATCCATAGCTCTAACAACTAAACCAGTTGAATCTTTAAATTCAGATTTTGGAATTTCGATATCCCAAAAACACCAACAAAGACATGACATTCTTTCACAAACATTTATTGTACCACCAAATAATTCAATATAACCAGCATCACGAAATTTATCTTCTGGATAGTTTAAATTACAAAGTTTCCAATTTTTACCAGAATCTAAAGAAACTTCAACACGACCAACTCTTTTACCACCACCATTATATGCAAAACCTTTAACTTTATATAAATCATTTTGTGTAGAATCATTTATAATCATTCTTTCTTCATTCTCAGGGAAAACAGTTATACTTTGTAAATTTAAATCATAAATTGCATATCTTTCATCTTTCCACCAATGATCTTGAGTTGCAGCCATTTCAGGTGTAACCATTGTTGGTAAAACTCTATTATCATAAAAATGATACCAATTATCACTTGGAATTTCAGAAACAATTAATCTTTTCAACCATTTAACAGATCTACCACCAATAACACCTGGAATAACACATCTTAATGGTTTACCATGATCAGGTTCTAAATAAATACCATTTTGTTTATAAGCAAGCATAATATTTCTTTCAGGATCACGAACCATATGTAATGGGATACAAGTACCATAAGCACCTTTAGCAGGATCATCACCACCTTCCATCCAAAGATAACGAGCTTTTTTAGAAGGGTTAGCCCTTTGTATAACATCCCAAAGGAAACAACCGGTCCATAATGAAGTTGAAACACCAGCTGCACCCCAATTGAAACCTTTACCCTTTTTAACTTGATTTTGTTCTTTACGTCTATTACCAGCACAACATATAGTAATAGGATTTGTATATTGAGGGAATTCTTTAATCATAGCACCAATATTCATTTCAAAAGGTGAACTAACATCACCAGAAACTGAAAAATTCCAACCAAGTACTCCTTCATCTTCAACATGTGGTACTGGACCATGATTTCTAACAAAATGTAAATCTGATGAAGTTATAAAACCATCATTAAATAAATCAGTTAAAGGAGCTTCACAATTGAAAGGATGGGACCCGGTAAGACGTAATAATCTTGGATCTCTAGCAACTTTATTATCTTTAGTTTGTAAATCAATATCAAGAACTTTAGTTTTTTTAGTATCAAGTCTAATTGGTAATTTCCCTAAAATTTGATCTAATGTTTCAACATCAGATTCACTAACATGAGAACTTGAAGCATCACTAAAGATTGAACTTTCAGTTTGAGTTTCCAAAGATGATTCTATAGCTTTATCAACCAGGCTCATATTAATCTTTAATTGATCTAATTAATTATATGACCATCATCTATTTAATTATAACTAATGATCATTTTACCAAAAAAATGGCCTTTCACAAGTTTATATTATCAATTATCAAACACAAAACAAAGCCAACATGCCAACCTTACGTCAGAAAAACAACATAGGCAGTATTCCTTTTAAAGCCCGCTAAAACATTGCATATTAAACTCCACCATCAAATTTTAAAGATAACAGAAACCATCATACGCAGTTTCCAAATTCCAAGTTAAAAATTCAGTGATGTTTTCAGTTTTTCCGTTATCATTTGAATTTTTTGTATAGCGAGTCGCGACCGTTTGATCAGTCCCTAGACCCTGAAAGATAAGACTCCTTTATTATCCGCTTGGGTCTAGACATAATTTTTTTTCCATATAGACTCGAATAATTAATACTCATCGTAATAAACTACTATGAAAGAGCCAGAATGATTTATATACTTGATGAATCTTCAAAGATAATCATGTTCCCCATATTCACTTACGGGTAGTGCTGGATTTTTCTACACATAGAAATGAAGTTATTAAATGCAGTTGATTGTCAAGGTGAAGTCCATTTGATTATTGGATCCACGTTGAACATTTCATTCCAAAGAGCATTGAAAATTATAGAAGTTGGTGCTAAACCTGTGTTGATTCATGATGGAGATATTCCAAAGAATTTAAAACAACTTATAGATGAAGGATCTGTTGAATGGATACAGAGAGAATTTGAACTTGATCATCTACGTCAATTAGGTCGTTTAGAAGTTGAGTCAATAGTGGATAAAGTATTTGTTGTTCAAAGTTCTATTAAACAAGATATTTTCAACCATTGTAAAAGACTAAGAGTTCAAATAAATACATATCAATCACAACTTCTATCAACATTCACATTATTATCAACTTATCAAAAAGGTGATTTCCAATTTGGTGTTACAACTCAGGGTAAAGGATGCAATTTATCATCAAGAATTAAAAGAGAAATAATTAAAAATTTACCTTCAAATATTGATTCAATAGTTTCAAATATTGGAAATTTAAAGCAAAAATTAGTGGATAGTGACCAATATGATGAAGAAATTGACTATACAAATGAAATGATGCTGATGAAAGAAGATATTCAGTTGAGAAGATCTAAATGGTTAATACAAATGATTGAATATTATCCATTAAATAAATTATCACATATAAACATCAATGATTTTACAAATGGTTATGAAAATTTTAAAAAACAACCAGCTGCAAATACTGTATCGAACAAAGGTTCAATAACATTAGTGGGTTCAGGTCCTGGTTCATTATCATCATTAACATTAGGTGCAATTCATGAAATTCAAAATGCAGATTTTATAATTATGGATAAATTAATACCACAAGAAATTCAAAATATATTACCTAAAACCACTGAAACATTTACATGTCGGAAATTTCCAGGGAATCAAGAAGCTGCACAACAAGAAATTATGAAAATTGCAATTGATGCCATCAGAAAAGGTTTAAAAGTTTTAAGATTAAAACAAGGTGATCCTTATATATTTGGACGTGGAGGTGAAGAATATCAATGGTTTGCTGAAAGAGGTATCAACTGTAATGTATTACCAGGCATAACAAGTGCATTAAGCGCACCAATATTTGCCACAATTCCAACCACTCATCGTGGTGTTACAGATCAAGTATTAATATGTACAGGTACTTCTAAAAATGGATTAATACCTCAAGTTCCAGAATTTAATAATAAGAGAACTACAATTTTCTTGATGTCATTACATAGAATTGAAGCATTAAGTGAACAATTAATTAAAGAAAAATGGCCCTGTGAATTACCAGTTTGTGTTGTTGAAAAAGCTTCAAGTCCAGATCAAAGAATAATTAGAAGTGATTTACAAAATATTTCAATGGCATTAAGACAATTAGGTTCAAGACCTCCAGGTTTATTAATTGTTGGATGGAGTTGTGGAGTACTTAAATCGACTAAAGGATCTAAATGGTTAGTTGAAGAAGGTTTAAATAATGATATGATTGATAATGGTATAATGAATATAATTAGAAAACTTAATTAATGATACTTTTTTTTTTGACACATGAATAATATACAAGTTGTAGAAGGTACTAATAGTATGTAATAAAACAGTACCTATATCATATTACAATTACTGAACTCTTATTCGCTGGATTTTTCATAATATTCCAATGTATTCATTTTAAGTTCCCCAGCATATATGTTGGCAGTTATTATCGATATCTCAAAAAGATGCCATTTATTCTCCACTAAAAGTCCAAGACCCCATATTATATATTATTGTGTCAAAGATAACAATTCATTCTCTATTAATGTCCGTTGATTGAAGCAAATGGCTTTAGCAGATTACTTAGTATTTATTTATTTCGTGCTTTATCAGTTTAATTAAACTCGTTATCAATGATCTAGACCCAGATCCAGGGACTAATCAGACATCAAGTCCGAGACTAAATAAACAATAATACTCAAAAAATTCAAAATAAAACAGCTTGGAAGATGAATTTACTCGTGGCTTTGATTGATTTAACGTTAAAGATAATTTGATATGCCATGTTGATGAATCATATCATTTAATAATTATTATCTTGTTGTTTAAACTGTTGCTAAGAAAGATAACGGTGTTGGTTAATGACTTTATAAATATAACCTATATTCTTCATGATTATATTGATTATTATGGTACGTGATACAAATTGAATCGATATAGATACTAGAGAAGCTGAATATACTATAGACATATATTAAGTAAAGATGGGTAACTTTATAACAAATCTATATAAAGCACCAGAAATAAATCCAAAGAATAATAAAGCATTATCAATACCAATTTTAAATCCATTAAATAAATATGGTAGAAATTTCCATTTAGCATGGTTAGGATTTTTTGTTTCATTTTTATCATGGTTTGCATTTCCTCCATTATTAGAACATTCAATTAAAAAAGATTTAAAATTAACTTCAATTGATGTTGCAAATAATAATATTGCTGGATTAAGTGCTACATTAATTGCAAGATTTTTATTAGGACCAGTTTGTGATTCAATTGGACCAAGATATTGTATGGTTTTAGTGTTGATTTTAGGTACAATTCCAACAGCATTAGTTCCCCTTGTTCATAATATTCATGGATTACATGCTATAAGATTTTTCATTGGATTATTAGGTGGTAGTTTTATACCATGTCAAATGTGGACAACAAATTTTTTCGATAAATCAGTTGTTGGCAGAGCAAATGCTTTAGCAGGTGGTTGGGGTAATGCAGGTGGTGGTGTTGCATTCTTTGTTTTACCATTAATTAATGATGATTTAACCAGAAGAGGTTATGATTTATCAAAATCATGGAAATTAAGTTTTGTTATTGGACCAATGATTATTTTATTAGTTGTCGCTATATTGACATTTGTATTTGGATCTGATTGCCCAGAGGGGAAATGGAGTGAAAGATCAGATATTTTACAAATTGGTGTTGATGTTAGAAAAGTTGATATTGTTTCTATTGCATCAAATCATCCAGCTTTAAGTAATCAAGTTTCCCGTTTACCAATTGATCATAAATTAAGTCATAAAGATGATAAAATTGATGATATTATTGGAGATTCAAGTACAGATACATCAAATCAAGATCAAAATTTAGATATTGTACAAACAAGAGTTGGTGAAGTTGTTAATTTAGATGAAATTATTGAAAAACCTTCATTGAAAAGTATATTGAAAACCACTTTCCATTATAGAACAATGTTGACTGCATTACCATATTTTACAACATTTGGTGGTGAATTAGCAGTTGAAGCTATATTAACAGGATTATATGTTCAAAGATCAGGTGGTCAATGGAGTCAAAGTTATGCAGGTTCATGGGGTTCAATGTTAGGGTTATTAAATGTTGTTACAAGACCATTAGGAGGTTGGATATCAGATTTATTATATGCAAGATTCAAGACAACAAAAGTTAAGAAATTTTGGTTATTATTTCTTGGTGCCATGGAAGGGATTTTCCTTATTTGGATTGGATTAGTTCCAAGTTTATCAGTTCATGGATTAATTGGAGCATTAGGTGTTATGTGTATATTTATGGAAGCTGGTAATGGTGCAAATTTTGCTCTTGTTCCTCATGTTAATAAATCTCATACAGGTATAGTTGCTGGGTGTACAGGTGCAATTGGTAATTTAGGTGGGATATTATTTTCATTAGTTTTCAGATTTTCCATAAAGAATGGTGTTAGTGAATATATGAAAGGATTTTGGATTATTGGTATAGTTGTTGTTGTTATTAATGTTGGATGTGGTATAATTCCAATTAAAGAAGATAGACCTGATGAATTGAATCATGAACAAAAGATTGATGTTTAGATAATATATATGTTGTATTGCTTTCAAATATTGTAGAACATTATAACTATCAATAGCACAAATAAAACTGATATGAACCAAGAATCTAGATCTAGATGAGAGATGACCTCCACAATAATGGACCCTCAATGCTTGGTATCGTATATTGTCTGTACAAGATACACAGTTGTCAATGCATATGTCACTCCTCACTTCAACACGGTGGCTGATAATACAACAATACAACAATACAATGTATCCACATATTTAAAATCCACAGTAATCATTAAAGCTTTTACTTATACTTCTTACTAATCAATACACACACTAATTACATAATCAATAGTAATCACGCACTTCCACGTGACTGATTACATAATAATTACATAATAAAAATCACACGCCACTAATTTCATTTTTTTGTTTTTTTTCAATCTGGTAATTTTTTCAAAATCCGTTCGATGAAAAGGCATTAAAATTGACACAATTTAAACACATTTTTAAAAAACAACCAAGTAATTATACTTTTAAGAGGCCACACTTTGACATATGATAATCTATAGATTTGAACTTAAATCTATGAGATCTATAATCAATACATTATATCAATATTATAACTAAATTGTATTATTACCCTAGTAATCAATTGTACTAGTTATCATTATGTGTCAATTGTGCCGTTGAGAAAAAAGAAACGGCATTTCCTCGTAAATACTGAAAATTTTTATAACCTCTCAACTCTCAAATTGTCGGTTATAATTCGTTGATATGATACAATACTGTGGCTTAAAAAACAAATAAGTACTCAAATAAAATTATATTTCTTATTCAAATCTTCTCATCTTCTCATATTCTTTATATATATTGAGATAATCCAGGATTTCAACAATAGATTGTATAGAAAATCTTTGTTAATCCAATCAATATATCAACATGGGTAAATTAGATACTATAGATATAGTGGAACCTGAATTTAATTCTTCAGAAAATGAAGAACCATATATTAAACCACAAGATAAAGGTTATAAAGATATTGGTTATATTAGTGCAATTGGGTTAGTATGTAATCGTATGATTGGTACTGGTATTTTTGCAACACCTGCTACTATATATGCTCTTTGTGGTAATTCAGTTGGTCTTAGTTTAATTATGTGGGTTGTTGGTGCAATAATTGCAGCTTCTGGTTTGTATGTTTATATGGAATTTGGTTCAGCAATTCCAAGAAATGGTGGTGAAAAAAATTATCTTGAATATGTTTATTCCAAACCAAGATTTCTTGTTACTTCAATGTATGCAGCATATGCCTTTTTATTAGGTTGGGCAGCTGGTAATTCAATTATTTTTGGTCAATATATCCTTACAGCAGCTGGTAAAGAATCAACAAGATGGAGTGAACGTGGTATTGGTGTTGCTGCAATAACATTTGCATTTATTGTACATTCATTACATATTAAAACAGGTGCATATATTCAAAATGTTTTAGGTTTATTTAAAATTGGAGTTATTTTATTTATTACCGTTACAGGTTGGGTTGCATTAGGTGGATGGAAAAAAACTGATAATTTCCATAATTCATTTGAAGGTACAAGTTCTGCAAGTGCTTATGGTGTTGTTAATGCTTTATATAACGTTATTTGGTCATTTGTTGGTTATTCAAATGTTAATTATGCCTTGGGTGAAGTTAGAAATCCTGTTAAAACTTTAAAATTTGCATCACCAATTGCTTTGGTGCTTGTTGCAGTTATTTATTTATTTTGTAATATAGCATATTTTGCAATTGTTCCAAAGGAAGTTTTACAAAATTCAAGTACAATTCTTGCAGCTGATTTTTTTGAAATTGCATTTGGTCCAAAAGCTAAAAAGGCTTCATCAGTTTTCGTTGCATTAAGTGCATTGGGTAATGTTATGTCTGTTATTTTTTCCCAGGGAAGAATTATTACTGCATTAGGTCGTGAAGGTGTGTTACCATTTCCAAAATTTTTTGCAACATCAAGACCTTTCAATTCACCAGCTATTGGTCTTTTACAACATTGGATTGTTTGTGTTATTACAATTTTAGCACCACCACCTGGAGATGCATATAATTTTATTTTAAATTTAATTTCTTATCCATTAAATGTTGTTAATTTCCTTGTTGGTTTAGGGTTATTATGGATTAATTATAAAAAATATAAAGGTGAAATTCAATGGAATCCACCTTTAAAAGCAAGTATACCAGTTACTATTTTTTTCACATTAAGTTCATTATATTTAATTGTTGCACCATATGTTCCACCAACTGGTGATCAATCAGTTTATAAAGATTTACCATATTATGTTCATTGTGTTACAACATGGGGGATATTTTTCATTGGCTTAGTTTATTGGGTTATTTGGTCCAAGATTTTACCAAATATTTTCCATTATAAATTACATATTGAAGAAATTAAAGGTGAAGATGGATTTTGGAGAAAAGAAATTAAAAAGATATCAAATGATGAATATGATTCATATTTAAAAGAACAAGGTGAACATGAATTGAATGAAATTGATAGTGATATTAAAGTTAAGGAAACGAATAGCCTATGAGCGAACTGAAAGAAGTGAACTGAACGATAGTGCAGTGAGCGAATAATCAATCTATTAATACCATGAACAAAATTTCATTCCTTTTCAGTTCCTATTTGATTTAATGTTATGATTTTCAATATTAGATTTATGTATAATAGTAATGAATAATTTAATTATGTAATGAGTTATGTAATAACAGTCAACTAGTAGTAGTAAAGTATTATACAGGGATCAATACAAGGATCAAACACCATCTGATGAATCATGATGTTTAAACTCCGATTGAGCTATTAACTAATTGTAACTAGTTGTACTTATATCCAGTTGTACTATCTGTCTAGTTATTTGTTATTTGTAATTGTGGTTTATTATTACCCCATAATTTCAATTTTCAAGGAGTCCTAAATTTTAAAAGGAGTCCGTGCGCGGGAAATCAATTTGAATTTTGTAACAGTGGAATGGCTGAACAGGAAATTAATATGGGAATAATAGACAGCAATGAAGACAATTATGACAATTATCAATTGAATATACAATAGAATATATAATAGAATACTATATAGTATAATCTATAGTATTATCTAGTAGTCATAGTCATAGTACCACTCACTCACTCACTCACTTCGTTCATTCGTTCGTTCGTTCATTCGTTCGTTCTTTTCCCTCCCGCCATTAAACAAAAGTCATCAATTCTCCACATTTAAACTAAATCTCTAAAAACCGATAAACTAATAAACTCAACAAATAAAACACTTGTTTTAAACACCGTAATCCTTGTGGGGGTACATATCACTATATAAAGATTGATTCATCCCTTGATCTTTATAGATTCATTAGATCACATAGTTTATAGATTACACGATCATGATTACTTCAACTATATCAAAAAGATTGTCTTCACAATCTTTTGTCTTTACTAGACAATTATCAACAAAATTACCCCTATCAGTGACAATTAATTTACCAAATGGTTCTTCATATCAACAACCAACTGGGCTATTTATTGGTAATAAATTTGTTCCTTCAAGACAAGGTAAAACTTTTGAAGTTATAAACCCTTCAACCGAGGAGGAAATCACTCATATTTATGAAGGTCGTGAAGATGATGTTAATCATGCTGTTGATATTGCAGAGCAAACTTTTAAATCTGGTGTTTGGTCAAAAGTTGATCCAATTATTCGTACTAATGCTATAAATAAATTTGCTCAATTAATTGAAGATCATGCTGAAACTGTTGCTGCTATTGAATCCCTAGATAATGGTAAAGCTTTATTTGCTGCAAGAGGTGATGTTGTTTTAGCGGTTAATTACTTAAGATCTGTCGCAGGATGGGCTGATAAAGTTGATGGTCGTGTTATTGATTCTGGTTCTTCACATTTTTCATATACCAAAAGAGAAGCTATTGGTGTTGTTGGTCAAATTATTCCATGGAATTTCCCATTATTAATGTGGGCTTGGAAAGTTGGTCCTGCATTAGCTACTGGTAATACTGTTGTTTTGAAAACTGCTGAAGCTACTCCATTATCTGCCCTTTATGTATCTCAATTTGCTGAAGAAGCTGGTATCCCTGCAGGTGCTTTAAATATTGTTTCAGGTTTTGGTAAAATTGTTGGTGAAGCTATTGCAACTCATCCTCGTATTAAGAAAGTTGCATTTACCGGTTCTACTGCCACGGGTCGTCACATCTTAAAAGCTGCTGCTGAATCAAACTTGAAAAAAGTCACTTTAGAATTAGGTGGTAAATCTCCAAATATTGTTTTCAATGATGCTGATATTGCTAAAACTGTTCAAAATATCATTGTTGGTATTTATTTCAATTCAGGTGAAGTTTGTTGTGCAGGTTCAAGATTATATGTTCAAGAAGGTATTTATGAAGAATTATTAGAAGCTTTTAAAGTTGCCGCTGAAGGTGTTAAAGTTGGTGATCCTTTTGCTGAAGGTACTTTCCAAGGTGCTCAAACTTCACAAAATCAAATTGATAAAATTTTACAATATGTTAAAATTGGTAAAGAAGAAGGTGCAAGAGTGGTTACAGGTGGTGAACGTATTGGTGATAAAGGGTTTTTCATTAAACCAACAATTTTTGCAGATGTTGAAGAATCTTTCCGTATTGTTAAAGAAGAAATTTTTGGTCCTGTTATAACAATTTCAAAATTTTCAACTGTGGATGAAATTATTGAAAAGGCAAATAATACAAATTATGGTCTTGCTGCAGGTATTCATACAACTTCATTAAATACTGCTATTGATGTTTCAAATAAAATTGAAGCTGGTACTGTTTGGATTAATACTTATAATGATTTCCATCATCAAGTTCCATTTGGTGGTTTCAAGGAATCTGGTATTGGTAGAGAATTAGGTACTGAAGCTTTAGATAATTATACTCAAGTTAAATCTGTTAGAATTAAGTTGGACTAAAAGAACGACTAAAAGAACGACCGTTAGGGAGTTCTTTTGAAGAGTTCTTTTGAAAACAATAACAAACTAAGATACTCCAAAATCTATTTCATTATATTCTTTCATACTTATAACAATTAATATTTAACTGGATTAAATATATATGATACTTTGCTTAAAAATTATTGTAGTTGATATACATGTAGGGGTTAATTAAGTACGGTTAAATAATAAGAATCCCGGGTATATGAAATTTGATTACGGCTAATTGAAAAAATGTAATTAACTATAAGCTGTACATATTAAAGATGGAATTATTAACAGAAGTTAATGTTGTATAGTGTTATGCTGTGGAGTGTTGAATGTGGCTAATAATTGAGGATGGATACATTATAGTGGTGCTATTAATCACATGGATACGACTAAAAATATCCCTTCATGATCTTTAAGTTTCTCATAATTGAGCTCAATTTAATGAGTTCAATTATTCCCATGACTAAACATTAATTTACTACGTCTAGGATACTGAGAAATTACTGCGTGAGAAAAGAGAGAGGTTTAGCTATATATATTTTGAGAGAGGCCTTATATAAAGTATTAATATTTCCATTTATTGTCAAATATGTTGATTTTTGGAACTCTTTTATTCATATCAGTAATTAACAAAGTATAAATATGACAATAAATCCAATTGAACAATTTAAAAAAACTTTATATTCAAATTCAAATCAATCTACTAAAATATCATCAAGAATTGATATTCTTGAATCATCAAGATATATTGATATACCTTTTTATTTAACAAATAATCGGTCATTTGAATTTGGTAAACATTTCACTATATTATCAACAAGAGATTGGCAAACAAATGAATTAATTGAATTGATTTCACAAAATATTAACAATGATAGTAGATCCACAAACATTACAGCTTTAAGACCAACTCAAAATTATATATCAACATCTGAAATTGATGGTATTGAACAAATTTCAATTTTTTCACATTGGTATGATGTAACAAATTTTTTAATAACTAGTCAATTATTAAATAAACGTTTAATTAAAGATTTCAATTCTGTTAATTATTGTGGTAAATGTTTTGATCAAGTTGAAGAAAATTTAGAATATAATGTTAAAGAAATGTTAAATAATAGTTTAACAATTATTGGAAATGAAAAAATTAACAAAATTATGAAAATTAATGGTAAATTAAATCCTCAATTTGAAATGGAATTGAAATATTTTAAATTGAAGAATTCAAATGATTGTGTTTTAATCTTAAAAAATAATGAATTGGAATTGGAAAAAATTGTGGAAATTTTGAGATATAATAATAACAATACCAATTATAATAAATTCAACTTCTTTCATACCCAACAAATTCATCAATATTGTTTTAAATTATTTGTTGGTGATTTGATTTATATGAATTATAAGAAAAATTTGGAAAATCAAATTAAATTAAAAAAACAATATCATCATATTATTAAACAAAAGTATAATGAGCCAACGGATGTTTTAAATTCAGGTGAAACAAAATTTTCTGGGATTAATAAACAATATAATGAAATTAATGAATATAAAAATACTAAATCATTGAAACCATTGGAGAAAACATTTACTGGATTAAATTATCAAATTCATGATAGTATTTATAAATCTGAAGGATTTATAACAATTTCAACAAGGAAACCAACAATCAAAGAACTTGAAAAACTTTATACCAAAATTCAAAATCCTATTCCAATTTTAAAGTATAATTTCCTTATTGACAATATTCCAATTACTCATTCATTATTAAAATTAAATGATGATGTAAACCAAGCAAATAATGCTATTTTCGAAATTTTAGCACAATGTTTGAAATATGAGATAATTCAAGGTTGTGAATCATGTTTATATCCATTGAATAATTCTAAAACTGATAATGAATTGAAGCAAGAATGTTTAAATTATTTGCAAAACTATCAATATTTAAATAATTCTGTCATGCATTTAAATATTAAAAATTCCATATATTTGATGAAACCAATATTGATGGAATTTATGATGACTTTGATCAAACAAGATAAAATTAAACAACACGTTGAAAATTTTGATTTATATGAATTCAAATTGAATAATGAGTTACCGATTGATGCAAATAATATTTCAGATGATGAATCTATTGATGGACCAAAACCAATTGATCTTTTGATTGTTTTAATTCCAGCTAAAGCAAAGACAAGCCCAACAGAAGCTTTAGATATTTTGCAAGTAACTAATGATGAATTTGAAGATATAGAAAATTGTGAATCATATATCAAATCACAAAGATTAATGAAGCATGAATGGGTACATCAATATAGTGAAGTGCAATCTCATAGCTCAAAGTTATGAAATTGCTAAATCAACTCGAAAATAACACACATAAAATAGCAACCGCACAGCAAATTGAACAATAAACACAACCATCGTGCAGACAAGAGGAATTTTGATTATTTTGATTATTTTGATTAAACTGTGGCCCTCTTTGGTTATCTTGAGGTTGTTGTTGAGGTGGTGGTAGTTGAATATGATATTGTATTTGTTGAGGTGGTTGATTGATAACTCCTTGATCTATTGGATTTGGTGCGTAATGAGGATTGGTGCGTAATGAGCTTCCATAACAGGTTGTATATCTTGTAATTCAATGTCTGTGGTTCTAATATCAACAGTAGCCGCTTCATATCTTGGTAATTGATTTTTAGGTGAGTTTTTATTGGAATTCTGTGCACTTTCACTTGAATAATGATTTGATTGTGATTGTGATACTTGATTTGATGAGTAAACAGGCGGTTGATCTTCCTGACCCTGTGGTTGTCTGGCATCACCATCCATAATTGAGAGTTAGTTTGTGTATATCATTCAATACAAAGAGAATAAACAATGGATTTTTTTGCCACTTCAGATCTTTTTATATACTTGAATTAACCGCTGACTTTCAACTTCATGACAGCGGTAAATAATTATAATAATCTCCAATCTTCAAACTGATATTAATTAAAATTGACATTCATCATAATTTGTATCAACTCAATTGGTGTTTAGTGAGTGATATTATCTTTAATTGACAAGTCTTTGTTTATTGGTGTTGATCGTTAACTATTGATTTTAATACATAGCTCCTGGTGAATTGCATGTAGTTGATTGTTTAGTTTTTTAGATTACACCCGGGCTAAATAACCTTTCTCTTTTCGGGATGCAGGTAGACCTCATTTATTAACTCATATATTCATCTCACATTAACTACTCATCTAACTTCAATTTCTGTCTATCCTGTATTCTCAAAGAATGTGTATAAAAGAAAACATTGATCAGTATTTCTTCATGCTCGGTGGTTTCCCTTTAACTCACCAGAAAACTGAAATATTGCAAATATTAACAAAATTTAAAATATAGTACCGATCGTTGTTTAATATTTGGTACCCATTACAATTCTTGGCTATCAACGCGTACAGATCAACGTCTATATAATTGATTGAAGATATTATATTTATATAAATCATTAATAATATGTCGAACTATTGGGACAGAAGAGAAAGAAAGACAAGACTTTATAAATTCATAGTGCTTTTAGTGAAAGTCATTCCTGCAATATATATCGCTAATTTTTTTCACTTGATAGGTATGAAAGAATGTGACCCTCCAGATGAGCCACTTGAAATAGTTTATTCTACCAGATATGAAACAGAAGTTAGGCTCCCTTCTTTCATTAAAAAACTCTTCTGGAAAACACAGAAAGCTGGATATTATATAAGATTCAAATGCTCAGAGGGTTCCAACTTTTTCTTCAAACATTTCAAAAGAGCTAAAGAGTCTTTTATGTCAATATTTTCAAATGATCTGATGGTCAAAAAAGAACACAAACCAGAAGACGAAGGACCTTTTGCTACATCTAACTCTGACGTTCAAGAGATATGGTTTCCGTCAGAAATTTGGTTGAAGATTGTTCAGTATGATGTCAACCCAGGTAATATGATAAGGGTAAATAAACGGTTGTTCAATTTATTCTCACCTATGGTGTATCATTCATTCCACTTAGATTTGGTAATAAGCTCAACCTATCTTTTACAGAAACAATATTCACACTACTTGGATTTCGCTTGGTGTTATTACTTTCATCCTCAAGATCCTTATAAGCTTTATGAAAATTATCAAAAATCAAAGACCGCCAACTATGAATTTTTGGATACATCTCATAGAAGGTTTCCAAATGAAGGTTCATTTATATCTAATGTTGAATTAAGCTCAGGTGCAGTTGTAGCTATAAAAACAAAGATATTTAGAGACTTTGAAGATGTTGAAAGATTCTTCAACCGAACAATCACAAATGAGAACTCTTATTTTAAACAATTTATACAAGAGTTAAGCACCAACGTGTCTATAATTGATGATTTCAATGAGTTGCTTGAAGATTGTTATGCATTTGGAAAAACTATTAAGAATCTATCAAAGAATAAAACACTTAATGTGTTATCATGTAACACAGATTCATTTCAAGCCTTTGATTTTTTAACTGAAGAATATGAAGATTGTATCAGAGATAATATTCAACCACCTTTATTCGAAGAGCAAACCTTTGAATTGGTTTCTACTTCACATTTACCAAACAATGATATTTTTCCAGAAAATCCTTACTATAAGCAAATGACAATAGCTGGGGTTCTTTTTGACGACCTACAACAACAAAAAGATAGAAGAAGATTACATAATATCAAATCCCAGGAAGAGCTTGAAATTTATAATCCATTCAAAGCATGGAATTCGGTGAATAAACCTGAATACAATTTTGACTCGAAGAAAGCGTCAAGTTCAAAAGGTCCAGGGACAGTTCAAGTTCATGGTCGTCATTTTTTCACTGAAGAAGAAACACATGAATTCTTAAGTCATTTTGTGGGATCTGTTGCTGTATTTGAGTCACATAGAAACCTAAAGTCTTCTACTTTAATTTCAGGTGTTACAAAAGTTTTTGATAATTCTCAAAGTACACATGATAATGATCCCCTAGATATTCCATAAGACTTTGTACCCAGAATAATTTTGATAAATACTAGTACGTACTAATGGTACTGGTATATTAGCTCAAAAGCTTTAGCTATATACTCTTATATTATATTATAAATATATAAGATATATATTAATGGTACAATAAATTTGAACTTTAATATTAGTTTCAATAATATATGATATGCAGTGCATTAAAAGCGACCGTATAGTAGACATTCTTTGTACTGTACCTTGTACTAAATATAGTAAATTAGATGAGTTTACGGCGGTTAAATGTTTAATTTTTCCGGGATCTGGAAATGTATTGTTGTTTTTGTGTACATGACTTAATTCATAACTTAATTATGAAGGGCTAAATTTCCAGGGCCACTAGTAATTCAAAAGATAACAAAGTAGTTATATTCATTAAATATACAATTAGTACTTAATCTTCTACACTCGTTAACCTCTAATTTTATATATATTTAGACTGGTCTTAAATTAGTATCTACAATATGTCATATATCAAAGAGAATATTAAAAGATTTGTTAGCAAATATTTTATTAGTAGACCACAAGGTGAACAGGAGAGAACAGATAATTCTGATGGTACTACTTCAGAAGATGGTACAGCTTCTAGTGATTATGAGGACGCAAGATCCTATCGAACATTAACCAAATTTAGAAGCTTAATATCCAGATCAAGAGGGCAACCACAACATATCGAGACTAGTCAAGCAGCTGAAGTGGGATCAGATGTTATTCAAAATGTTGATGAAGTTACATTTAATGCCATTAGTTATTCAAAATGATGTGGAAGTTGAGGAGCCATTGGCATTTAATGCTAATCCATTAGTTATTCAAAATGATGTGGAAGTTGAGGAGCCATTGGCATTTGATGTGAATCCATTAGTTATTCAAAATGATGATGAAGTCGAGGAGCCATTGGCATTTGATGTGAATCCTGGTGCTATTCAAAATGATGTGGAAGTTGAGGAGCCATTGGCATTTAATGTGAATCCATTAGTTGTTCAGCATGTTGATGAAATATTACCACCAGAAAATCATCCTTTAGTTGCACCACCAGTTATTGAAAGATTGCCACCAAATGGTAATGATTCTCCACTCTCTAGAGAAGAGAGAATGGCAGAGAAAATATTTAAAGACCATAAAGATTATTTTGAGAACGAAATCAAGAAAACCCTCAACTCCAGAAGAAATTTTTGCAAAAGTAAGAAGAAAATTGAATCAGATAAAACACAATTATATGAACGTTTATCAAAAGCAAAACTTCATCTCTACGAAGAAGATTTCGTTACTATTGACCGTGAAGCAACACGCTATTCACTTAAAGATGATAAAATCAAAGCTTTGTATGAAACTTTAAGCAACAATACTTAATTGTATATTGGATCATTTTAAAGTAGTAGTTTATTAATATATGTGTATCGCTAGTAAATAGTAATTGTAGTATTTTGATGATGTGTATAAAACTATCATGTTATACAATAAATGGATAAAAATGTACCAATCAAGCCATTGAAATCCTCACTCAGTAAAAATAATGAACTTCTGAATAATCATACTGATCTAATCTATCCTTTGGCTTGAAATGTAAAGAACTGATGAGCCTTAATAGTGAATACTGGTAATCAATTCATAAACAAGACAAGAGAAGGTGGCGAAAATCTTGACTCTAGGTGTTTGAGTTGAGTACATTCTACATAGTATACCATTTAATTCGATTATTGACAATAGTGTAAAAGAAGATGCCAGAGCCTAAACACCATTTGAAACCATGGTCTTTACAATGGCGGTATACTAACTAGGTCATCTATAAGCACTGTCTTTTACATTGATGATATGGTGGTGAACTACTGGGTCGTTGTTGTTGTTGCTGGGTTTGTGGAAATTCCCAGTTGTCACAAAAACTACATTACTCATTGATTCCTTTTGAAAGGTAATAATATTATAATCAAGTAAAAAACAAAATGATCAAACTGTTTGTTTGTTAGCTGGGGCTTATATCTTATGATCCATTGAAACCACCAAAATCAACATGAAGTTACCACTGCCGCAACGTGTCTATCGTGCACATATTGCCACAATGAATGAAGTACCAAAAATATTACAATTTCAAAAAGAATTAGCTGAAGCTGAATTACACAATTTACAAAAAGATTTTGAAATTTTATCTAAAAGATTTGAAGAAGATATTCATTTTAAAATTAATCAAATTTATGTTAGTATTAATGCAACTGAAGGTGATTTTGAAAAAATTTATGCTATTAGATTAATGATTTATAATGAATATTGTACAATAGATGATTCAATTAGCAATTTAGGCTTAAGAACTCATTTATTTGTTGCTATTATCAATGCTATATATTTGATTGTGTTGATTATCTGTAATTGGGTTTCAATACCAGATTGGTCTGGAATTACAAAAAATGAACAAGATATGTTTCAATTCATTATTGATAAATCAAGGGATGGTGAAGATACAATAACCCCATTGAATCAAAAATTGTTAATTAAAATCATACCTAATACTGTTAATGATCAGAATCTTTATGCAATGGCTAAATTGAGAACCTTTACATGTTTAAGTCTTTCTTGGTATACATTTTTCTTCACATTATCATACTTCATTCCAGGTCGTAAAGACTGGGTCTTGTTCAATTTTAAACTTTTCCATTTTAGATTACAAAAAAGATCCATAATTTATTTAATCTTAATTTTGTCAAGTATTACATTTGGTATTACAACTAGTCAATTAGTTGATCAATTGTATTTTAAATTGATTAAAGGTATGGTACCAGCTGTTTCTGAAAGAGTTGTTAGACTGATGAGACCAAAGTAGATTCAATGGCAAATAGATGTTTAGCTCATATACTTATAATTATGTATAATATTGATGAAGATGGAATTATTTAATTAAATTTTTTGGTTTACTATGTAGTTTCGGATTTCGGATTAAGTTCGTTAGGGAAACTCGGATGAACTCACACGTCTTTAAATTCAGCAACAATACTTGTTTTGAATAGTAATATAAATACTCTCCAACACACACTCAGATTCTATTATTATACTGAATACTTTGGTATTTGTTATCATCATCATCACAATGTCTAATCAAACTTATTATAAAGATGGTTATGATTCCACAATTTCAAATTCACATGCTTGGAGAACAGCTGAAAATTCATGTGGTTATATGTTATCATATTTAAAACCAACTGATAGAATATTGGACGTTGGTTGTGGTCCTGGTACTATAACTTATGATTTAGCCAAATATATCCCACATGGTGAAATAATTGGTATTGAACCTACAAGGGAATTAATTGAAGAAGCAATTAACAACAAGTCATTAGATCATGAAGTACAAAGAGGGAATGTTAAATTTCAAGAAGCTTCAGCTTTCCAATTACCTTTCCAAGATGAAACTTTTGATATTGTACATGCTCATCAAGTTATTATTCACTTATCAGAACCTTTAAAAGCTTTAAAAGAAATGAGGAGAGTATTGAAAAAAGGCGGCCATTTATGCTTTAGAGATTCTGAAATAAGATCTGCATTGATTTATCCTGAAGAATATGAAGATCCAATATCATATTATTTTGAAAAGATAAAATCAGAATTTACATCAACTATAGCTGCATCAAGAGCAAAACACTTAACAATAAAAGCTGGGTTCATACCTGAAAATATTATTAATACCACATCTACTTGGTGTATATCAAATAAAAATGATAGATTATGGTTTTCTGAACTTTATTTGAAAAGATTAACTAAGATAAAATTCCAACCAGATGATAAATATGATCAAGTTCAGCTAGAGACCGCATGGAAACAATGGGCTAATGATGATTATAGTTGGTTTGTTATGTTACACGGTGAAATTGTTGCCAAAAAAGAACTAGAGTCATAAGTATATATAGAGCATTTATAACTTACGTATAATGTTGACGATTTTATGATCACTTTTATCCTTTTCATCTTCACCAATTGTACCTTCCCAACCATTTTCTTTTAAATATTGATTAAATTCAACATCTAAGAAATCTAAATTTTTATCACCATAATCTGGACACCCCCACCAACAAACAATTGCACCCAAGATACTTAATCCACCTGAAAGAATAAATGTATATCTTTTACCATGTAATTGTTGTAAAGGTGTAAACACTTCAGTACCAACAGCAGCGCCTGCTTTCCCAATAGCAGCTGAAATACCATATATAGTACCTCTAACAGCAGTTGGATATGATTCTGAACTAACAACAGATTGTAAAGAAGCTGGACCAAAATTAACAACCATATTTAACAATGCATAAAATACAATTAATAATGCAGGAATTTCACTAAATTTTTCAAAAGCTCCACCAACAATAAAACTTAAAACTGCATATCCTAAATAACCAGATATCAAAACTTGTCTTCTTGTGAAGAATTGAACACCAATACAACTTAACAATACACCAAATATGGAAAATGAAGATAAAAATAATTGCCATTCACCTGTTTTTTTCAATGAAGCATTTGGAATTGCAACTTGTAAAATTGAAGTACTAAAAATATTATTTGGATAAACAATCATATCCATAATAAACCACATTGAAGCAGTTGCAACAAATTCTTTCCAATATTTTTTCCAAATTAATAAATATGGAACTTTTTTCTTTAATGCATTTGCCTTATATGATGAAGCATGTTCTAATTTCCAACGGAAATAAAAAATTGATAATGGAATGAATCCACCAACAGCAAAACAAGTTCTCCAAATACCATTTAAATTTTCAGGACCCCAAATTTCATGAACAATAAGAAAAACAATTGTAGCAATTGGTACACCTGTTGCAATGAAGAAATTAGTTGTTAAGATATATGGCGCAGTTCTTTTTTTAGCACTCATTTTTTCATTTGCAGTTTCAATACCAGCACTAGCAGCAGCTGGATAATCACCACCAATACCAACACCAAGAACACCTCTACCAATAATTAACATCCAAAACAATTTTTCCTCTGTTGATCCATTTGCACAAGCACAAATAATAACACCAACAATAATGAAAACAGTTGTATAAGTAAAAGTTTGCTTTCTACCGATAAGATCAGTTGTGAAACCAAAAAAGATTTGACCAATGATATTTGCAACTAAAATAGAATTCGAAACCATTGTTTTATATCTTGTATTATAACCTTTAAATTGTGCAGCTAATATGGCATTACCCATAGTCATAACACCTTGTTGATAACCATCACTTAAAAACCCACAACCACATGTTAAGATACCACCCATTCGTTTGATGAATGATTCTTTTGGTAGTGATTGATCTTCAATACTGTTTTCACTTGATGTATAAGTAGGTTGTATCTCTTCAGTTCCAATCTGAGTATTGATTTTTTCCTTTGATTCTGACATGGTTTTTGATAAAGTATGTTATAGAATCGATTGAACTGCAAATTGAAACTGTGATTGACAAAGACATATCAGTGCTTTATATAGTGCAAGAAAAGGAGTGGGTATTCATGATTATAGTGCAATCTTTATCTCAGCTTCAGCCTTTCATATCATTAGTTTAAACCCTTTTTCCCCAACAACGTGTTTAAGTGAATTCAACATAAAGCTCAATGATCCTACCAAACCAGCTTGAGTTTTCAACCAAGAAATTCGATCCATAATATTTCTGTTCAATTACCTTCATAAACCACGTTCGGATCGGCTCATGTCTCTACTGTTACAGTGGTTTTAGGATTTGAAAGATGGAAAAGGTCAAAGTTGTGAAATTTTTCACTATCTTTTCACAGAATCGTGTCAATAAGAATTCTTGTTAAAAAAAACCAAACAACGTGCTCCATAATAATACATAGAACAAAGAGTCAAAGTACCAATTAATTCTTTAAAGTCAAGAAAAGATGCAAGAAGATAAATGGGGATAAGACGGCTCTAAAGTATTTGAGAAAAAGTTTTATCTTTATGCTTACAGTAAATATGGATTGTTGCGGACGTTTCTCGTTTTAACGGATTCTTAATTGTTTTAAATTATCAACGTGCTTTAATCATTGTCGGATATCTCTAGAATAGGCATAGAGATGTTCTGGTAATCGTCTGACACTTCATTGGTGGACAGTATCACAGTTGTAAGTCCAATCTGATTATTTGGAGATGGTTGGTATTAAAAGCTATTCAATTCATTATGGTCTTTCTCTCAATTTGTTTTCAAATGGTCAAAGATGCTGTTCAGTTCTATCATAATTGGTATTGTCTCATACCTGTACTATTTCAAGAATCTGCTGTCTTCCAAAGTAGTTACCAATTTAAATTTTGATCTATTATCTAGACAATTATATGCTTTACCAGAAGATGATGTTAATCAAAAAGTTTCCACAAATGATTTCTTCAAAAGTTCATTTAATAATATTTCATTTCTTCATGGTATAGCATCTGGTGATCCAACATTAGACTCTATTATATTTTGGACAAGAATTACACCAAATGATCAAGTTGATCCTAATCAATTAATACCAATACATTTCAAATTAAGTTCTGATGAAAATTTCACTGATATATTACAAGATGTTCAAACATTTACAAATTCTTTGATTGATTATACCATTAAATTAGATATAACAGGTTTAAACCCAAATCAAACATATTATTACAAATTTTATAATGATTTAATTTCATCAGATATTGGACAAACAAAGACATTACCATATCCAGATCAAGAAGATGATGTTAAATTAGCTGTTTATTCGTGTGCAAACTATGCTGGTGGGTTTTATCATGCTTATAAGTTCCCAGTTTTAAAGAATTCAGTGGATTATGTTATTCATTTAGGTGATTATATTTATGAATTTGCTAATGGTGTTTATACAAATGGTACAAAATTAGGAAGAGATCATATTCCTGAACATGAATGTGAAACTTTAGAAGATTATAGATTACGTTATGCATTGTATAGATCTGATAAAGATCTTCAAAATTCACATGCTAAATTCCCTTGGATCTTGGTTTGGGATGATCATGAAGTTGCTGATAATTCATGGTTAAGAGGATCTGTTGCAACAAGTGGTTATGATTTTTTGAAAAGACGTGATGAAGCTACACAAGCTTATTTTGAATGGTTACCAATTAGACCTCAAAAAAATTTATCTAAAATTTGGAGAAATTTTAAATTTGGTAAAGTTTTCCAAATTAATATGTTAGATACAAGACATTATTCTCGTGATATAACAGATTATTATCATAATCAAGAGTTTATTAAGAATCTGGTTGAATACGAGGATCGTACAATGTTAGGTTATGATCAAGAAGAATGGTTAAATAGAAGGTTATTGGATAATGATACAACCTGGAATTTAATTGCAAGTCAATGTGTTGTTCGTGATATTGATTTTTCTTTACCAGAAACAGGTGGGTTAGGTTTCCCTTTTGAAGAATTTAATCAAGATGCATGGGATGGTTATATTGCTAATAGAAATCGTTTATTGAATTTCATTAAACAAAATGAATTGAAAAATAATGTTATATTAAGTGGTGATTTCCATATTGCAATTACAAGTGAATTAAGTCTTCCACATGAAATTTATAATGTTGAAACAGGTGAAGGTACAATTATTGTTGAATTTACCACAAGTGCAGTTAGTTCACCAACTACATTCCCAAAACATTTCAATGAATCACAAAGTTTAATAATGTCTAAAGAATTAGTTGAAAATAATGATTTAATTTGGAATGATGGATATTGGAGAGGTTATATGGAATTAAATATAAATATGAATAATGTAACAACAGATTACTATGGTGTTGATATTAAAGATGTTAACTTTAATAATGAATTACATTTAGCGCATTTTGTTGTTCCAAAAGATCAATCATTTATTGATAGAGAAAGCATGTATGTTAATAGTGGTGCTATGAATCAAAAAATAATATAGAAAAAAGGGACAATGAAGCCCGGATGAATCTTTTTTAGTATATATATCCCTAATTACCAATCAATAGCGAGTATAGAGCATAGAAACTCATATTAAAACCGGTATTGTATTATTCTGTTGTACTACATAGTATGTAGTATTTGGCTGACTCAGCGCTTTGTCAGCCGTGGCCCGGACTTGAATTTCAAATCAAATACAAAGATGCAACGGTTCTCTTTACCAATGTTAATCATTTACAAGTATAATTCATTTATTTTCTTTCAAAGTTTCAGTATTCTATCTACACGCACAAGATGATGTCAAGTATTTTAAGAAAGCAGAGTCAAAGACCTAAAAAATTTCACTGTGATTTTCAAGGGTGTACCAAATCATATACAAGACCTTGTTTATTAGAACAACATATAAGAACACATTCAAATGAACGACCTTTCAAATGTCCTGAATGCCCAAAGAGTTTCTTCAGAGATTCACATTTAAAAGTTCATACATGGACTCATTCAGATGAAAAACCTTTGAAATGTTCAACTTGCTCAAAAGGGTTCGTCACAAGTCAACAATTGTCCCGTCATATGAAGAAACACCTTAAACAGGAAGGTCAATCAACTGATAAAGCAATAGATCAATCAACAGATGACTCTTCTGATCAAAATAGCTCATCCGCTATAACCTCACCGTTGAATAACAATAATAACACCAATGATAAGAATAAAACACCCATAACGTATCAATGTCCTTATGAATGTGAAGAATCATTCCATCAAGAAAAATTATTAAGTGAACATATGCTTTCAGAACATGTTATGAATGATATTATTGATGAAAAGTCACACAAATTACATAATGAAGTTCCAACTACACAAATTGCCCCAAGTCCATTAGATATCCCAGATATTAAAGATGTACTTACACCAGAAATGTATGAACAATTAACTAAAGATGCTTCAAATGTTAAAAAAATTGAGGATTTTAATCAATGGGATAATCATTCATGTAAAGAACCTATTTGTGATGGATATCCATCTTTTGAATCATATCAAGATTTAATTTTCCATTATGATCATTTCCATAGATTTATTCCAGAATCATTATATGAAATTTTAGAATTTGATGAAGAATCTACAACTTCATCAAACTCAAATTCAAATTCATCATCAGATCCAAATTCAAATCCAAGTTCTAATGATTTTCAATTATCACCTCATCAATTAAATATACCCGATTCTTTACAATTCCCACAAATTATAGAAAAATCGGATCTAAATGGGACAAATTCACAAAATTTCCAACATAATCTCCAACAATTTGATAATAAAATTGATTTAAATAGCCTTTGACCTTTACGGGAAAATGAAGTACGGGAAAATGAAGTTTTAGTTTTTGATTATCAATATTTCTCATAAAGATTGCTATGTAGATCAATATCCCCGAATTTTTTTAGTTCCCGGTAACCTTGAAAAATGTTGAACAAGTATTAATTTAGTATTTCTAAGCCAAAAGTAGATGAAAGCTCAACTGCAGATCTCTATTATGATCATTTAAAATGAATCTATTTACACCCCACAATTAAAAGAGAATATAATTACAAAGCTGTTTATTTCATGATGGTGTTATATAAATATCAATAGAATGGCATAATTATGTCCCATAAATATAATCATGGTCTGAGTTTGGTTGTCTTTTGAGATCATAGTATAATATGTCTTTCCAATTGTTGATAATCATTTGTTCATTAGTTCATCTTATCAGTGCAGCTCCTCTTTATCAAAGAGATGTGATTGATACCCCTGTTGTTACTATTCAAAATGGTTCTTTAAAAGGATTATATTTGGATACTTTTAATCAAGACGCTTATTTAGGTGTCCCCTTTGCACAACCACCATTAAATTCACTTAGATTTGTTAATCCACAATCATTGAATACCACTTGGGAAAATGTTCAAGAATTTCAAACTTATGGACCTTCATGTATGTCATCTGGTGGTACACATTCAACTAAATTACCTCAATCTGAAGATTGTTTAAAATTAAATATTGTTAAACCAAGAGGTTATGAAAATGAAAATTTACCTGTTGCAATTTGGATTCATGGAGGTTCTTTCTTAGAAGGTTCATCTACAAGACCTAGTTATAATTTAAGTTATATTGTCGAAAATTCAGTTGAAATTGGTAAACCTTTCATTGGTGTTTCAATAAATTATCGATTAACTGGATTTGGATTTCTTAGATCAAGAGAAGTTGAATTTAAAGGTTATACAAATGTTGGTATTCGTGATCAAATTAAGGCTATTGAATGGATTCATGAAAATATTGAACATTTTGGTGGTGATCCAAATCATTTAGTTATTTGGGGTGAATCTGCTGGTGGTTATTCTGTGGGTAAATTATTAAATTCACAAAAATTAGGTGATTATATTAAAGGTGGTATAACGGAAAGTGGTACAAGTATGTTTGCAGATTATTTTTCTGATACTTTAATTACAACTGAAGATGATTATTCAAAACTTGTTGATTATTTTAATTGTTCTGAAGCTACAAGTTCATTTGAATGTTTACAACATGTTGATGCTAATGAATTGAATCATGTTTTTAATGAAACAAATGAAATTATCAAAGGAGGATTCCATGCAACTTATGTTGATGGTGATATAATTCCAAAATCAAGTTTTATATCTATTCAAGGTGGTGAATATCAAAAAGTTCCATTATTAATTGGAACAAATACAGATGAAGGTGTTGATTTTATTGATACCACATTGAATACAACTGAAGAATTTAAAAAATCCCTTTTAAAAGATTTCCCTTACCTGACAAATAGTTCAATTGAAAAATTAAATGAGTTATATCAAATTGATGATCCATTAGTCTCATCTCCTCTAGATCCAACTTATAATACAACACCAATTGAATATCCAAATTCATGGGGTCAACAAGCACCAAGAGCAGCTGTTTTATGGGGTGATTTATTATTTGTTGCAGGTGCAAGAACAACAGCACAAGTTTCCTCTTTAAGAGATGATGTACCAGTTTATAAATATAGACATAATATTCCGAATAATGATACTTATGATAAGCCTTATATTGGAGCAAGACATTTCAGAGAACTTGTTTATGTTTTCGATAATGATGATGAACCACATGATGTAACTTTAGGTGAACAATTTCTTGATGATCCAAGAATTCCAAATATCTCTAAAACAATATCAAAACTTTGGTGTTCTTTCATTACAGATTTGAATCCAAATTTACCAAGTGATCAACAAGATGTTAAAATTCCAAATTGGCCTCAGTATAAAGATGGTGAACAAAATTTAGTATTTGATATTGAAGGATTCCATTTAGAAAAAGATGATTGGAGATCAGAACAATTGAAATTTATTGAGTCTATTGAAGTTGAACAACTGGAAATGAAAAAATGAAACATGTATATTTGAAAATATATTTATTAATCAAAGTTTAGATTTAATAACGTTTATGAGTTCTATTTTATAATTTTTCTCTTTAGAATTTTTCAATCTATCTAATGTAGCCACATAATTTTCTGGTATTTGGTCTAGCTCTAAAACAGAGTTACCAGTAATAATACTATCTGCAATTGCTTTACCCGATAAATAAACTCTAGGCATACCATGTCCAGAAAATCCAGCAACAATATATGCATTTGGCTGGTTAATAAACCCCAAATCTCCAACAAAAGGGAATCCATTGGAAGTATAACCCATAATTCCAGACCAAGTTATATCAGATTTGGAATTTTTCCAAGTGGTGAATGTTCTAGGAGCATAGTTTTGAAAATATTCTTTGGCTTTTGAGGTATAATATGAATCATCAGGATTATCATAAACTTCTGAATAATCACCAGTTCCATCAATCATTGAAACACTACCACCACCAACAATAATTCCACCATCTGCACGATTAATCAAATATTCACTATATAACCCAGATTTGTGAAATATACCATAAGTATTTGGTAATTGTGGTATTGGTTTATCCAAAGATTTAATATGGGTAACAACACCTTTAACTGGTGTTATTGCATCTTTAAATTCTGGTAACAATGCTTTTGTGTATGCGTTAGTAGCAAAAACAACCTTTTTAGCAAACAAGGATCCCTTTTCTGTAACTATTTTATACTTATTACCAACTAATGAGACCTCTATTACCGTTGTATTTGTGTAAAGCTTCAGACCTACTGATACTGATTTCTTTAATAATGAAGTTACCAGCTTCCAAGGCCATAAATGAGCAGCTGGATATGTGATACCACGTTTAACATTTGAAACTTTTGACAATGTTGAGACAGAATCACCTTCAAGAACCTGAATACTATCTTTTATTTCTTGTTTAACATAAGGATTGGATTCTAGCTTAGCAAGAGATTCAACATCATTCTCAAATCTTGTTGATTCTTTATAGACATCAAATGCTCTTGTTAGCACAAAATCACAATCAATACCTTCTTTTTCCACTAAATCTTTGATTGTGTATAAATGATCCACTTCTGAGTTGACAATATCAGCAGCTATTCTCGAACCAAAACTCTCTTCGTATTGAGAATACTCTCTATGGCCATATGGTTTCAAATGTCCACCATTTCTACCCGTGGCACCAGAACATGTTGTTCTGGCTTCCAATAATGTAACATCTAAACTTGGATCTTGTTTCAATAGATTATAAACTGTTGAAGCACCAGCATATCCAGAGCCAATAATTAAAATATCTGTTTCCTTGGGTAATCTAGGTGAATGTTGATATTTGGAAAAGGGGTCTTGATCTTCAAGGCTTAACCAAAATGATTTTGTATAATTTGAAGAAGGTAAGTAGGACTTTGACTGCACCATGCTTTTTGACAAATTGTTCTATATTATTTCACTCTATTTGAAGAATAACGATGCTTAGTACCAGATTGGAGTGTATTTATATCTATAGCTTCAAATGATCCATATGATAAATTTGATACTTTAATCGAGTTATCATTATACTAAATGATTCCAATTTCCGATAAGGGGCGAATTCTAGATTCGGAAATTTAGCCTAAATGGACTTAAGAGCGACGATCATATACTACTTAATTTAGAAATCCATATTAGATCTTAAATTAATCAAATTAATTAATATTATTATACATTAAAGATTATTATATATAACCAGAAGATCAGCCAGAATTGAATTAGTCAAAAATTATTATAAAAAAAAAGTAGATATATAAGTTAAAGATAGTTGAGAAACCTAACAAATATCACTGCAAGTATTGGTTGAAATGAAGAAGTTTTGATTCTTGTTGAAACTTCATGAGGATAAGCACATCAAGACAATTGATGGATCATGGTAAATGACCACGTTCAGGACCGAAATAACCTCTATCAGTCAATGTGATATCATATAAACTTTGTTGACCTTCACCACCTTCAATACCCCAGGCTGTAACATTGTTTCCCCACCAATCAACATATTTAGGATGGTATTGAACTGCAAAGAAGATAATAACAGCTGAGAAAGCAACACCAGCATCTAAAGCAGCAGATAACACATAATTATATTTCTCAAACCAAGCAATATATCTTCTTTTAATGTAATGACTGAAGAAAAATGCAAAATACATTCCTGTAATAATGTATGAGAAATTATATGGGGCCCAGTTTAAGAAACCAGTAATGAAAACTGAAGGTTCAAAATTGTTTGGTAAAAACTTTGGTGCAAATTTTCTAATAGCAATAAATAATAATGCAACCAAGAATCCAATTAAGAATGCATACTTCATTGTTGGATAAAGACCATCAAAGACTTTTTTAGGACCAATAACACCCCATAAAACACTTGAAGCATAAAATGTACGTTCACTAGCACAAGTAAATTTTTGAGGTTGTTTTGGATCACACATACCTTCAATATTTGACATTGACCAATTAACAACACCTAAAAACACAAATGCTTGAATAATTGTTCCAATCAATTGACCTCTAAATACTGATCTGATTGGAATTCTTGTATAATGTGCAGTTTTCTGACAAGAAATGAAGTTATCAGCTTGACCATCAATATTATAACCAAGAGCTTTTAAAGTCATCATAGCAACACCATTACCTGGTAATGCATAACCAACAATCAATTCAACAAGAACATTCAAACCCATTTGTTGACCGGTAACTGAAAGTAAAATACATAATGGAATCAAAAAGACAAAATTAATACCAACAGTAAAGAAAATACCCCAAACTGGTGTTTTTGTATCTGGATAAACTTTAACACAAAGAATAGCTAACACTAATGAAATGACCAAAATTGCCCAATAATATGAATCTGGAATTTCTTTATATTTTGCCATCATTTTAGAATGTGGATCTTCAAATTTAGCCAAAGTTGAAGCTGCAAGACCCTTTGAATGATCTTTTTCATCATTATTTTTTTTTTTGAAAAATTCACCATTTTTTATTGATTGAATAGATTCTTTAGCATTTTCATACATCAAGATCAAAGCAAATTGAATTGTTTTCCATTCTTTAACTGTATTGTATAGGAAAGCAAATGGATAAAACATGAAGAATGCACTATAAAGAACAATATTTGCAGCTGTATAGAATGGTGGTGAATAATTTTGATATTTTTCATTATCTAATAATCCATTAGTTAAAACTTTTTCAACTTTGAATGAAGTACCTTCATTTGTGAAAATACCATTTGAATTAATAGGTAAATAACCTGTCCATTTATAATTTGAATAATAAATACCAACAATAACGAAAAATGAAACCACCATACCACCAAATACATTAACACTCACATAGAATGGTAAGACTAAAGGTGAAATTAAACTAGTAATGATATTCCAATCAAATGTTGCAACTGGATTCAACCCCAATCCACTATTAAACCCAGTGATCATTGATAAATCGAAATTATAAGGTTTAATCCATGTAATCCAACTAAAAGTTGATAGAGCTTGAAATAAATAGTTTGGAATCCAGAAATATAAAAACATTGAGCCAAAAGCTGTCCAGAAGAAATTAAATTTGGAAATTTTCCATCCATTGATATTTTCCTTTCTTTCAGGTTTTAATAATGCACGATTCAATGCAATTGAAGGTAAAATAGTTGGCCACATTGATCTAACGGGGTAAACAACAAACTTTCTTAGGATACCAGCAAATGAAAATCCCATTAGTTGAGTTGACATAACTAAAAGAAATTGGAAACCAAAAGTTAACCAGTTTTGATGATAAAATTTAACTTGAGTAACAATATTATATGAGACATAAACATTTGCAGAAGCGACACTTGTCATTAAAGAGGCAAACATTTGTTCTTTAAAAGAATAAGGACCAGGATTTGTTTGTAATTTCTTACCGAAAAAATTGATTGTAACATTTGGAATAACATATTCCCATAATTTACCAGATGCATATAATAAAATGGAAATGACACTGTTGGTTAAGGAAATTGAAGGAAATCTGTGAGCGAAAAATTCCTTGATACCACTTTGAATAATTAACCAGATAATAGCTAATGTCCATGATCTAATAGTTTCAATTGGTTCATTTAGATCATTAACCAAATCAGTAACAGCTCTAACTTCTGGATAAGGAGAATGATAATGGATCAAGACAGCTAATAATTTAGCTTCAAAATTAATTTGAGAATTTTCATCAATATTAATTTTATTATTAATAACAGATTCAATAAAATTCCAATCATGAATTGGGAAATTTGCATCACCTTGATGATCTTCATAAGTTTTAGCATAAATGTTTAAAACTTTTTCATTAGTGATATTAATGACTTTATCCAAAAAGAATTTCAAATCAAAAGTTAAATCATCCTTATTATCATGATTTATATCATTACCATGACCAGTTTTGGTTAATAAATGTTGAACAGATTCATCACTAAGTCTTTCGAAAAATTCAACAATTCTTTCATCATCAAATTGATTTTGATTTTTATTTAAATCAGATTCACTAAGTGAAATCTCATCATGAGAATCCACTCTAGTTAATACAGCACCTTTATTGATATCATATTCTTTCTCATGTTTCTCATTATCAAATTTGGCACTCATATTGGGAGAAATTATTTGATAATATGGATTTTAAAAGAGCAAATTGTCATTGGGAATAGACTTTGAAGGATATTCTTCCAATTATATATGTGATTCAAAGATCTAACCCAAGTTTACCGATAAATCACTAGTTAAACTGGGGCTTCCATGTTGTAACATGTCAATACCAAGCAATAACCAAGCAAATGTTAAGCAAAATTTAAGCAAAATCCAAGAAGCAGCTAAGAAAAGCACTAAGATATTCCACCAGGCGTCTCAAACTGTTGTAAATCTGCCTATCATAAGCTTATCTTACCTTTCAAACGAGCAGAACAATGTAAATTTCCAAGTATTTCCAACATTAAATTGCACAATCTTCAAAATAGAGTTGACCGAACTAGCATATACTCATGTACTTGCCCACTTGAAGCAGCCAATTTGATCTCACCATTTTCTAAAAACTTCTAAAGTCAAAACATTCAAACCACAATTACACATCAACATTTGCCTATCAAAGAAATCAAATCATTTGAATCCACAGTAAACAAATGTCAAACAAATCAATTTTAATTGCACGCGCGAACAAGGAAAAGTAAAAGTCCGTTTTAAGGGTCCCATCAAATTTTAAGGGTCCCATCAAATTTTAAGCTTACAATTTACGTCTCATTTAAAGCCGGCCTTATCTTTAACTTTACCGAGTTTTTGAGCTCATGCCGATTTTGCGTATATCCTGGTAAAATTTAATATCAGACGTACGGGCTCTGATTAATACGATTAATAATTGGTTGAACTTCGACTAGGATGTTCTGAGAGATATCCTGTATCTAGGATCGGGTTTGGTTTCGTATTTGACCCTAAACACACAAACTGATAAGACTGAAATGTAAGAGTGGAT